CGGATCGCGGCGACACATGACGGGCAGTGCAGGTTGCCCAAGAGGTAGGACGTTAGGGTCGTTTGAGAAGGCGCCATTGTTTGACTGCGCGGTGGCTCCACGCCTGTGCTATGCGTGAGAGTGTTTGCTGGAGGTCACAGACGAGCCCCCGGTAGGGCAGGATCGTACGGGGGGAAGAGGAAGAGGTCGGGGCGGCAACGTGTGGTGCAGGCGTGGACGAGGTTGTTTGGAATGCAACGTGTAAACAGACGAGGCCGGATGCAAGAACTGTGTGTGGGTGTTGCTGATGGGAAGAGTTAGGCAAGTACCAGATGTTTTGGACTAGATTGCAAGGAAAGTCGATGGATGATAGACAGAGTTGTGCCATGTCAGAGCTTTATATTAGAAAGGACTTGTGACACTGGTTTGGTAATTGAGTGAATATGGCCGGCCGTTCGATGACGAACCCACACTAAAATCCGCACAAATATCGCAACACGCTTGGCTTGGGGTATCCAGCCGCACTGCAGGCGAGCGGCGACACGGCATGGTAGATGAATCGTGAAATTTAATGGTGTCGGATTAATCGATCATCTGTCACTTTATTTTATATTTGGATTTTTTGGGCGATTTTGTTGCCGCGGCAGCTTGTTACCCGGCCCATCGCAGCCGGTACTCGCATCTGGGAGATCTGGTGGCGATCTAGAGTTTTAGACAAAATAAAATCGACCCCGAATTAAATAGCAGGGAATAACTACCTAAGTTAGGTGCGTTCCGGACGAATGAACGGTTGGTGGGGCTGAATGCTTGTTGCGCGATTTGTGCGTAGGATTTGCCCCTGCTTGCCTGCATGTCGGTACATTCATCTGATGCAAGCCACGAAAGAACAAAAGAGCGAATACCGCGCGATTCTTGAACATTCTGGCCGCATCGTCACATGTCACATCATCTTCCCCAGATCACGTGCCCTACCAGCCTGATTCTCACAAGCGTTCTAGCACCGGCGAAGACAGAGAAAATGATACTATATTTCTATTCGTCATTAGCGCATATGAATATGCGTCTATGCTATTATAGATGCCGTCTTGTGTACCGGTCAATGCCTCCAACTTGCAAATGTACATGCATATATATACAAGGTTTGTACAAAAGTTTGCGTGCTCTTCTCAATCATGATATAAATCAACCCGTCCGTCGCAAATCAAATCAAAATATGCAAGCTATACCTTTTTATACCTTATTAAATCCAATCCACAACTGATAGTAGAACTGCACCGAGAAGCGCCGTGATATGCAAGGCCAGAGGGGGACTTCCTCGCCTAGCCGAATTCTTTGGCGTAGCCGTGGCCGTGTACGCACCCGTCAAAGTTGCGCTTGATGTTGCGGTAGTTGCAGTCTTGGTGGGTGTCGCTGTATTGGTCATCAGTGGCCAATCTGTCGAGGAAGAATAGAGGATGCCATTGATGACAACCCCGGCGCCACTCGCCGCTAGTTGTTGCGCATCCTTGTCGCATGTGTCTCGAAATGCACGTATATAACAGACAGTGTCCTGCATCTGGGGCAACTTGGCCGTCGTCGTCGAGTTGGCCGGACCAGACGTGCCGTATGTGCTGTTGTTGATGGACTGGCCGGTCGAGACTGATGTCCCTGTCATGAGGCGAGAAAATATTTGGAATGCCGTCTCGGGTTGATACGAGGCAACCGAGTGTCCAGATTGGTAGACACGACTGAAGGATAGATTGCCAAACTGGCGGACCTCGCCACCAATGTATGAACTGTTAACGATAATGGGTGAGTATCCTGCTGCTGGAAACTGCGTGACATATTGACCACCAGCTTCTTTGGCAACCGCGAGTGAGACAGCTTCGCCACCAAACCAGTGACAGATGTAGTCTCTATCACCATAAATGAAGCCGATACGGACTCCTTGGTTGAGGAGCTTAGCTATGCGCGGAATGACCTGGCCTCTGGAAAGGTCGCCCGTAGCGTCAAAGGCGAAATAGACTGCATTGCTATTCATGGTATAATTGACCGGCGAGCCGATGGCAGAGAGAACAGAGGCTTGGTTCAGGTAGTCGATGAATCGGTACGACGGAAATGGATCCGTCACTGGTGCAGAGAGGTCATAGGCACTTCTTCCGGCAGCATAGTAGGGCAAGTCAACGTCGTTGCATACAGAATTGGCTCTCTGGCAAGCTGAATTAACGCCATCGATGGTGCCAGTGCCGTTGCTGTCAAATGAGGCCGAAAGGCTGGCACATCGTCTCAACCTCTCAGCGCATCCGCCAGCCGAGGTAAATTTGTCCGTGTAAAACTTGGCCTCCTCGTCGCGATAGGCTTTGAAGCCATACGTGTTGGCAGTGGCGAATTTGGGGGACAGAGCCTGCTGGATCTCCTGATCGACGCAGCCATTGACAATACCAAGAGAGATGAGATGGACCTCACGCGTTGAATTTGTTTTGGCGGGTGTGGCTTGGCGAATCTGGTTCTGTTGCTCCCAGATATCGGCAAATATGGGGCCATAACGACCACCGTAGCTTTCGGCAAAGAGATTGATGGACACAGGTTGAGGTGCCGGTGGCAGATGTTGGGGAAAGGTGCCGAGGAAGCCCTGCATCATGTGCCAGACAGCAAAGGCGGCCTTTTCAGTCGTATTGGCGGTGGACTGTTGGTTCATTGAGGCAAAGGTGCCGTTGGCAATAGACCACGGAATTTTCGTACTTTCGTCAGAGTATGGCGGGATAGACACGGTGCCGTTGGGAAACATCATGGTGCCTTTGGAAGGAAAGTCGTATGAGAAGCCAACCTGATTGGGCTGGTCGATGAAGATGATGTTGGAGCCACGGTCCCAGCCCCAATCCCTAGCAACAGTATCGTATGTGTTGAGACCCTTTTCGACAACATCGCAGGGCCCATTGCCTGTGAAGAAGCCATACATGGAGCTGGAGCCCGGGCCTCCGTTGAGCCATATGGTGAGCTTGTCCGTCTTTTCACGTGCCTCGACAAACCAGAAGAAGAGGTTGGTGGGGAAGTCGCCGGGCACGCTGACCCAGCCCGTGTACTGCTTCTGCGAAGGAAAAGCAGTCTTACAGGCGCCACTGGGCTCCTTGTAGGCGACGGTGACGTTGCTGTTGGCGGGTGATTTGACAATGGTGAAATTGCGGCTGTGATACTCTTGGTTGACGAATTGGGCACTTGCGGTGGCAGCGAGAAGCAACAGCCTCGAGAGCAGCGGCACCATGGTAGGGAAGCGAAGCGAGTGTGAGTTGGCAAGAAAATTTGGTCCAATGCAATAGGCAGTTGATGTGCCCGCGCAGATGACGGCGCGTTGGGGATGCGGGCGACAAAGCAAGCTACGGCGCGTGCCGTTGTTGCAGAAGCTTAGCACGGGCTACACCAGTTCAAGAGGGCGTCATTTGTGACGAGCAGAAGCGACAGAAGAAGCCAAGAGAAGGGCGGCAAAGTGAGGCGATGAAGCGAAAGCAAGGCAGATGGTGTACGAATTTGACGTGATGAAAGCAAGGGAATTCCGTGCTGCCAAAGGAAGGGGAAGAAAAACGGCGAGGCAGGTAGGAAGAAGCTTGGAGCTGACGCAGCTCTGGGCGGTGGCAGACCTCGTGTGTGGCTGACAGGGGGGGGGCTGTTCCTTGGCCAGGAACTGATAGTGCTGTACCTTGCCAAAAACAGGCCTGGAACAACGGCGATGGCGGGCCGGCGGAGTTTGACACTGCGGGGGACGGCGAGCCTATTTTGTTAGCGGTGTTCCAGCACAGCCTCACCCAGCTCGTACATCACATGTACTTGCCTACCTACAGTGGTGTAGGTAGTTAGGTAGTTATCATCATCTATCATTGGGCATCTCGGCCAACCCAGTCCTTCTTCCGCTTCAACAAGCCGGCAGCGATGCGAATACATGGAGCAATTCCGGCCATCTTGTACTCCCCCCCGCCGCCGACAGTTCGGAGCAGTCTCGGAGCCACGCACCAGGGCTGTTGTGCGACCTGCGATGACCATCTCTGTTATCTCTGCTGCCCTCCATCCCCTTGATCCCCGACCCAAGCACGTCGTCTCGACATTTCACCGTCCATGTTTCAGACTTCAAGCCTGCGCAAACAGACGCCATTCGCTCCGCATCGCCGGATTTCTTCGACTCTAATAACGCCACAAATGCGTTGCGGCGGATAGAATTGAGTTTTTTTTTTGCTCTGCACTAGTGCCTGTCGTTGATGTAATCTTTTCCCCGCGGCCTCAAAATGAGGGGAGCGTAGATCGGCATTGACAATTGTTCAGCCGAGCACCACACTCGCATGACTGATGATGAGCAACGAAAAGGGAAACTCGCATGACGGACGATGAGCAACGAAAAGCGGAAACCCAAACAACTATATACTACTATGTTAATGCGCCATGCGGTCCCTGTCACGCTGATTTTGTACATGTGTGTCGTTGATACAAAAGACAGTAACTTGATCAAAGCTGCCATGTCTTCCCCTCCAGCGGCCCGAATTCCTTTGCCGCAAACCCCCATGCCTATTACTCGTTTCGTCGCACGGCGAAAAAGTAATTGCCCACCTTTTCGCTACCGCGAACCTCCTTCCACCCCAACCCCGGCACGTAGACCACACCCATGACCTTGGGGCTGTTCCAGCCCTTGCCTGCAAAGAAGCCCCGCAGCTCGTCCTCGTTGATGTACTTGCTCCAGTCGTGGGTGCCGGGGGGCACAATGCGCAGGAGATCTTCGGCGACGAGGTTCGTCGTGAACCAGCTTGTCCACGTGCGCGCAATGGTGCTCATGACCAGCCACCCTCCCGGCCGCACAAACGGCTGCACGCGGTCGAGGAACGCGCCCGGCTCATCAATGTGCTCAATCACCTCAAACAGCGAGACAATATCATAGGGCCGCTCGGGCACGGCGAGATTCTCAATCGACGTCAGCTGGTACTCGAGCTTTCCGCGCAGGGCCGGGTCGCGCTTGGCGTGCGCCTGGGCGACGGCGAGGACGGACGGCGTCGGGTCAATGGCCGTGACGTGCGCCGTCGTGGGTAGGCGGGCGGCGCTCTCGGCAAAGATGCCGCCGCCGCAGCCAATGTCGAGGTATCGGAGCTTCTCTGCGGGCGCGTCGCTGCCGGCTCGGCAGGCGCGGATAAAGTCGTGGCGGAGGGGGTTCATGAGGTGCAGCAGCCGCGAGGAGCCGTGCGGCGACCACCAGTCGGCAGCGAGGGCGGTAAAGTGTTCCACCTCGCTGGGGTTGACCGAGGAGAATTCGCTGTGCCATCGGCGCTGCTGCGTCGAGGCGGCCGGGAGGCGTGGTGAGGGTGCTGCTTGTTGTGTCGAGGCGCGTCGGGGTTGTGATTGCGCCGTCGTGAGCAGACATCGTCCGAGGCGGGCGGCCGGTTGCCGTAAGGCGGTGTGCGCCATGGCGCTGTGGGATGCACACAGACAAGTGGGCGAGAGGGATTGGTTATTGAGAGCCGGGTGAAGAGTTGTCGTTGTGGTAGAAGAAGATATTCCAAGCGACTGGGCCAGCTTTTTTTTGGAGTTGGCTGTCCCCACAATACCGGCAGCGTTCCGAATGGCCAAGGCTCTGTAATGTACTACGAATAAGCCTACCTAGCCAGCGATGCGACATTCCCAGTAATAAAATAAAAAATATTGAGATGAGAGTGGCAGGTGTAGCCTACGTGTGAAGTCGTAATTGCACTGTTGCTCTACGACAATGTGATGCTGGATTCCGAGCCGAGCTCGACAAATGGGGTTGTTGCCGCTGGGTTGACTGGTTCTCTTACAGAATCAGACGACTTGAGAAGAAAATGAAAGAAGAAGCGGGCGTCCTTCATTCGGGTTGCTTGTATGGAGGTCCAGAGTCGGGCGGCCGAGCAAACAGGTGGTCGTGATGAGATGATGGATTGCTGGGCAGCGAGAGACGCGGGCCGCGGCATCTTGTTGGAGAGGGTCCGCCTCGGTTGGGGTCGGCCGGCCGTTTGTGGTGTAATAAATTCTGGTAGGTACAAATACCTCTGCTGACAATTCATGACCAACCCTGCGTCAACCATGGTGGAAATTGACAAACATTTTGGTGGGTTGTATTGAGAATCATGTAGATTTTTGGTGTTTTTTTTTGTAATCAAGCAGTCCAGCACACTCACAATTCCGAAATGGATTATTGTACAATACCGAAGTAGGTGATCTAATAACTACCTAGTATAGGTACCTCAGTGTGTGACATAGAGTACATCGCGGTTGCCACCAACACCTGCAAAGGACTGCTCCGGAAGCAAACATGCCTCGTCGCAACTTATCTGTCTACTCTCAATTTTATCCTTCTTGACTCATTTCACCAGCTCGCGACATACAATAAACCGTCCTCCTCTGCGTTGGCTGACACATGCCAGACTTCCATTAGCTTCCACTACAACCCACCATCCCCCAACACGGTAATAGTACATAACACTCCAAAGTACTCCAAAAGCAGCTTTGTCGGTACAGCCACCACTGCGAGGCCGCCGCCGTCTCCGGAGGGGCCGAGTCATGAACAAAGCCGAGCGCCAATACCTGCCCAAAGGGAACCCTCGCTCCTCCGACCCGGGGAGGCTATAAGCTTTTGCGACCCCCGTCCGCATTTCACGCTGCCCTTGGCTCCCTCCTCACTTCTCCAACAATTGATACCCCTTGGCTCTACTCCATCATCCCGTTGCGCGATACTCACGAGCACCAACTTGCACCTACACACGACTCTTCACAAGTCTTTTACTATTATTTTAGGAAAGTGGGGAAAGACGAACCGACAAGGCGAAAAATCTCCAATTCCGACACATTACACACATTACACACATTACACGACACGTTTTCCCGCAAACCACCACGGAAAGGTCCGAACCCCCAAAAACGGGGTCTAGCCACTGTTAAGCTTCGTCCGCGCTGCCGAACAAACCCCGTCCTCTTTATATAGGTTGGCTGCCTCTGCTGTCCCCCTCCCCCCCCCGCCGACTTTGCAGAAAATATACTCGAATCCAAGCCGCTGCCCATCATGCCCTCCTCGACCATTCCCTCCGATCAATTCGACAGCATTCCCTCGTGCATTGAGGCTTTCCGTTCGTACCACCCCGCCGACATGTGATACCCCTCATTCCGCGCACCCACGTACTGACCTTCCACCCGCGACGCAGGCAATGGCGAGTTCCTCCTTGTCCTCGACGATCCCGGCCGTGAAAACGAAGGCGACCTAATCATCGCCGCCCAGGATGTCACGACTGAGCAGATGGGCTGGATGATCCGCCACTCCTCCGGCTACGTCTGCGTGCCAATGCCCGCCGATCGTGCCACCGCTCTAAATCTCCCGCCTATGGTTGCCAACACGCAGGACCCGCGCGGCACCGCCTACACTGTCTCGGTTGACGCCGAGCACCCACTCACCACCACCGGCATCAGCGCCCACGATCGCGCTCTCTCCTGCCGCACCCTCGCCGACCCCAAGTCCACCCCCGCTAACCTGCGCCGTCCGGGCCACGTCCTGCCCTTGCGCTCCGTCGCCGGCGGCGTCCGCGCGCGCAACGGCCACACCGAGGCGGCCACAGAACTCTGTCGCCTCGCCGGAAAGGAGCCCGTCGCCGCTATCTGCGAGATTGTCGACGATACTGACGACGTCCCCGGCCAGGCCATCTTGCCCGGCGCCAAGATGATGACGGGTGAGGGCTGCATCCGCTTTGCCCGCAAGTGGAACATCAAGGTCTGCACCATTGCCGACCTCGTCATCCACGTCGAAAAGACCGAGGGCAAGCTGTCTACTAATGGCTCCTCTTAAGCCTACTGACCCAGTGAGTGAACGAGTAACAAAGCAGACGGCAGATAGATGCCGGGTATGCCGTTATCGGTTCAAGCACGCGGTTGAACTGTCCAAGTAATATAGAGAGAAAAAAATAGCAAAACCACACAAGAAACAAGCAGACATTCTTCACATATTGTTGTTATTAGCATTGTCATGTATGAAAAGGAAAATGGGACTGGCTCTTATTACAGGCATCGGCACACGCACCTCGATGACCCATGATTTACACTCTACGTTGGTTATCTCCCATGTTGTTTTCCTTTTTGATTTATTTAGAGCCTTGATTTCTTTACTGAAACCTATCCTTTCCATATTATAAAGTGCGCCGTTCCCAATGCTTTTTGAGGCTGTGATCCTCCATGTACAAAGTTCGCTGTCTAAGCAAATTTGCGATTACCTCACCCTATTCCATATCTAAAAAGGGTATATTCGCTTCATTCAAAAACACATGTATCGTAGACCGTCTCCAACGCTACTTCTTCTACGCCATAAAGTCGTCCTCGATGCTAGCGCCGCTCAGAGAGTCGCCGCCCTCCTCCACGTGCGCCGCCTGCCCGTCACCCACCACGTCCTCCGTCTCCTCGACCACACGCGGGCGGTTCGAGCGCACTCTAACCCTCACGTCGCCGTCGACGCCGTCGAGGCGGAGTGTCTGCGTGGTGGTGCAACCGCCAGCGGGCGCCTGTAGGTTGGGCGCGGGGCTGGCGCGGTTGAGCTGCCGGATAAAGTCACTGGCCTCGTCGCAGCCGTCGAGAAGCCACTTGAGGCAGATGGTGACGCGCTCCTTGGCGTACGGATTATGGTCGTCGTAGGCGGTGCTGCTCAGCAGCGGGCCGATGCCGTTGTAGCGCACCATTTGCGTCTGCACCACGGGGTTGCCGGGGCTGTGCCGGTCCGGCGGCGGCTGCAGAAGTGTCGCGAGGATGATGAATATTTGGCTCTTGACGCCCGCCCATGGGAACTTGTGCGCGGGCTCCTGCATGGGTGGCGAGGCGGCGGCGGCGGTGGCGGCGGCGGGTACAGCCTCACCTCCCATGGCGTACGGCCGCTCAACCATAGGGTCGACGGCGCCGTTTCGTTTCGGCACATATACGAGAGGTTTTCTGGGTACAGCGGCTTCGAGGCCACTCAGAACGGTGACGAGGTCGTAGACGGCCTCCCACTCAATTAGCTTGAGCCGCATCTCAGGCATCTCGGCTACCGTTTTCAGTAATTCTAGGTACTGGGCGAGCCCATCCTTGGCACGCTCCATGTCCCACGTGTCCACTGGGAACTCCGAAGCGTCAGCCTTGCCTTCACGTATCTGCGCCTGCAGGTGCAGGAGCGCCGCGCACTCGGGCACGATGCGGCGGCGGAACGAGCTGAAGAAGAAGTGTACGAGTTTGAGATCGCGCAGATTGTCCCGTCCTTCCCCGGCCGCCGCGTCTCTGGCCAGGGAGCCACTTACGGTGCGCCCACCAAGCATATCGTTAACGAGACGCAGCAGCACCGTCTGCGCGGGCGAGATGATGTCCTTGGAAATGCGGAGCGAGTTCCAAGCATAAGGAATGAGTGCGTTGCGATGAATTGCGTCGACAATTTGCGAAGTAACTTGGTAAATCAAGCTTTCCTCGTCCTTATCCCAGACAGCAATAAAGACCAAGAGCTCGCGTAACAGACTTTTGCCACAATCCAGCGCCAAAAACATCCTGCAACGAGTCCTCTGTAAGTTTTCACCGGCTTGTGTAGTCCCTGACCCGGAACTATCAAAAATACATGACTTGACAATCATATGAAGTGCTTCAATTTGCTTCGGATCTAAAATGTTGGGGACCTCGGTGAGCAAGCCGGTTAGCGGACCATCTCCATATGATTCGTCGTCGTCTGCCTCATCATCATCCAACATGTCATCTGCATAGTCGTGGGCATAGTCGTGATCATGGTGGTGGCAATGTCGATGGAGATCGCACTCATTCTCATAGTCATGATCATGGTCATGCTGGTGGTCGTGAACATGATCATGTTCATGCCCACTATAACAATCATGGTTATGCTCATGCTCGTGTTCGTTCTCATGACTATGTTCATGGTCGTGCTCGTGATCATGCTCGTGATCATGCTCGTGATCATGCTCGTGATCATGCTCGTGCTCAGGCTCATCAGACTCATAATCGTCGTGGTGATATTGATGACAGTTGGGGCAATGGTCGTGCTCCGATGTATCATCTTCCGCTCCGTCGGGCGGTAGTGAGTTATCGTCGTGGTAAGAATGAGAATATCTGTGTATCAAATTCGTTTTGCAGTGCTCCGTAGTCAACTGCGCTGATTCGACAGAGGGCACGCCGACGATCCATTCTTCGTAGTTGGGGTCTCGTGATTTCAGCCACCAAGTATCGATCTCTCTTGATACTCTCCCATAAGCGCGATCTTGTTCGAACCTGTCTGTTTCCTCCAGCTTCCACACGGACTGAATCTTTTCCTCGCTAGTCTCATTGGTTGGAACATTCAGGGAGCTCTCGGGAAGCCAATTCCACGCAAGTGGTCGGAGGGGAGCTAGGTCGCCAGGCGGTTTGCCAGCGTGGTTTTTGGCGTAATCCCGTAGTAGCTGGCGAGCGGTATCGCACATTTTAGAATTTCGGTCCAGCCAATGCTGCACCTGTTGCTTCGCCACTCCAGGACGAAAGCCGGTGCAGTCAGCAGAAACAGAGTCATCGTGGCCAGTCAGAGCGCCATCATCGTCGAAGAGAACGTCAAACCAAAACGACATTTTGTTGCGATCATGTTTGGCGGTCCAGTTATGAGCTTGCTGCAGTGAAGTTACAAGTAGCTTCTTGTCTAAAGAGGGTATGCGAAATTAGCCGCGAGTTCAAGTGCACGATGTCTGTGAGGTGCCTACATAATTCCGTAATTTCGGCCAGCCTCAGTCGGTCTGTCTCGTCTAGAATTTCTCCGTCATATCCTTTGCTAGTGACATTGACACAAAGTATAATGGTCTGATAAACCATTTGGTCAAAATGCACAGCAGCGCAGATATCTTGAGGGACTTGAGGCTCCGCGTTCACGAGCAAGTTTCTCGAGATGTGCATGAGCTTAGTGAGAACGGAAAGGTCATTCTTGATGCTGTCGTAGTTCATGACAATTAAGGCCGTGCTCTCATGCGGACTGACGCCCTTATCGGGGTCATTGAGGCTAGATAGGGGACCGACGGAGCGCGCCGTCAGAGTCGGGATAGAAGCAGCAAGGATCCTGGTGAGCCAGATCCAGATCTCAACATTGCGGGACAGCGTCTCTCTGTGCAAGGAGTCAGCAAGACGTATGCCGCACATGGCCGCACATGGCCGCACACGCACTCACCTCACTCTTCGAAGCGTGTGCGTCTTTTCCAACGTCTTTGAAATCATAGTAGTGATCCTGGCCGCCGTTTTCGGGCCCATTGGTGGCGACTGTGTAAAGTGGCCTTCGAGGCATATCAAAGCTGCGGAGAAGACACGTTCCTCGATGGTCTCGGCATTTCCCTCGACGCCAATATCAAGCGCCGGCTCCACGCTTTCCTTTTCGCTCGCCATCTTGTCGCCAGGGTGGCATTCGTCAGTCTATAGCAGCAGGCGCACGAGCGAAGCGGGCTCCTGGTCTGGTCTGGTCGGTGTGTTTGCAGCGTCAGCCAAAAAAATTTGAGAGACCCCGCAAAAGAAGCTGGTGGTATTATTAGATGCCCGTTGCATACTTAACTAGTGGTTTGTAAGCGAGTATTGCCGTAGCAAGACAGCAATAAAAGTAGAAATGACAAGAGCTGCCGCATACTAATGGCATGCACAGAAGCGATTCGGAATATCCTTCAAGGCAGAATTGATATGACGGGAGTGTTTTTTTTTTGTGATAGTATTGGGTTTAAAATGTGTTATCGTCGCACAGCAGGTGCTAGCCAGATCTGGAGCTCCAAACCGACAGGCAGCAACCACACCCCTGTCCAAGTCTGGGAATATGATGGAAAATTGTATACCAATATTTGTACACTAAAAAGGCCAGATGCTGGACTCCAATCAATTCTACACGAGTGCTTTGTAGTTGCCTGGCTAGTCATCAAGGGAGGTATGACGTGATGGGCATCGATACCGCGGTCTGCCCCTCCTCCTCTGTAGCCTTGGTGGGGTCAATTTTTTTTGGGAAGCTTCCTGCTCAACGAAAGTCGCGCTTCGAGATAACTCTTACATCCTCATTTGCCAAGTACGAGTTGATAGAGCCGGTTGCTCGTTTTGGAAGTTGAAATTCTATCCCCAAGGCGTCTACATCATTATCTGCACCATGGCTAGCCTTCCTACGACCTTTGACAGTGAGTCCACGGATGATCTCGACCCCGCCATCAACAAGCTTCACTACCTTCCTGCTCGCTGACCTAACATTCCTCCCTTCTAGAGCCCGTCCACATTGCCGTCATTGGCGGCACTGGCCTGGGCCAACTCGAAGGCTACACTCCAATCGCCGCCCTCAATCCCGATACGCCGTGGGGCAAGCCCGCCTCGCCCATTCACATCCTCTCCCACGGCGACATCAACATCGCCTTCCTCGCTCGTCATGGCCTCCACCATCAGTTTGCGCCGCATGAGGTGCCTAACCGTGCTAATATTGCTGCCCTCCGCAGCATTGGCGTACGCAGCGTCGTCGCCTTCTCCGCTGTCGGCTCCCTGCAGGAGGATATCAAGCCGATGGACTTTGTCCTCCCCGACCAGGTCATCGACCGTACCAAGGGCATCCGACCCTTTACATTTTACGAGGGTGGCGTTGTTGGACACGTCGGGTTTGCTGATCCTTTTGACAAGAAGCTGGCTGATCTCGTCAAAACTTGTGCTGCTTCCATGGAGGGTGACGGTGTTGTCCTGCACGACAAAGGCACTCTGATCTGCATGGGTACGTGCACCATGCATCCTGGTTTGCTGTATACAACAACAAACGTGGTCTTACTTGAAATGGAAGAAATACTGATTACCGTATTGTGCAGAGGGCCCTCAATTCTCTACCCGCGCAGAATCGCACATGTACCGCTCCTGGGGCGGCTCTGTCATCAACATGTCGACCCTGCCCGAAGCTAAGCTTGCCCGCGAGGCTGAGCTCTCTTACCAGGTTATCTGCATGGCCACCGACTACGACTGCTGGCGCTCGATGGAGGATGTCAACGTCGAAATGGTTATCAAGTACATGCAAGCGAACAGTAAGAACGCCAAGCGATTGGTCGGTGCCGTCTTGGATCAGCTGTCAAAGCCCGAGCACAAGAGTCTCGCCACCGCCGCTCACTGGGTTGGATCTGTAGAAGGCGCCATCAAGTTCATGACCAAGCCTGAGGGTCGGAGCGAGCAGGGCAAGAAGAACGTCGAGTACTTGTTCCCTACATTCTGGGCATAGGTGCGACAGGCGAAGCCGATGCAAAATGGTGGGGTTCACCTGCACCCCCCGAAAAGTTTCCGTTTATAATTTCCCTTGAATATAACACGTATCTTTTGACGATGAATTGTTGTCCATCGGTCACTACCAGAGCAGACAATTCGCTCCGCCGTGGGACACAACATGTCCTGTACAGGCCGATGACGGACTATCGATATAGAGATTTTTATCACATCATGCGCAATTCGTTGAGCATACCGGCCACGTCAACATACGGTATCCTGCGCGGTGTCTGCGCAGATGACTGCAGTCACAGTTACACAGAATAAAGTGAAACAGCAGAGCACCCGAGCTGCCAGGCCGTAGCCGAGGAGGGAGGTGGTGGGCGACAGCAACACGTCTGTTGAGGACTGCAGAGTACATATCGATCCCGGTTCGTGAGCGCTACGAGTACACGAGCTATAGAGGTCGAATATGCGAGTAAAAAGCACAGTATCGCCAAACTCCTCAAGATGGAATTTCGAAAGACGATCAGACCCTGCATCATGGATGGCAGCATTGATTGGTCAGGGAAATAGGGAATAGTTCTGCATGCAGATGGCAGAGCAGACCAGCTTTCTGTGGCCCGGCACTCTGGGAACCCTACGAAAGTGGCTGCTTGTACAGGCAGGAAATTGACCAACCAATGCATCCCGCGACCGCAGCCATGCACGCACAATACTGACGCCCTTATGCAGCTTGAAAGTAGGTCACTATGTGGCTGCAAGAAACTTTAGTCTGGGAGCAAACTTGCTATCAAATGCTTGAGGGCCAAGAATCAAATTACTTTGAGAATAACACAACCTGGTATCAAGTCGGATCCCCTTCGCCTCTGGAGAATTGCTTCTCAACTCCTCGACGCGGATGGCGCGTTCGGACACGTCTCGGCCTATCTCTGTGTCGTGTGCTCACTCAGTTACGAGTATCATGCAAGCGAAGATCTTCAAGAGACGTTACGCGGCTTCTCCGCGAAAAAAAAAAGATTTGAAGCACGCCATGGAAGATGAAAAGGAGAAGCTCTTGGCGAAATCTACCAGATTATGCCGGCATGACACGTGGTGGTTGCCAGCGCGAAGCTAAACCAGGAAGCGTTTCATTATTTGCGTTTTTGGTCCTCGACAAGGTGGCAACTAAGACGGTACACGAGGACAAGTTTCTGGGGCTGATGAGTTGGCGATGTGACGTTGAATATGCCAGGGTTGGCACCACGCTGCCTCTACAATTCGGCTGGTTGCGCACTGCGCGACTCGTTTCATGATGGTGGCAAGTTTGTCGAGGCGGAACGGCCCTCTTGGATTCTGCGAATGGCTTGGATGCATGCATTGAAGCAGCAGTGCTCGTCTCGTTTGGTGACACACTGTGAGCAGCCAAATCGGACACAAGCTGCAGATTGAGATGTGTAACCTGACAAGTCAAATATGCGTCAACACGGAACGCTATTTTGGTCCTCGACGCTGAGATGCACGATGTCCACAATAACGATCCGAAACAAGGCATGCCCACACTGATGAGTACCATGTACCATGAACTCGGGCAGCTGCCATCTGTTTAGACGACGACGCTCTGCGCAGCTCTGCGGACCAGTCCATATCAGAAGTGTGGCGTTTCAGCCTTGGACGTTGCAGAGGCTTCAGAGTGCGAGCAATATTGGATCAATTACACCACAGGAACTTTGCAGAATGTCCGATTGTTCGCAGCAATATTAAAATGTTCCAACAGCTTTGTACTGATACCGAATCTACCGAGCAGGCCTCACGCAGCGGTTCAACCAGCACGTTATGCCGGTCCCTTGTCTGCATTCTGAGTTCTAATACGGGATACAGGACGAATTACTCCCCGTATACATGGCCGCCAAATCATTTTCAATAAACCTGGGCGGATCCGCGCCCCTTGTGCGATAGTCAGCGAGACTGGGCCCTAATAGGGAGGCTTTTTTGGCACATCACCACTACGTGACTTGTCACATTCACGTCGCGTGTACGCCGGAAGAAAGAGAACAAGTGCGTGCGAAACAAAGCCGATTTTTTTCACCTGAGAGTCGTTTCTTCATCCGATAATTCGCCAATGCACGGGCACCTTTTCGAACAAGGATTTGTCAATTTCACTTTATGCAGCAAGAAAGATACGGTCATCGGGTGGAGAGGTATTAGACAACAGTACCGCTTTCCCCGTAACGTAGCTCTCTCTGCCCCTGTTTCAAGCTTCGCCTTCACAGCACTGGCGACAAGCTTCATTGCCTCGAGAACGGTGGCAAGCATGGGCTAATTCTGCTTCGAATACCAAGCATTGCAACCGTGCCGCACAGACGCCCAAACAGAACAAACATTTCATGCCTAGCAGCTTTTCGAGGGGAGGCGACGGTTGGACGTCGGCCCGCCCATGCGATTGGAGCGGTTCAACCCGGCCTCCGTATGCATTGCTCGCCGCCACAGGGCAGCTCTTCTTGAGACGCTCCAATCTTCCCAGCAAGCCTCGTACACCTGCACCGGAGTTTCGTGCATTCCACGCATGCACGCTGCCGGTCAGAATGCAAGGTCAGGGTTGTTTCTCTCGATGCGTCTCGGGGACTTGGCAGTTGACGATTCCACGGTCAACCACACTCCAATATGTAAAGCAACTTGGTGCAACTCTTGCCCGCCCTGTCGGACTGGAATGACTCGCGACGCCCTTACTACGACATGTCATGTTCCGTTGAGCCTTGGAGTATTACCGAAAAGACAATATGCAATTCATACTGTCCACGTAGGGAAAACAGCTACGGCAAAGCCTTGTCAATTTCGACGACCCTGCAGCTTCCTTCCGAGACCCCTGTCAGTAGCCAGTCGATGCCAGGAACTCACATACGATACGCTCCGCCACCACCGTGGTTTGGTAGCGATGGCGCTAAAAAGACAATTGAACCTCAACGAGGAACGAGGCGTTGGAGAAGCCCACAAGCAACGCAGGACTGCAAGCCACCTCGACCCCGACACTAGCGAGGCTGGTCGCCTCCTCCACAGAAGGTAGCCAGCCTGGCGTCCCATTAATGGCCATCATACGGATACTACTGAGACAGACACATGCGCTAGGTTGTATTGGGCAATGCAGCTCCCCCATTCCCTGTTGCACTCGCTAGAGACTGCAGGCATCCACAAGCCGTCGCATGGCCCTGTCCAAACGGGAGGAAGACGGGATGAAGGGCAGCAACGTCGAGACATTGGCGACCTCGAGATATCAACGACCTATCGTGGCAACTTATGTCCAACGAGAAATAAAGAGTATCCGTTCGGCCCCTTTGCGGGGGCTTACTTGAGCCGCTCAAGCGCTTTGACGCTCACTCGACGATCCCCATCTCTACAATGCCAACCCCATATCTTCTCTCTCACGGTGAGTATCCGACATGTGCCATTGATAGATAAGCCGGCTACGGGGCCGCAAGATTTCGCTGGCCCGGACGACGGATGTTCCTGGCCAATGCCCTCCAAGGTCTTGTAACTTGGGTGGGAAGGGTTTAAAATTGTACTACCTGGTACACCTGGTACACATCTTTTGGTGTTGCAGATGGTTTGCACTTGATTTCCGCAAAATGGTAGTAGTCGCCGTCGCCGTCGCCGCTGCAGAGCGGAACGGCCCCAGCTTAAATGACCATTTCCACCAGACGACCTGCCTCGGCCGCTCCGTGTCCCTGTATGGCTGGCTGGCTGGCGCTGCGAGTGCCCGGTCTGCAACGCCGGGTTTAGACGAACGACATGTCAGTTTTTTATGCCTTTCGACCAAGAAGAGTCGCATCCCTGCCTTCCTGTCGGCTTGCACAAGGATATGCCGAGAGACGGGAAACCGAAAGTTTGAATGTCCCTTCCGCTCTATTCGATATCTGGCCTTGGTTGGCATATCCCACACGGCAGTTACGGTGTCTCTCAAGCACAAGGTGCTTTCGTGAGCTTTGCTCCCAATTTCCCGGTTCCATTATGGATGGTGCACCCCCCTTTCCCCCCTTCGTCTGGTCCCTGCTGTCTGTCCCACCTGAATCTTCAACGCCCAGAGGAATCAGCCACGAGGCCATGTGTAGCCGAAGCGGTTGAAAGAGCACGAGCCGTTGAGCTTGAACTAGCACTGTCGCCTCCACCCAAGAAGATGACGACGAAGGGAATATCAGTAATAAGAGTGACCCGGCCACATTGGGGCTTTCGGGAAACTGTGGCCGTCAGTTGCTGACTTCGGGTGGCCGGCTTGTTGTGAAGCTGCGTACCGTCTGAGCCTTGGCCGTGAGTTTCTGACAGGTCCCATTTTCCTTTTTTTTTTTTTGCCCGTGTCCAAAATGCAGTCCATCCCGCAGCAACCGGCCATAGGTGATGATGGTTTGTACAGGCATGTCTCGAGTGCGGCGACCCATTATGGGTGACATGGCTTCATCAGGCGAGGCTGGCAAGGGCTGGCTCACAATTGATGAGGATGGACCCGTTCTGGCTCCATGTACGAATTATCCATGTACGAATTAGCCTGGGTGATGATCCAAGCTTGATCGCCCTCGTGGGCCGTCACCTTGCGCCACAGCTGCGACGCAAGGCGTGCATGGCCACTATCCCCTCACATATCCCTCGTCGATTACGTAGCCGTTTTTTCTTGTCAGGTATGTTGTCGTTGTTCTTGTCCTTGTGTCATTGCTATACTTGAGGTCCAATGGGCTTACCAAAAGTTCAGTCTGCAAGTAGACTTGGAGATAGGAGGCGCCGCCACGCCCAGCGCCTCGGGTGCTTGCCTAGAACGAACTACTGCCACGTACAAAAGTACGAATTACAACGAGGTGGACTTTGGCGCGAGGCGTCGGCGCCCCAAAACCGTTCGTGTTCTTTCTTCATAATTCTCCTTGCATATGCGCAGTCCAAAAAAAGCCCCCAAAGTCTCACATCCAGATTGACTCAGCTTTTTTAGGACAACAACGTATCATCTTCGACTCTCGCACATGTTTACAGCAAGTGTAAAGCGCATGTCTCAGAAGAGTCAGCGCTTATCAATTCAACGGCCGTATCGTTTTGATCTTTTCACTTATTTATTAGCCTCTTTTGTTGCTCAGTAGCGAGCTGGGGCTAATTCATTCAGGGCCATTGGACACTACCTAGCGTAGTGGAAGACCATCTCCAAGGTTGCACCGCGAGCATATTTTGCCCCTTGCTGGTATGTACGTGTGGAGGAGGAAATGTTCCCTTTTTTGTATTTGAGCAAGTTTTGTTGTTTCTCCACCCATCGACGCAGCCTTGAACCTTGACGGCGACAGATCTATCTATTACAGCAATCAATGAGCGGGAAAAAACGATGTGTTGGGGGTTGGGTTTCAGACTTGCTTTTCCCCTAGATCTCATCGCCGGCGGTAGCATCGATTGGCGGGCGAATCAACACCAGTGCACGCGAGCCCAGCACAGATTATGCAGTCGACTTGATTTCCGATAGAGCCAAGCGTCGCTCACTTTCTGTACATTGTAAATTAATGAAACAGAGGCAGCACAGCACTTTGGGAACCCCGGCCCGGCGTCGAATCCATAGGGGAGCGGATCCCGGAGAGCGGAGAAATCAAGGGTCGAGCAGGGAAGTCGGATGGAATGCTACGCCAAATATGACAAATGAGCAAGAGACCATCTACCGACGGCGAGAAGGTCAAGAAAGCGGCTACATACGTCAGTTCACCCACAACCCCCTGGCTAGGTGTGCGTGTCACCACCATTATGCCGCATGTCGACGGACGGCACCACCAGCTTGGCTGCAGCATGGCATCGAGATGGCAGCAGACGCGAAGCTTAATCTACAACCCGGCAACCGCGGGAACCTGCCCTGCCGCTTTTGTTTTCTTTGACCAGGTTCGATAATAACAGCAATATGTTTATAGTTGGCTTTGAAAGCTTGCAAGGACTGACAACGGAGCAGCCCTCGTTGAGGTATAGTGGCTTGAGGTCAATACGGATTACACGTCACGGTAATCTCTACTCTGTACACCCACCAGGCTGAGGGCTTTCATTATAGGCAGGGAAGGCCACATGGCTACAGGCCCTGCGGCGCGTGATCCATCCCATTCATCATCCTAATCCCATCCCGCAGGCGGTGCAAGGTAACGAGGTGAGAAGTTGAGAACTGAGAAGGCTCCCTCCCACCCTTCGGCCGCACAATTGACAAGTCCACCGCAGGACGCCCTCTTGCTTTGAGGCCGAATATTGTATTACACTACGGCGTCCTTTTCGTCTCCAGTTTTCGGTGCACTTTCTTGGACCGGCTCTTCTCCTTCATGGTAAGGGGGGTGGACGCGGCGACCCGGCGCTCGCTCCCAAAATGGACCGGCGAGGTGGTCCCCGATCTCTCATTAGCCTCATTAGCACCAGAACTCGTTATTCGCCCCAAGAGCTCCCGCCAAATTAGCCCAGTCCGAACCAGGGGGTCGGCGACAAGAGTTGGGTTGAGTAGCCTTGTGGATCGTGGCACAGAACGACTTGCACAAAGTTGCACAAGGGAAGAAATCGACTGAAATAAGAAAAGAGCATGGATCGCGTGCGAGACCTGCCAGAAACATGCAGCTTTCCGGACCCGGCCCGGCCCGCCATGCAGCATCCCATGCCGGCAGGCACCATGCTCTTGGCCGCGAGAGGTCCTCCTCCCAACGAAACAAAACTGTATCAGTACATACATACGAGAACGACTCGCTCGCGCCCTGAGCAAGGTTTACGACTCGGCGTACTTTTGCATAGCCTCGTTGAAAGAGAAGAGGCTTTTTTTTTTTTTTTGAAAAGACAAAAAAAGAAACCCCCCAACGAGCGTCCGTCCACCAATGCACCGCGGCGGGCGCGTTCTTGCATGCTGCATGCAGCTCCTCTGCAGTTTGCACATTTCCAATCTAACGCTAATGCTGCCTTTTACAACGAAGACCTTGTCGTCTCTTTAACCATGGAGAGACAACAAAGTGCTTGTGCGCATTTTTCTTTTCTGCGCGCGTCGGGCGTGTGTATCCTGGAAAGTGTTGGTTGGTCATGACTCTCTGTCTCATACTCTCACTGACCAACGTTGCCAACTCTTTTCAAGCCGCATAAACAAGGCGAAGAACCGTTTATTATGCAGACCAAAAGTTTAATCCGAAAAGCAACGTTAGATCGTACAACAAGAATTACGATTCATGACCCCCCCTCCGAAACGGATTTATACTTTGTCCCTGCATCATCTTCATCGACGGAAGAATAAGAAGAACAAGTCCACTCGGAGAGTAACGATCCAAAAAATGGACCATGCAGGTCGATAACGACGTTCTTGTTCTTGTACGACTCACGCCGTTGGTCATGATTTTTGCTTGATCATCCTTATCGAGTCTTCCAAAAGGTCCTTTGCCCCTCTTGTTACGCCCGCGTCGATGTTGCCATGATTCACAAAGTTCACCACAACCACACCCCGAGTACTGGTAACTAACTACTGGTACACCACCCCGTCACACCCCCCTACAGTTGGCTCACCACACAGACAACCTGCATGTGCTTCTCCGAGACGACAAGGCAAGCCTTTCCATTTTGTGCAAGCCATGAGGCAGCCGGGTCTATTCCTCGATCCCAGACACGCCCCCCCCCCCCCGGCCTCCGCCTCTTTTCTTCCCCATCCACACCTCGCCCCCCCAGTCTTACCTGATGGATAGTTAGTTTGTGTTGAAGAAGCATGGGGAAAAAAAGAGACTGATTTCTTTTTATTTCATGACTACGCTCACAATGGGTTTTTATGATGACCGCTTGGTGGCTGTTTTTTCTGCTTTTATATAAATACAGAAATGCTTCTCCTTGGGGAGTTGTCGTCTACATCTATCTCTACATCATTATCCTTCATCTTGTTTCCCAACTTTGCCCCCATCCCGTTGACGCAAACAACAACGTCCACTTGCCAATCACCTCATCCCACTGTCTTGCTTTTTTTTTTTTTTCCCTGTTCCGAGCCCGGTGGCTTTTTTCTTTTTTTCCCTAATTCTCAGGTTACGCAAGACCCTCCCTTCCCGTTACACCAAGGCGGGCCGGGCCGCCGCCGCATGTACGATTTCTCCTCATCTAGACAAAGAGGAGCCCGGCGCCGCCGCCCCCGGCGATCTACAATTTTTTGGAGATTTTTGATTTTCTTTTTTGTGGCGCAAGGTTCCAAGAGATTCTATCTCGGGATTTCCTGTTTCTTGCCTGTGTTATCAGTCCCTTTGTTACACCGCTCCCCGGCCCTGGACCTCTTCTTCGACGGGCTTCCTGGGCTGTCCCTCTCCCCCCCCGGCGCGGCGGCAGCCACATATCCCACCGGGACCGACCAAGAGAGCTTCGTGTATCACAAACACGGTCGGCGGAAAATTTTCTGGTCGCCGACCTGGACATTGCCGGTTTCTTCGTGTTAGGCGTTTTGGGAGGGGGGAGGTTTCGTCCAAGCAGGCTCAATAGTCCGCCCTCGTTCTGGTCAATGGACACGTAGTCTCGGGCAGACATCACATGAAAATATTGCATCAAGTGGCGTATCATCAACTTGTCTCTTTGTTCCGTCGCTCGCTATTCCTTGTCATTACCAAAAACGAATATTGCTTCACCACGGGTTCATACCACCGCACGAACCAGTACAGTTATTCAGACAAACAACCAAACACCAATTTCAAAGAGTGACAAGCAGGATATAAAAACGATCTTTATCCCTTATCTCTTCACTTCTTGAACCCATCAACACTCTTCAACCGCTCAAACAGAGTAGACCCATCCTCACTTTTCCTCCTTTCCCAATCATCATGCCTTCAGTTGCTCGCCTCGAGCTTGTGTCCGTCCCACCGCAAAAGACACTCGTCGCCGCGGCCCCGCAACACGGCCACATCCTTGACATTGGAGGCAGTGCCCTGAAAGATCTCTGTGTCGACAGAGTCAAGGACACGCTCGACGCCATTGCCAACTCACGGGGCTCGCCAACCCTACCCGATGAGCTTCTCTATGACGATGAGGGTCTGCTCCTGTGGAACGACATTATATCCATCCCCCAATTCTACCAGACCCATGATGAGACTGCCCTCTTTAAGAGCAACAGCTCCGAGATCATTCGTCATGTCCCCAAAAACATCACAATGATTGACTTGGGCTCAGGGTGAGCAATGACTGTCCGACCCCAAGACTTGACTCGGTCCGTCTAGCATTCGAGTTGCTAACAAGAAATCCCGTTGCCTCAAATCAGTGATACCACCAAAGTCGACCACTTTCTCAAAGCATTCGAAGAAGCAAAAGTTCCTGCCACATATCTGGCTCTCGATATTTCAAAGACGGCGCTCGACGAGAGCATAAAGAGCCTGACTGCTAACCATTCTGGCCCCAACGCGGTCGTCAAGTGCGGCGGCCTGTGGGGTACCTTTGACAACGGACTACAGCACGTTGACAACATCAAAGGGCCTCGTCTGTTTCTGTCCCTCGGCTCCGTGCTCTGCAACGATGCTTGGCCCACGGCTCTGGGCCATCTTAGAAAATGGGCGGCAGTGCTCCGGCCCGACGATAAAATGCTGATTGGCATGGACGGGCATCTTGCTGCTGATCAAAGAGATAAAATCTGGGCCGCCTATCACTCCTGTGACGACAAGTTCCGCAACTTCTTCCTCAACGGCTTGACCTGTGCCAACAAGCTTCTTGGATACAAGCTTTTCGACGAGCAAGATTGGGACTTCATAGCCGACTTGGAGGACAGGCCCACAACGCGCCACCGATGTTTCATGCGCGCCAACAAGGACGTCTCGAAAGACGACGGTAGCGTCATCTTCAAAGGCCAGGAAATAGACTGGTTCGATTCCCACAAGTACGGGGAGGACGACGTCCGTCTGATGTGCAGCAAGGCTGGCCTGACTGTCATCAAGTCTTGGGCACCAAAAGGTTCCGAATTCCGTACGTAAATGCTTTCATCATTATCGCGAAAGAACCTCGGGCAACGAAACTGACCAGTGACATAGGTCAGTATCTCGTGCGTCTCAAGGGCGACGGTGACGGTTTTGAGGACTGCGACAGCGCCATTTCCGGTATTCTCTAGGCCCATGAATGAGGTGAGCCCACCATTTCGCGAGTTCTTTTTGCGCTCGGTGTTTTTTGGCAGCTTTGTGTCATGTCTCGGGCAGCAATAGACGGGTGGCATTTCCCATTCATAGACAGGAGCTGTGCAACGCCGTGGCGTGTGCACGGCTTTTCAGGTCAGGCAGAGGACTTCAGTTTCTTTTTCCTGAACCTTAGACACCATGCGTTCCCACCATGGTTGCCTCTCGGCAATGGAAGGGGGCAATTCTGTATTTGGCGCAGGCAGCGGGACTTCGATGTCGATCCAGCTCTGGATACGTTGCAGAGTTTTATAAAGTGGCGGCACGCTCTGCCGCAGGGATGTAATTAGCAGCTGGTACCTAAATACAGCATTCAACTCTTGTTAACTCTTCAGACTTACACTGCGAACGGGCGTGTGGATAACCTGTTGAAACCAGGCATGGGAAACTTCGACATGGTCTGGAACGGTCGCCAGCAGCCCGAGAAAGAAGACTGGTAGCAGTGGAGCCTGAGCCGTAAATACCGGGCCCGATGTCGGCATGATGGAAATGCTCTTGGCCAAGTCGGCTATGTTGGCGACGACCTGAGGGTGGTTTCGGGGTAATCTGGGCCGGGTTAGTGTGTTTTGATATTGGAGAAGGGAAGAAAAGCAGCAATGCATAGTCACTTACCTGAAAAGACGGCACTGCAGGTAGACCATTCCAGCCAGCCTCCATGCTTCCGCAGTCACCTCTGTCATCTCCTTAGGTTGTTGAACGATATATGTCTCGTCCATTTGGCGTATCCACTCGATTGGTTGATGTTGCCTTTGTTGTGCAGCCTCCCAGTCAACATATTCGCCACTCCACTGGTTCAGGTTCTCAAGTTGGCCGTAGAGCATGTCAGCGCTTACAGGCACGACCGGTGTTTCGCTATCCTGAAGCATGCGAGCGGAACAGTAGGCCACCTGGCTGAAAATGTGTAGCAATCGTTTCGAAAAACCACACCCACCGTGGATTTCATACATTTCTTGCTCAGATCCATACAATAGGAATCCAAACCTAGATGTCTCGGCGATAGGGTCAAATGTAGCAAGAGACGGAAGAGGCATCATAGGCTGAGCTAGGATAACAGCTCTACCGACAATGACTGATTGCGACAAACGTAGAGCATTAACCTGAACATTCGACTCCTTGTAGAAGCGACCACCCGGGTCCGTGAGCTGCAGCATAGTCTCTGCTTGCTTGAACCCCGTTAGCCAGCGAGGGTGATAGGGTTTTTGAAGTCTGCGCTCGGTGAGAACAACATCTTGCATAGAGAGGAGCGACGCTAGAGTGATGAGCTCGCTCGCCTCGGTTTCACCAAGGTTATGCGAGTCTTGGAGTAGGCTGCTGAAGCGAGCTTCAGCAAGGGCGAATTTTTGGTTGATACGACGCCGCAACTTCTCATCGGGCAGATAGTCATGGATGTAGATACCAGCGAGAGAATGTATGGCAGCTAGTACGCCGCCCTCATGCATCCGTGCAAAATCAGTCAACCATAGATTGGTTCTTCTCAAGACACTTCTTCCGGGACACCAGTTCTGTACATCTATGGTGGATCAGTTAGCAAAGACCCGATGACGAATGCCTCGCTCTAAACTTACAGAATATGAAGAGCTTTCTGTCCATGGTGTCCATCTTAGTATGCAGACCGAAGTGCGCAGGGACAAGGCGAGGCTCCTCCTTCCTACCGCCGTCGAAGTATGGCGTAACCTTCGCTGCGGGTAACGGATGATGATATAAGGGCGATACAAGAGTGGACGCTGTTGAAAAGGGCGAGTCACTTCCTGCCAGAGTGGTGACAGATGGTGTCGAGTGTGACACAGAGAAGCGACGCTGCAAGGCAAGGTCGGAGCCATGATTCGAGGAATAGGTGGCAGGTACTGATTTTAAGGAGTCATCAACGTCGTCCGTTACTTCAGAAATCCTTGATGGCTGTTTATCTTCTTTTGGCGTGCTCCAGTTGAACTTGATGTAACCGTTGACTTTGCCATCCCGTGGACGAAAGAATTGTTGAGGGGCGAAGGTGTTCCCAAAAGAGTCGATACAGTCAGAGAATGGACTATTGGTGATGGGTTTGACGCGGGACTTTCGCCGGCGCTGGTCTTTTTGGACTGGCTCAGAGATGGTTGGTGGGTTCCGGGATGGCTGTGTCTGGCGTGGTCGTGGGTTTGGCAGTGGGTTTGGCAGTGGGTTTGGCTGCAACCGCGGCAGTATATTGGGCTGACGGGGGAGTTGCCACTGCGAGGTAGGGTACGGTGGCGCCGGATGCTGCAATGGCTGTAGCTCTGGTATGGGAAGCATGGCGGGTTGCGGACCCTGAGGAAACACGGCGGAGATGTCGGCGGGATTTGGGGCAACATCTGTGAGCTAAGGTTAGAGTTTGCCAATGGCGTCCGTGGCCCACCAAAGTATCATCAACTTGGAGAGGAGAGAGAAGAGAGAAGAGGTAAAGGAGAAGAACGCTAACAATAGCACATGGTTGATGGATTGCGCTAGCGGGATTCAAGACGTTGCGAAAGCCCGCGAGATGGTGTGATGAGACTTTGGACAGGCCGCCATGTTGAGACTTACTAAAACTTGCGTGCCATGGCGCCGGAGCCATGGAGTTGTCCATGGGACAAAGCATAGAGGCGGATACGGAAGGGTTCAAAGGCATGAGAGCATCAGGATGAGGTTGTACTACGCCAGGTACCGAACCCGGTATGATGGGCAAGGAGCTTGGAAGCATGATTGGATGGGAAAACAACCACTCTGCATCGGTATTTTGTGATGTGCCCCCAGTATCGGGGATGTTGTCTTGGTGCCCATCAGAAGGCGGGGCAGGCTGGCCAGCGCCGGCTTGGTCAAACCTGAGGCGCTTGGCCGAGCGCTGATTGTCGTCGTCGAAGCCGCCCATGTAGTTGAAGCGAAAAGGCGGAGGGCGAGAAGGGCTCATGGACGTGGGCCGAAGATTTTCGGCGTCACAGTTGATGGGGTGTGCTTGTCGGGCAGCACCGGGCAGGCGAGATCGCGGGGGGACGCCGGGGCTTGGTTGGGCCGTCAATGAGAAGGCGATGCGAGGCAGGTAGTTGGCGCGGGGGAATGGCAACGTGAAGGGCGCGGCGACAAGAGGATTGGCAGAGGCGCGCAAAGAGAAGATCGTGGAGACGAGCGCGGGAAGGCGAGATCAGAGAGCAGAGTAGGCGCGGAAAGAGGAAATGGGGTGAAGAGAGAAGAGTATTTTGGCCGGCCAGAGGGTAACTATACCTGGATGGCAGCACCGGGCTTATTAGCGTTGGCGCGAGGGGATGGACCTAACAACAAGGTAAGACTATGTATTTTATCTTGGACCAGGAGAGCTGAGAAGAAGAGATGGGATAGCGCTAGTAGATCCACAGGGACGAAGAGACGGAAAGGCGGCGCGCGTTGTTGGTGTTGTGAGAGGCCAGTCGTTTGGTAAAGTATGGAGTCGTCCAATAACTAACTGCCAGGAGACTGGGGTCGACGACGGTCGATGGAGTTGTACCTTTGTAGATGGACAGTCGCTAGTTAGTACGGAGCATCCGTAGACCGACTTGAGACGTCTAGAGCCTGCTGGCACAAGAGCCGGCAAGTGGTTGGTACCTACTCAGACAGCTCAACTCAGTATAGGTCGTTGTACGTATATGGCGCCGTGGAGCGGGTACGCAGCAGGTATGTGCTGGTTGCTGATACGTCCAAATCTGGTGGTGGGTGTTGTACTTGTTGTTGCGAGGACAGTCAAGGTAGCCAAGACGGTGGCCAAGTAGCCAAGGTATCAAGGTATGAGGTATGTATGCCCCCGGTCGGTACTGCAGCAAATGCAGCTAGCACCACGTCTGGAGCACGTCTGGCGCACGTCTGGCGCACCTATTCTGGTGGGGGGCGTTTGATGAGCCTGATATGATCTGTCGGCAGCTAATCCAGTGGAGTGGCGGACGGGCCGGCCGCGACTGAAGCTGTCCACTCAGATGGCGACGTCGCCACGCACCCTTGAGTAGCTGAAGGGGGCGACGAGGTGCGAGTCGTGAGTCGAACGACGAAGGATGAACGGCCAGTGGTACGACTGGCAGTGATGCTTCACGATTGGTGAATGCAATCTTGGTTGACTCTTCAGGTTCTGGCGAGGCGAAATTCTCTCGTCCAACCGTCGGCGTACTGGTATGAGAGGGCGAGGGGCGTTGGCCGTCTCTGCTGGGGTTTGATGGTGGTGTTGGGCACGTGTGTGGGGAGCGGTGCGCTTGGACGGGGTGGTCGAGCTTAGTCCTGGTTCAAGACAGAGACTCGCGAGATGAGCAGAGAGAAAGGACCAATGATGCGGCAGGTTGGCAGAACCGAGAGTACGAGTAGCAATACGGGGTAGTGCGTCGACTCCCTCGTCAACCGACGGGCACCAACAAGGACGAGGCTGTGCGTAGTACTTCGTATCTACGAATAGGTACGGAGCGGGCAAACGGAGATGTAGCTTTGGCTGGGCGGCGACGATGCGCGGGGCGAATAGTGGAAACAAGCAGCAGCAGCGTTTCAACGGCGTCAAGCGAGCGTTGCACCAGGCGCCAGTGAAGCGGTAAAATCGATAGAGAAACAGTATAGTCGTCTTGACAAACAGATGTCTAGTTCTTCCTGTCGTCGCTTTGCAGCCGGGACAAGAGGCAGAGGAAAAGGGAGATGGGGAAAGAGAAGAGCGAGCAAGTGTGGAGAGGACTAGGAATTAGGGAAGGCGGCAGGCGGGAACTAAAAAGGCGCCCGTCTGGTTGAAGCCGACAACGAATAATACTCCGTAAGGACCAGCCGTAACCATGATAGACGAATGTGTGTGCAGCATTGTTTTGACTCCCATGGCTTTTCGGCGTGGCGGCGGCCGAGATGAGCAAGACAGGGCCTGACGCAGGCGACGGGATAAAAAAAGCGTCTTTCTGACGGGCCAATGAGAATGGACGGAACCGTAGCAGCCACGCTATGCGATTGGAGGCACAAAAGTGGGTCATCTAGCGAGATGGCCAGCCATGGCTTCCAAAAGGTGATGGTGATGGTGATGGCGTCGAGGGTTTTCGGCGGAAGACCGGGGATGTTGGGTCAGTGTTGGGCAACGTTATCCGTATGAGTTTCTATGTAGCGTGTCATTAATACCCTGTAATGAGAAGAACGTGCATACCAAACCATGTACTCGAAGGACTCTGCTGTGGTGAAGCACGCTCTGGTAAGCAGGCAAAGCAGGTAAAAGTTGTCGACCACATGTACGCAGAGTGGCTGCAGCATGCAACGCGTGGATTCTAGCCCTTGGGTCCCGCCAGATCTGCGCTAGATTGATTGGGCATGGCCGCCTGGAACTGGCCCGCTTGTCTCTCGTCGCTCTCGTCACTTGTGCGTGCGCGCGCCGCCGGGCGCAGGCAGGCATCATCGTTGCGCTGCAGGCGTCAACCCGAGAAGCTGGGATGGCGCCCGCGCCCTGTATCGCCTGCAGGTGGATGCCATTTTCGTTGATATGGATGCCACATTTACGGATACACCGCAATTGGGTTGAGGGAGGGGAAGGCCAAAGGGAGGGGGTGACCGCTGCTAGCCCTGCAAACTGCAAGCCACACTCATCAACCGCAGCGCGCGATCCCCGAGGCCTCAGACATTTCTAGAGATCGCGCGGAAAACTGCCCAGATCGATGATGGCCTGCCCATCTCTTTGTCTGAATCGGAGGGTCGATGCGGCCTCCCACCCCAGAATTATACTACAAGCCACAATGCAGCAAGTAAACAAGGTATGTACCGCCACATTGCTATGTACAATCAATCCAACAATAATCCGCACTTTGCTCTAGTTATTTTGATGTGTTGGTACTTTTGCTTGTGACCAATTTTTTCATGTTCTTTTTCCTCTTCCCCTTTGGGCTGCTCTGTGTCATATTAATTATTAGCATGGAATGTTACGATTTGATTGCGGCCACTCCTAATTGTCTGAGCGCAGCCTTGCTGACGTTTGAATCCGTTGTCTGGTTGTCACCATGATTTCTACAACTAACTACGGATAATTACAAATTACTCCGTACCTGGTTACTATGTACCTAGGTACCTAGATATTATTCTTAGCATGCACATCTAAAGAATGGTACTGCAGGTAGCCTTCAAATCGTCTCAGTCTCTCTAGGTTAGCGGGCACTTAGCGTCGCACAACGCTCAACTGCATGCTACCTTAGGTATTCATGAGCGAAACTGCTTTGTGCATTCGGTCAAGTATCTGCACATTTTAAATAATATATTGCCGCAGGCTCTGTAGAAGTAGCAAGGCAATCTTTTCGTTGGCTCGCAGAGCCCTTCTCATTCTTCTGCCTGCAAGGCATGTACTCCGTACCTAGGTAACTAATAGCTCTTGTCAGTCGCAACTCAATGGCATTTGGCAATGCTCAACTCAAAATGCCCTAGCAGGGGTTAAAACGGCGTAGCGGATCCCCGGGGCGAGCCTCCCGGGCCGCCTAGCGTTGTTTTCTCTTCTCTCCTTTTCATCTGGGCCAATCAGGCGTTTCGATCAATGCCTGATCAGGATTAGCGGGTCCGAGCTGTTGGGGCAGCAGGGATTGGTCCATGGCGGATTTGGTAGGCATGACCCTGCATCGGCGCTGTCAGCCTGCAAGATCCAAGTACTGTGGACTTGCAGAGGCCATCCCGCTAGGTCGGTGCTCCTCCTAGTTAGCCCACTGGAGAGACAATGCCCTTCGAAGGAAGAAGGAAGACAGAAAAAAAAAAGACACATCACTTCCTGCTTCTCAAGACCATTTTTATTTCAAAAAGCCGAGGCGCGCAGAATGAGTAAAATACGGAGTAGCTGCCGACCCTTTGGATTTTAAGGACGAGTTCTACTTCTGCAACGGCCGACTGTTTGTAGTTTCAAAGACACCAAGAAAGAAACGAACCTGGCCGGGTAACTAGCCGTTGTGTGGACCGGGAAGATTTCAACGGGCGTGCCCCAGTCATCGCCAGGCCAAGCAAGGTACCTACCAACATACCAACGTCGCGATTTGCGGCACGATATTTCTTCTGTCCATCGAATATTGCCCTGCGGACTGGCACTGTGCTAGCTGCCCTGCATCTGCGCTACCCCTTCCGACAACTGTTGACTAATAAACAACAGCAAAGAGAAATCACGACCAGACGACCAGAACCAAGGCTGCACGCTCATCCCTGGTATAGGCCTCTCTGCCCTGATTCTTAGGCACCACCACCACCAGTCCACCACCTACTCAGAAACGCCCTCCCTTTTCTTTCTCCTCCTCTTCAGCACCTGAGCACTCAGCCAAGAAACCAGGCAAACCTTGGTGCGGAGGTCGGCTTCTGCCAGGTCTCTCCTAGGCCTCGCGCCCGTTGGCTGCAGACTCTTGTCGTGGCCCATCTTTTGGCTCGGTGAATCGACAGCGCCGCCTCTCGGCCTCCTCGCCTGTGCGGGCATCTGATGTCGCTTGGTGTGCGTGCTTACCACTTTGCCGGGCCCGGCACCACCCCTCCCTTCCCCGCCGCTCGTAACTAACGGCTCGCTCTCTGCTGTCCTCTCTAGTATTCCAATACTGGGACCCCCCTCCCTCCCCTCCACTTTGTCATACGGCAACTTGCTGTCTGCCGTCTACCTCAGACTCTAATACGCACGCACGCTAGACACGGGGATGCTCTGTAGCCCACAAACTGTCACTCTGCCACGGACTTTTTGACTTTCTTTAGCGGCCCAGAGACTTCTTTGTTGCCGCCAAGGTGGTTTCTCAGTTAGGTACCTAGGTACGTACTGCTGCCAGTTGGCCCTCTCTCCTCTCTATTCCTGCCAGCCTACCTAGGAAGGTCCCTGTTCGGTGGAGGTGCCCCGCCCATTCCGTACCCAACGTCATCTGATCGCCTGCAAAGCATACAGCCTGCTACAGCCTACAGTACAGGGCTCAGCACCATTGTTTGCAACAGTGACATAGGGTTGCGAGAAAACTCGCCCTGTACCACTTGTCGCCTCACGGGGACCTGGGGACCTGGGCGACTTGGGGACCTGGGACCTCGTGCTCCTGCCCGCGCCCTAACTCGTGGCCGGTGGTTGCGCTGCGGCTGCGCTTGCTTGGGTAGTGGGACGAGAGCACACAGCTGCCACCCAAAGCTCCAGACGTCTTTGCCCAGCCCAGTGACGTGCCGGCGTGAAGCCCGGCGCTCGAGGAGATAACTACTTAACATGGATGGTGCCTTTACTGCGATGCCGAGGCAGGCTCGCGTCTTCGAGTCGAGCCTGCACATTCCTTCTCACAACACCGCCTTTTTCGAGAACCTAGTCCATAACAACTTGAACCAAATCTGCCGCGATTTTCTCAAAATGAGCGCCGAATCTCCTCCTACGCCCCCGGCTGCTGGCCCGCTGCTCTCGGAAGAATCGGCCACCCTCCTTCGGGAGCTAGGAGACTACTTTACCCGTACAGCTCAGATGTGGTCGACAATGACACAAAGTATGCTCCAAGGGCCGCACATTGACCAGGTTGCCTACGATGTCAACACGCGCTCTGATCGGCGAACGCACATGGCCGACATGTCTACCGTTGCTGCTGTTGATCTTGAACTGGGACGTTTACGGTATGTGTCGTGAAACCGCCCTATACTCATCTTGGCAATACGAAAATCTTCTTACACTGTTGCACAGGAAAATAAGAGACCTGACAACCAAGTTCTCCCAAGACGTTCAGGCTGCATGGCGCCCCGATGGCAATGCATTAGACTCGTCTTCGTCGGGTCAAGGCACCCGTGCTGCGTATCTGCCCTTTGGCAACATGCTATCCTCACCAAGCCAAGATGCTCATTATGTTAGCCATAGCCAACCTGACGGCGAAAGCTTAATCACCTTGGCCGGTGGCGTGGCTGAGCAGATGGATCTTGGCAAGGAAGAAGACTCAGACTCTGATTCTGGCGATGAGGAGCTCTTTGACAGCATTGACATGGAGGCCCTCAAGCAGAGAGGCAAAGGCTCGCACACCTGCCCCAAAGGCCTAAGATGCGACAAAGGCGGCGTCGACAAGGACGGCAACGTCATTATCTTTGACCGCAACTCGTCATTTGCGTATGTGCCCAACCCCCTTACATTCCCGTGGCATGCAAGGCACATGGCCGACGGCCGCAATACATGCAGACCATACTAACGCCTCAACAGCCAGCATTGTAATAAACACCGCAAACCATGGGTATGTGACCTGGCAAACTGTCCAAACACACCCAAAAAGCGCCGATTCGCCCGCCGAGACGGGCTGGAGCGGCATAAGCAGACAGTCAAGCACGAACCGAAAAATGCAGACCTCCAAATCGGTGCCAGCTAGCATGACTGTTGCAGAAGTTGGAGTGGTTCATCGTTTCAACGTGCATAATCTTGTGCTACTTATCCACGGATCCATGCAATAGGTCGTCACGGGCAGGCTAGGTTAGCCTTGATGCATAAGAGTCAGCAAAGGCACGTTGACGTGGTTTGGCAGCCATGCAGCCGCTGCCGTACTCCAGCAGGCAGCGCCCGCTCTTGCTTGACAGCACGAGTCGGTGTAATAAAGGGGAAAAAAGAGAACAAGAGCAGGTATAAGCGAACTGGCCTTAGCAAAAACCCATTATATGGATCATCATCCACACTTGAACATGATGTGCTCGCTGCCATGAAAGCTCTTCCACTTGTATAGACGAGGGAGAAGAGAGACGTCAAGATGGGAGGAAGGAGGAAAGAGGATCCGAGGGAGGAGTACGAATGGAGAGCGGAGGGGTTGGCCGTGTAAACGACCCGGTGCAAACGACCCGTGCAAACGAGGCCGGCGGCGTCGGAAGGCCAAATTCATGTGATATGACGGCATGGAGATGTTGCATACGCTCCAAAATAGATCAAAAGGCTGGCGCAGCCCTTGGTGCAGAGCACCCAGAATGAAACGCACGACATGACAGCAATCCTTTCTCAGCCCATTGCTTGTATGTATGCGTGGCTCTTTCTCCGTAACTGGCCGAGCGTCGATCCATGTTCCTGTATCAATACGGAGTATGCGAGCGGAGTAAATCCCCACAGCCTTTGCACATGCAGCCATTTCCATTTCTTTTTCTTTTTCTTCTTCTTTTCTTTTCTCGGATTGCGGCTTTTAGCAAGTGATCGGTGTGGTCGCTTTGGGCCCAGCGCTGGTGGCGGCGCCTCATTGGGCCCATCTGCGTGGTGTGTGTGGCCGGCGGCAACGTGCACCAGCTCATCGGGTCCAACAAGGCCTCAGTCTCTCTCTTTCTCACTTTCTCTTTCTCACTCTCTCTCTTGTTTTTGCCCATCTGCACTCGTCGCCCCTCAGGCCGAAAAGTCTCGGCGGATCCAATGGCTCCTCAGCGGATCAACTATGTTCTGCAGCCCAACCACACCACACAGGGACAAGCGTCGTCCCCTCCTTTTTTTTTCTTTTCTTCTTCTCGGCGTCTACTCATGTAGCAAATGTAAGCTCATAATATGGATTTGACGTTGAGCTAGTTAGCGGGTTGCGAGACCTGGGGGTCGCGGGAAATGAACGGAGTAAACTTGGGGTTGCAAGAGACAGATCGCGGGGCTGGCCATGTAACTTCTGGTAGACCAGCCCTTATTAGGCTAATAATGGACGTCTTGCCTGAGTCGTCGCCCGTCTCAAGTGCCGGCAACGATGTACGGAGCCGACTTGGGCGGGCATCGCTTGGACCACTTCCAGGCTGGCTGAAGAACGGCAGGCAAGTCTTGCTGCCCCCAGCTCTTGGGGCTGTTTCACGATATTCTGCATCCTCGGCCAATCGAATTTGGATTGCGCATCATTTTCATGCTGTGCTACTTTGGGTACCGACAGATTTGGCTTCATTTGGAGGTCATCTGGACAAGGAGCCTGCATTGAGCAAAGACAACCCCGGTCCAGTTGCAGGTCGGCGTTTGATTAAGCGTCTTCCTGCATTGCATGGCGGAGCCAACCTGGCAATCGTCGTCCTGGTAGACAGCCTTTCCGCAACAAGAACCCCCACGCCTCTGACGTATGCAATCTGTACATCTCACAGCGGTGAGCGAGAAGAGGTGTGGCATCCTGAGAGCTCCCGCCAATGCATACTCCTCTTTTCCTGGGCCGGGGACATTGCATTACTTGTCCAATCAGTATCGAATAAATAACAAGACTGAGAGAACCATCTTTTATCCCGAAGCCATGTGAAGAAATGCCAATCAGGTACCTGGTAACAAAGGACGTCGCCAAGGATTCTGCGTCAATGCCGCGTAGCCTTGTCGTTGGCGGAGCACAAAGAACGAGTACTCCATGCTGGCAACACTAGTCGCAGCTAACGAACGATGGAGGCAAGGCTGAAGATGGCGCCTGGAACCGCCAGCTAGGGCAAAGGGCCGGAGAATTTGTCTCACGGCACTTGCGAAGTGGCCATTTCTCATGGGTTCTCTAACATATTGTTCTGGGAGGGCACAAGTGCGCTGCTAGCCTGGGGTCCTGGGGATAGATGAGATCCCGAGATGGTAGGGAAGGGCATGGCCTGGCTCTGAAGGCTAGATCTTGCCTACTGGAGAACTCCAGGGTCCTGTTGTCTGAAGAGGGAAAGAGTATGCGTCGTCCTGCATGACGAATGCACGTGCATCTGCAGCCTCTCGGTCATTTTGTCCGGGCTCGGACAGTCTCGATGAGGAAAAAAATTACGACTTCAATGTCTTGCGTAAAGCCTCGATGAAAGAGCCAAGGAGAGAAGAGCATAGAGATATCATGCCTCGAGGAAACAATACGTCCCATTGTCTAAATATGTTCTCTTAGTGCATACACCAAGATGCAGTATCACCTGGAAGAACTTTCGGCCGACTCAAGACGCTTGCCAGGCGTTCGGGGGCGGGAGGGAGACTGGCCAGCGTGTTTTACACTTCTGTGTAACGTCTTGGTTGGAGTGCTATATCTCTATCATTGTTCGATCGAGAGTGACCTATGTCAAGTTACACCCGACGACGTACAAGGACGCGATGACAAGGCTCGGCGCGCAGGTCGTGGCATCACGCCCACATGCATACCTGTTTCGGTAATGCTTCTCTTGCGGTTGTACAACTTGACCGCAGTCTGCAGTAGGCACCACAAGTTATTGAACATGGACACTTGCGGTACCGGGGCAATGTCAGTTGTGTGGATCAGCTTGATGCCGATGCCCCAGACCGCCCCCCAGGCGACCCAAGCCGACGGGTCGGTTGTCTCATGAACGACTTAAGCCAGGCTGCCACAGGTCCGAATTTCTGGGACGGCGGGGGTCGAGAGAACAACAAGGGAGAAGAAATCAAGACTGGCGTAGCCGGCTGGCAGCATGCAAAGTTTCTTGGCGGGCTGTCGCCACAGTGGTCGGCGAGGTGAGCCGGGATATTAGTACCGGTCAAAGAGGGGCGCGGATCGAACGAGGTGAGGATGAGGCTGATGGAGGAACCCATGGTTGGCCCCAGGATGCTGCTGTTGACCGAGAGGAACGCATTAGTTATGCACGCAATATCACGCACGGCCACTATGACTACCTACCCAAGTAGTTGGTAAGTTGGTGACCGCATTCGGTTCGCGCCTGCCAGCTCACACTGACAAACTACAGTGGTCGCCGAAGACAAGGTGCCAGGATGCGTGCCATGACAAATACCGCCAGTTCGACAAGAGGAGGAAGCAAGAAAGCACGTGCTCTGGCGGTGGTGCGGACCTTGATGTGGTGGTGTCTGAGGCAAACGGCCAGAAAGGGCAGCAGGAAGGGGAGGCCGAGTTTTTCGACTGTGACGTGCTTGCCGACGCGAGTTGGACAAGTCTGCGGGACAACTCCGAGGTGGATAGCTTTTGGCGCGATGAGAAAAGAGAGAACAAGGAGAGGAAAACAGCTTAAAATAACTAACTAGCAGGGAGATGAATTAGTTAGCGCGGGCCGTGTTAGTTTGGGTGACGAGAATGAGGACCGTCATTTTGGCCGCTCCAACGCCAACAGGTTCGATATCAAAGCAAGGTCACGGTGAGCTTCATTTGCCCACACGAGTCTTGTTTTAATATCTAGAGACACCTCGGATCATCTCTCTATATATTGTAAAACTCAATCGCCATCTACACTACACCTCGTATTTTCGCCAAGCGCCAACAACCGACAGTGCTTGTATATAGGTAGGTATTACCCACTTGCCGGCCATTATAGTGGCGGTATCCTGTTTTGTTTTATGTACCTTTATTAGCGTTGTACAGTGCCTACGAAGGGTCGGTCCTCCGGGCTCCTAGGTGCGACCAGCGGAGAGAAGAGTCAACTTCTTCTCGCCAACAAGTGCAGATCTGAAGAGTGTTGGGCAAAGGTAGGACAAGAGTACAGAAGTCGCCGAAAAGAGCAATACCAGGAACAGGAAATTTCAGGCGCCTCAGCACGGTCCGGGGGCCCATGTCGGGTTCAACTTCAACGTCCATTTCCGTGCTGCAGAACTTGTGGCTGTGTTGGTGACGGCAGGCATGAAGATGATGGAATGTCTCAAGATGCAACAGCAGCGTCCAGCTGAAAGCGGCAGGCAGGCCAGATTGGGGCATTTCGAGAGAGTGTGGATGTACAGGGACGTGACAGGATATGACAGGACAGTTGACGCCTTGTAAATTGTATGAATACTTCCTACAGCCGCAAGCCGCGTCTGTGTGTGCTTGGACGCTGCTAGTTGTTTTAATACAGGGGCCGTTACTCCGTACAGGGACCAGTGACAGATTATTACAGGGACCTTGTTGCCTGCCAGCCAAGAGCCCGCTGTGGGTTAGCGCACCTTGACTCTTAACTGCCGTGTCCTGGCCTTACTGTTGCAGGCTATTCCAGGCTATTTACAGGAACCTCTTAGAGGTACTAACCTACTAGCACCCAGTACTAACCTACTAGCACCCATCCGCTCAAGGCTGCCCAGGGTGCACCCTGTAAAAACTGGCCATCTGTCAAACGTCAGCCTGTCCTGGCAGCTCGTTGGACTTGTTGTCTCCCCCCCCGCCATTTTGCTTCACCCATCGTCAAACACCACCCCCCGGTTGTCCGACCCTTTACCTTTCCGGTTCATCCTCGCAACCAGACTCCTTCTGGTAGCCAAGCAACCAAGCAACTATTCTCATGACTAGCCAATATCGATGTTGTGGCACCCGACTTTGCCGCCAGAATGACCCCAGAGGGCGCACGCCAACGGGAAGCTGGCCCAACTACTCCGTAACTGGCTGGACAATCACAGCTTGACACGAAACGAACTGCTCTTTCTAGGTACTCTTGCTGCCCAAAACACACACACACAGACACACATGACACGACGGACACCGGAACAGAATCATTCGTGCATCTCGACAACAGATTCGGTTTGTACCGGCTCCCCGTTTCTCTCGCCCGGGAAAAGTACACACACGACTGCAATACGGTGTGTGCTTGCTACGTACATACTCATGGTGACCGACAACAGGTACCTCAGTGTCAGTGGTGTCAGTGGCTGGCTGCTAGCCTCGCTGTGATTGGTGGGCAGAGTCGTCCGCCATTGAGCAGTAACGGCGTATGCGATCTCGTTAAATTATAATTTAGCTAACTAATCAGGCGATGCAGGTCGGAGGCTGCTGCTCTTTGTCCCAAGTACTGGCGGTAACTAGGAGGAGGCGACCATTCGCATCCACCCCTCCTGGTACAAGGCAGGGCCCTGTATCTAACATCTGCACATGAGACACCCGGCTGCTGCTGCAGCCTCCTCTGTGGTGCCAAACAGCGTCATCATCAGTTATTTCTTCGCCTGCCCTGGCCCAGAGAACAAACTTGGCTCAGATCCAGCAGTCCAGCCCGCGTGATACCACTGTTCGCAACCCCCCCCTGGCCGTCATCAACCACCACCATCAACAAAGACTATACCTACCTAGTTGCCGGGACTCTGGGAGAGACGACTACGCTAATGAACAATGTGGCTTGCCACGGACTCTATGAGCAGCCGGCAACTACTTACAAGTTTTTGGCGGCACCACGGACGACTGCTCTGGTTTCAAGCCCACCCTTCTCGCCCTAGCCCACGGAGTAACGGAGGGGCAGTTCCGTATCCAGCCTCGTCCAATCCAGCCAACCCAGCAGGACCTCATGTTCCCCCTTCCTGGGCAGGCCGGCGCCGTTGCCAATGTAATTCAGAAAGGGAGGGGTCGCATCTGGGTCCCAGGCTATCACGCCTAGCTCTCTTCTTTTCCCAGTCGTCGCCCCCGCAAGAGAGAGACGACGGGTGTGTGGGCATTGAGAAAAGAAGCATGCGAAGCCCTTGCTTTTTCGCCTGCAAAGTCAATAGGTGGTCGGCCACCCCCTCCCAGAGATTCGTTCACACACTCCTCACCCAAACCCACACCCCCCCGGAGACTGAGTTGCCTCTGCTATTTCTCTATTTCTTGCTTCTGGGAGCTACTTGAAAAGTTCAGTCTGAATCGCGGCCTTGAATTATAAAGATCCATACCCACCCACCTCTTGATGCGTCCTTTTCTATTCCTCCTCAGACACCAATTATTTCTCTTTTCATTGACTGCCTAGACACTCAATCAAAGACAATCAGAGTATCACTGCTTCTTCACACGGTGTTACAACTCTATCTTTGCTTTGTCTCACAAGCGTCTGCAGCTGCTTCCATTGTTGCAACCGCATCAATCACCATTGCCACCTTGGCTACACAAGCACCGCCTTACAACTACTTATAACTAGTTGACGACCGCAACAATGCGCGAACTCACCAACATGTACACGCTGGATCCCTCAGCTCCTTCCTCCTCTCCATCATCAACTCCCCAGTCGCCTTCGATACCTGCTACTCCCATGTCTTCTTCATCCTCAATGTCTGCACCGGACAATGGCATACCAGAGTTCAACTCCGTCATCATTGTCGGTGCGGGAAACTTTGGCGCTGGCACTGCCTTGTCGTTGGCTCGCCGCGGTGTTCAAGTCACCCTGCTTGATACTTCTGCTTTCCCCAACCCCAGAGCTGCCTCGCATGACATCAACAAGATTGTTCGCGACGACTACCCAGATTTGCTTTACATGCGCATGATGGTCAAGGCAATGCCCATGTGGAGAAACAACGACCTCTACAAGTCCTTTTACCACGAGACTGGCATGCTTCGCGCTGATCCAACCGACTTTGCCGAGCAGAGCATTGCGGCTTACAAGGAGCTGGGCATTGAAAATGGATGCGAGATGCTCCCCGTTGACGAGATTCGTCGACGCTGGAACGGGATCTTTGCAACCGCTGATTTTGAGGGCCTTGATAAGGTTCTCTACAACCCCAACGTCGGCTTTGCCGAGGCGGACAAGGCGCTAGCAGCCGTTGTGCAAGCAGGCATCGACCTGGGTGTCGAATACGTTATTGGCGAGATGGACACGCTTGCCTTCGGTCTCGAGGGCGAATGCATTGGAGTGACTCTCAAGAATGGAAGTACGATGCTGGCAGACAAGGTTCTGATGGCCACTGGAGCGCGCACTGAGCCTCTACTTGCGCAGAGCGCCCCCAAGAACAAGAAGCTGCACTCTGGCGATCGCATCCTGGCTACGGGGGCCGTGAGCTTTTATGCAAAGGTGCACGGCGAGCAGAAGGCCAAGTTTGCCCCCGTTCCGGTACTGAAGAACTGCCTCAAACAGGTCAAGGGCGAGGCTATGTCTATTCTGGCGGATGGCACAATCAAATTCAACTGCGATATGTGCTTTACAAACTTCCAAAACTTCCCCGCGACGGGCGAGCAAATGTCGGTGCCCCCAAGCGACGCCAAGTACAACACCTGGACTGGGTCCGACTTTGTCGACTTTTTCAAGCAGCGAACGGAAATGACATTCAAGGGCATCTACGGAGATGAAGTCAAGGATGTCGAAATTGAGTCGTACCGCATTTGCTGGTAAGTTGGTTGACGAATAGACTGTATTTCGACCCTCGCTAACACGTCGACTAGGGATGCGTCAACCCCGACGCACGACTTCCTCATCACTTCGCACCCACACTGCGAAGGCCTGTTTGTGGCGACGGGAGGATCATTTCACGGCTGGAAGTTCTTGCCGGTCATTGGGGATTATATCGCCGACATGATGCAAGGCACGCTGGAGGACGACTACACGACACGCTGGGCGTGGGATAAGGATGTCAGTGACGGCCACTCGGCCAATCCAACCTATTCAGTGGTGGGGGATCTCCAAGACTGGATCGCATAAGCGAGCGGGCTAGTAGGAGCTAAGGGCCGTTTGAGTAGGGGGGCATGAGAGCAAGGACAGAAGACATGGCAAGGCGCAGCAACACCCACGAGGCTGACTTGATGTTGGCACATACACACTAGAAGTGAGCTGCAAAGAACCTAGGGCCTGGACGGATACACCAGAGACATTACAGACCGGCGTTTTTATACTACCAAATACTTGCTACATTTGCTTCGTTAGATGTATTCTAGGCTATACTACACAATGAAGAAGACATGGTTAAAGTCTTTTTGGGACGTTTGCAGGTGATGGCAGCGTCGGTTTAGGTAGTACTGGTAGTGGAAGAGAGGGGGCAAGACGATGTCGATTATCCGCAGGCAGTGGGGAGGAGGCATCGGCAACATTGGCAGCTGAGCGTATCTGCAGGGTCAAACTCAACTAAACAGGGGGATTTATTGGAATTAGGCCGGGTCAATTATACTGTATGACGGTCCCTTGGTCACCGTACGATACGATGTAGTTATAAAACTGTCCCCAGCCGGGGAAAGCAACAAGGATGATGTCCTTTGCGAAAAAAATAAAAAAATAAAAAAATTCGGGGGTGGAGTTGTTATGCTGTCCAGCTAATACTTGCTTGTTCAAGGACAAATTACTATATTCACTCGAGTCGATAGTTGGTGTGTTATCTGGAAGCGGACATTCCGATATAGAGTTGGTAAATGCGTCGCTCGGGGGGGCGGTTGATGTAGCCACGAGCCACGCAGCCGAGAAGTATATTATAGTAAAAAGATGGATCCCCAAATATCCCGTAGGTACTAGGCAAGGCATGACACCGGCTGGAAAGTTGTCAGGCCGGGAGCCAACAAACATGGCCTAAATGATATAAGCCGCTAGAACTGGTCGATTGTTTCTCAACGTTGTAGGTTTTCTCGAAGCGAGCGATTTTGTAGGGGAAAAATTGGAGAAGAACCCTTTTAGAGCTCGGAACTTCGGGATTTCGGATTCTCTGGCCGTTAGATGTCTGTCCATATCAGTCAAGTATACCAATACATACACGTGCCCAGCGCGCCCAGCCCAAAAGGCAGCGAGCGGTCAGCAAGGTGGACAAGGGTAGGTATTTGGGACATGCCATCGTCTGGGTCAGAGAGGTAAGAACGAAAAAAAAAAGGAAAAGAAATAAAAAATAACTAGGTAGGAATAGGCGGCTCCGATCAGCGGGGAAGAGTCCCCGCGTGGCGTACCAATGAGCTGGTAACCTCCCATTCGTTCTAATTACGCGAAAGCAGGGTCAGCGCACCTGATTTTCCGGGTTCACGGGATCCTTCAACGCTGGTTGTACACCTCGAAGGAAAACAAGTTCCACGTGCTCGCCGTCTTTGCCGTCCTGGACAGACACATACTTGTGAAAAGGCGGCGGTGCGCCGAGGAGGAGGAGGGTGGAGGAGTATCTTACATGGTCATGTTCCCGCTCAACAGCCGTGTTTATTGCCGTTTCTCTAGCTCATGTTTCGGCGACCTGCCATCCATCTCGTACACGCCGGGCAAAATGCAGGGCTCAAGACTAGTTGGTCGGTCGGCCTGCCCTCAACTTCATGATAGTTTGTCCCTCCCCCAGGTGCCACGGCAGCGTTGTCATGTTGGTCTTCCATGAAGAATGACCACCTCCTGCAGCCACAGCCATCTCATCACACCGTCCATGGTCACCAGGGCCAACTGCGTAGCCCGGCCGCATACAATCTCGCTGCCCTTAACTGGGGGATGAGTGAGATGGAGGGAAAGCTTCATGCAAGGCCCAGCCAGATTGGTGCCCGCATCTTGCCCCCAAATCACGTACCGCGTGCTTTGATCCCGAGATGTCCTCGCCTTGCTTTCCTTGTGATTTGTCACACCGCTCACGATAACAATAAGAAAGACTTTTTTTGGACTGTGAGCATGTTTTCTGCCGGGTAGCCCACCGCATAAACAAGCGACGGCAGATGCATGCTGCGAAATGGGCTGCCCAATAATGAAGAATGAATAATACTGATAGAATAACCCGCATCACCCGGCCCCCGCCTCTCTTATTGTCAAAAACCCCAAAACAGTAACCCGCCCCGGGACCTACACTGTGGACTGAACCACAGGCAAGCTAAGTAAGTACGTGGCTAGTTATCAGAAAGAGCCTGGGCGAGGCAAGCATGATGGCGTGCTGTGGTTTTCCTGCACACCAAAAGTCTGCAAGAAGCGTCCCGGATAAAAGGAACGCTTTTGGCAACTTTGCCAGGTGACTGTGTACCAGGACCAGGGGGAGTGCCAGCGATATTTGCATCCATCCAACTAATACTCCGCAAGTACTCCGTCTGCAGTCACCCAGTGGCTGCAGCGAAACCATGCCGGACCTTGCTCATTCTTCAGCCTTTTTTTCTCTCTGCGGCGCTCCCCCCCCCCCGATGCGGCTTGTCTCGCCTTTTGGTTGCCCTTGGCCCCCAACGCAGACACACACACACATATTCTTCGGGCACACGGCGGTCCTTCAAGTAACACGGAGGAGCAGACGGCGACTCCCAACGGCGACCGCTGCCCAACCTTGGTTGAAAAAAAGGCCAGCCACTCGAATGACCACTGCTGCCCCCCTCCGTGACCCTTTTCGGGAAGAAAGCGCCGCCGTCCAGATCCCCCTCCCCGGGCAGGGAAATATATGCACTCATGCTTGGGCTCAGCCCACCGCGACATGCACGCCAAAGAGAAACGCACGCGTGCAGCATCAAGATTGTAAGCAACCATGCTTCGCATCATCCTATCCGACTATATGAGTACCCCTGATCCCGTCTATACCCTTTTCCACGCCATGACAAATAATGGATAAAAAATATACCCATGACAGACAGAACCCATCTAGTAGACTTCCAGCACGTAGCGACCCTCCTCCTTGAGCTTCTCAATCTCCTTCTTGGGGTCAACCTTTTTGCCCCCCGCCTTGGCCTCGGCCGCAATCGCCTCCTCAAGCACCGCCGTCACGTCGGGCACCGGCCACGTCGGGCCACACAGGTAGAAGCTGCCCTCGTCCTTAATGTACGCCTGCACAATCTCGCTCACCGTCTGCCGCATGCGGTCCTGAATGTAAATCTTTTGCGGCTGGTCCCGTGAAAACGCGGCACCAATCAGCGTCACCACGCCCGCGTCCAGGTACGCCTCCCACTCCTCGCCGTACAGGTACTCCTCGCGCTGGTGCCGCGAGCCCAGATACAGCAGGATCGCACCAATCTCCTTGCCCTGCGCCTTTTGCATCGCCCGGTACTGTACAAAGGCGCGGAAAGGCGCGAGCCCAGTGCCCAGACCCGCCATGATAAGCGGCGCCGTGTCCTTGACGGGGAGCTTCATCACCGACGGCTTGACCGACACCGTCACCGGCGCCCCGGCCTCCAAGCGCGACAAGTACCGCGTCGCCTGTCCGTAGCGCGTGCGGCCCCGTGTGTCGACCCAGTCGACGACGACAATCATCAGCGAGACCGAGTTGGGTGTCACCGCCTGCGCCGACGCGATCGAGTACTCGCGCCGCTTTAGCGGGCTGACGATCTTGACCAGGTCGTGGAAGCTGGGGCGCGCCGACGCAAACTCCTCCAGAATGTCCACGTAGGTGAGCGTGTCCACTTCAGTGCGCTTCTTAAAGTCTTCGGCGCCCGCCTGGCTGCCAAGCGCCTCGAGCTTCTTCTTCTCTGTCTCGTCCGTCGCAAACTCGGCCAGCGTCTCGTAGAAGCGCTTGGGCGGCTTGCCGAGAATGTCCACGTTTTGCACCAGCGCCTGGTGTACGGTGCGCAGCTCCGTCAGTGCAGCGTTGTCGCGCGACGGCACCTGGACGAGGTCATCGGGGTTGAGGCCGTAGAATCTTATAAATGCCTCGACATCTTCAACATCGTTTTCAGCGTGGATGCCCAAGGCCTCGCCAATCTTGTAGGTGAGGCCAGTGGTGCCCAGGTCAAACTCAATGTGGAAAATGTTGCGGTCGTAGTCAGAGGGGGTGAGGCGGCGGTTCTCCTTGACGGTAACGGTGTGAGTAGTGGCGGCCAGGTCAGGACGGACAGCCGCGCGTGCGCCATACGCCTCCTTGAAGACAATGCCACGAGCGAGTGTCTGCCAGTCCTGCAACTGGAGAGTTTCCTCGTCCACGTCCTTGGCAAAGGAGGTGAAGCTGTTTGGCTGAATGGTCAGAGGCAGCTCAACAGCCACCTCTTCAGTCTCAGCCCAGGTCGCGGGGGCTTCGAGCTTGCTGAGACACTGATCAACGGCCTCGGTAGCCTGCTCAAGTGTTACGTTCTCAGCGGCAATGGCAATGTCCTTGGGTGAGACGGAGGGCTGTGCAACCTTTAGGAAAGCAAGCTCGAGAAGAAGCTTGGAGGCAGCAGCGTCCTTTTCAAATGCGGGGAGAACAGCCGGGTCGAGAACAAAGGCAGTAATATCCTTGTCGAAAAGAGCCTTGCGGAACACTGCCGAGAGACGCTTCTCAACATCGGCCTCCTTGAAGCCAGGTAGGTTCAGAATGACCTTGCCACCGGGAGCGACGCTCGCAAGAACGTCGACATCCTTAAGAATCTTCTCATCACCAACGACAATGGCGTCGGCCTCGTTAATGTCGTAGGGAGCTTCAAGGGTCGTCTTGGAGACGCGAAGGTCGGAGCGGACGGCACCGCCCTGAGCGAGGTTGTCGTAGACCTCGCGAACAAATACGTTGGAGGTGGACTGCTTGGAAAGAAGCGTGCCAATAACAGCAGGAGAGGCCACGGCGGCGGAGCTGTCCAAGTCCCAGAAAGTGTACTGCTCGGCGGCGATGAGCGAAGGAAGGGTCTTGGCCTCGCCTTCGTTGCCAAAGACTCTGTGCAGGGTGTTTACCAGGCCTTGGGGTGTCAGGGTCTGGGCGGCCGTATATTTGATATCGAGCACGTCGGGCTCCTCGGCGAACTTGCCGGAGAAGGTGACGGCGGTGAGGACATCGCCATAGAGGGCAGACTGCGTGGCCTCGTCGTGCAGGGCCGCGTCGGTGTTGACCTGACCAAGGACAGCAATAGTGCGGACCGAGTCGGGGATGGCGGCGAGGAATGCCTCCTCAATGAAGGGGCGGTAGACGCGTACGTTGATGACGCCGACCTTGGCCCCCTCGACACCAATCTTGGTCATGACTTGACGAGCAACCTGGGCCTCGACGCTGCCAAAGGTAACGAGAACCACGTCAGGGGTGTCGTGGCCATGGTATTCGAAAGGAGCGTAGACGGTACCGAGCTCATCGTTGAAAGCCTTGAGAAGCTCGACCACCTTACCGGCGTTATCGAGGCGCGGGTTTAGCTTGTTGGCCTCGGCAGCGAGCTTGGTGTAGAGGTCGGCAACGCCGGCCTCACCAAGAGCATCAACAACGCGGAGGGTCTCACGGGCAACGCGAACACCATCATAGACGTGCAGTGTAGGCAGGACCGTGGCGAGAAGCGTCGCGAAGACCGACATGTGCTGGGCTTCGTAGGCTGAGGAGGAGGCGACGAGACCGAGGCCCAGCTCTTCCGCCAGGCGCAAGGCACCGTCGTAATTGGCAACGATGCCGTTGGTGGCCGAGTAGTCGGCCGCCGCCACGTGGGCGACAAACGGGCTGGCGACGCTGTAAAGTAGCGAAAGCTGGTCGAGGGTGGCGCGGAGCGCCGGCAGGCTGCCGGACGAGGCGAGCAGCGTCTGGGGAATGTGGCGCTTGGTCACGTCAAAGTCGGGCGAGAAGATGTAGCCGAGGGCGAGGGTGCCGGCGCCGGCGCGGGTTTGCAGGCTCAGAACCTCGGGGGTGTATTGATGGATGTTGCGGTCGCCGGCGGCGGCCCAGCGCTTCGCGGCGACGTCGAGGTCATACGTCTCGGGCGAGTAGGAGAAGATCTTGTCGGAGAGCTTGTAGGCAATGTGCTGGACGAGCAGCTGGGCCGTGACATAGGTCGGGCCGGAAATGTCGCCAATGGCCACATGCTTGCCAAAAGGCAGCGTGGAGGACGACTGTGAGGAAGACATGGCGAGGATAATGGCGAGGCTGACGGGAATTGTGTCGCGATGTACGGGAGTTTGGTGATGGATCCGTAGACAAATCACCCAGGGTTTATTCCTGCGCCTGAAGGAGCCAGCAAGCGTCTAATGAGTACAATAAAAACACGGACACGAGACAACAGATGAAAGGGTGAAGGAAGAGGAAGCACGAGGAAAATAGCATTTACTCTATTTCGAAGACGTGGGAAAAAAAAATAACGGACGGGCCCGCCTCCCCTCATGGAATGGCGGAAGCGCCGAGGGTCCGTCCCCAAGCATTGCGAGGGCGCGCAGAAAAGTGCTTAATTGCGCGACCAGAAGCGTGTTGTTGCGTAGGTTTGGCTGGCTCGAGCGAAATTGTCGATAGTTGCACACAATCACGCAATTGACTTAGACCAAAGGTGGTTTAGCGCCGATGATGCCACCACCCTTGAGCCTCGTCGGCTGCCATTTTGGGCCCAATTTTGCTGCGACTTTGCGGGCGACCGTCTCCGAACCACCGGGAGGCCCCAGTTTTGTTTCCGGCTGCGACTCTGGTTGGCCCGGGTCGTCGCTCAGGGCTGTTTCGTCTGCTTGGTCATGATGAAAACCATTACCGACCTTCCGGGGACAGCAAGAATGCATGTGTGCCGATGACGGGCAATCGGCTCATCATTAAAGAGATGCCGCATCCGCACTCTTTTTCTGTCGATGGGGTGGACGTGGTGGTGTTCGCGTCGTCGGGCCTGGCCTATTTTCATTCCACGGCTCACGAGTCCCGCCTCCGTCGCTTGATAGATTTCTGACTGCTCACTTGTAGATCGATAGACATCTTCGTATCCTCCTCCACGTCCATATCCATGCCGTCGACTCGGCTCTGCACATTTTTGCGCTGCAGTCGTCGTAAGAGGGCGTGATCGAGGTAAAAGTCGCGGGCAAAGTCGGCGTGTTTGAATAGCTGTACAATATTATCAATTAGTCATCAGATACCGGACAGGCAATGGTTTCCAAGAGATTGCAGAATATTTAGCACATACCTGAGAGCATCCTGTTTGCGGACATTGCACCCCAGCGTTGCTCGTTGGAAGGTAGTCTAGGATGGCTGACTTCTCAAACGTGTGTTTGCATTTTCTGTTGCTGTAGGGCTCAACAAACTCTTGCAACGAAAGCGGACATCGCAAGCTAGTAACTTCTCGTGCCACGGCAATATCGTCGTCCGAGTTGTTGCCCCCGTCGACTGTCCTGCTTCGTCTTTGCCCTGCACGGGGAGCCACCGTGGGCAGAACAGGCGCACCATCGGCGGCAAACCAGCGTGATGCGTCGGGCAGCGGTGGCCCGTCTTCGCCTTGGGCGGCATCATGCCACAACTTCTTAAAGGTTGCATATTCGTTATTGACACCATATCGCTGGTGGACGCTTAACTGCTGGTACTCGCTCAGTTTGTCTTCCTGGCGTGCATGGAGGGAATCGAGCGTGCTTTGGACAGCAGGCGGCTTGTCGTCTTCATCTTCCTCCTCTGGAGGGATCGGGTCTCCATTCGACTGAGCAATTTCGATGGCTTCTTGACGTCTGCGTTCCTTTTGCAGCTGGCGCGTGTTCTCTTGAGCTTGTGCGTTTGTGACATCCGTGTAGATTTCGCCGATGACCTTGCCCTCATCTTCGAGTGCGAATTGGTGGTCGATCAGGAGACGGAGCTTGGCCTCGGCTTCGCGAGAAGCGTCATCAATTTGGCGGGCGAGATCGTCTAGGGTCTCCTCGAGCTTGTCCAACTCCTCTTCACCGTCTTCAGCAGGCTTGTCTTTGAGGCGACGCTTCTGTTTTTCGAGGTGGGCCCGGCGTTTGAAATAGTGCTCTTGGATATCGCCAACGACGTTTCCTAGACTGGTGGTGCTGGCTTTCAGATTTCTAATATATCTGCTCTGCTTGCGGTTGGTGGACAGCTGTTCGAGAGCATGGCGCGCGTCGTCATCGAGGGGGTACTCGAGAAGCTCATATTCCGGCGGGCCAGATGGCGCTGGGGTGGCGGATTCGTTGACGGCGGAAGACTTTGCTCGATTGACCAAGCGTCGAGACATTGCGAGTGCGCTGGGGACCCAGTCTTGGTGCGCCTTGAATGGGTGTTTGTCGAAAATTGTGCGGCAAAAGAGTCGAGATGGGGGATGTGGGGAACGCGTCAGGAACACGCCAAACGCGCTGGGATGGTATAACTTAGTACCTACCCAGGTACCTATTTACCTACCTATAGTAGGAGGTACCTATGGACCCCCACTCTCGCACCGGCCAACATTAAAGGCACTGGCCAACATTGAAGGAGATGTGGCTCGATCCCCAGTACAAATTTAGTTAATTTGTCCCAGCAATTGCCTCGGGCTGACCAATGAAAATGCCTTGTGCCTGCAAGGGCCAGAAGCGAACAAGAAGTTGTACACAGCCATGTCTCGTCTCGCGTTTTTTCTTTTTCTGCATACCGACATGTCGACATTGTCACCAGTTGCCCGATGTTGACAATGCTGCTAATAGCATGCGGAGCGTCATGTGTACTTACAGATCGGGTCGGTTTGGGCTATCTATGGTACTACGTCGTCACTACCCTCGATTGAGTTTCATTGTCCGCAATTGCCCAATGCCCCGGAATAGAAAGGTGGCTCCGGAAGCGCCCTGGACCTGGACGGACTGTTCCGGTTGCACGGCATCACTGCAGCCAACACGTCGCAGAGAGCCCAAATAAGAATGTCGATGTCTTTGCAAAATGCCGATGCCCCCCGGGCACCAAAGCCGCAGTTCTAGACCAAAAGAGCGAATTTTCGACGCGCACTAGAACGACCTTTGCGGCCCTGGGCAGCTGCAGCAAAGTGTCGCCCAGCCGATCTCCCGTTGCAGGTTCAGATGGCCAGCCGTCCGGCCCCACCTTTATATCCATCCCTCGATCGCGGTTCAAGAGGACCATCCGCCGCGATCGAGCCGGCTTCTGCAGCCTCCGGTTGCCTGTACTATCAATGCCCAAAGAGGCCAGCCTGCTTTGCTACCTACCAAATCCGCCAGGAGCGAGCCGCTCCGAGTTGACTTTGTCGTGGCCTGTCGGTTACGTCGTCGATGTCCAACTGCTAGCCCATTATACGGATCGCTCTTTTTGCCTCTTGTGCTATGCTGGCGCCATGTTGTATATTACCTAGCTATGCCTGCCTGGGAGCCACAAGCTTCATATTGTTGCTTGTCGCTCCCACGCTCATGGCAATCTTTCGTCAACCCGCATCTCGTCGCTAGTACTCTCTCTATTCGTGTATGATTTTTGTCTTTTTGTCAGCTTCTCCTTGCCTCTCGAAACTCGTCAACTTCCCTATTACATTAACTCAGCAAATCAAAAACCGACATCATGTTTACCGTTCCTAGGGCACCTATAACTCTGCCCAGCATGAATCCCTGGGAGTCACAAGCTCTGGCAGTATGTGCTTAGACAGTTTCCAATAACCTTCCAAGTCTCGTATCCTAATTTTACCTTTAGCACAACTTCCCCGGCGACACTTCACCCAGCGCTGACGACAAGGAAGCTGCACGTTCCCGCCTCCAGTCTCAACAGGATCCTATCATTTATCCTGGCCTCTACGCGCCTAGTGGGATAGACATCATGTCGGTTTTGGTATGATTCCATCATTCGAGAATTGCTTTCTTGTATATACCATGCTGATGATTTCATAGTTTAACGTCTTTACTCGCGCGGATCCAACTGTTCAACTCGGGCCTGTAGATTGCTCTGCTGCCGTCACCGTCAGCAACCTCGATCTTCCAGGCAGCCCCATCGTCTACGCAAACGAGGCTTTTTCCGAGTTGACCGGCTACACTACCAGTGAAGTTGTGGGTAAGAATCCTCAATTTCTACATTCACCTCAAAGAATATGCTCTCTGCCAGGCATTCTGCTCGACCAGCATAGCACCGCCATCCGGAGGCTAGAAGAGGCAGAGGCCAACCGAAACGAAATTCAGCTCTACATCACCAACTTCAAGAAAAATGGCCAGCGTTTTACCAATCTTCTCAGCATGATACCGATTCGCCTCCCAAATGATGGCACACAATATTGCGTCGGCTTCCATGTGTCTGCGGACTAGACGTACATTTACCCTCCAAAAACACTGGTTGGCGGATTTCCCTTCTCCCAACTGCTCTTTTACATTTACAATTACGACAAGGCATACACAAGCGAAGGCTCATGATTTTTTGAATTACGGCATGATTTCTTTGTCCTCTTATACCCCAGTGGTTAAAGACTTGCTTGCTACAGAGCCCAGAGCTCGCCAGCAATGTACTGCAAGGCTTTGGTTATTATACCTCACCGAAATACACGATACGGATATACTGGTTTCTTTAGACAACGACAGTACACGACATATATCTACATAGACAGCATAAATACAGTTGATGCCTCGAAGGCTCGTCCATCTCTCATTAGACCTCCACAGTATTCATACAACCACGTAACGTTTTATTTCCTGAGCCTGAACCCCCGCAGTACTACTCCAGTAATGTGATGTTTTATTTCCTGAGCCTCCCTGATCTGCGTCTGCCACCATCATCCGCCACCGGCTCAATTTTGACCTTTTTGCTTTTGCTGCCGTCACTCGTGGTGGCGTTCGATCGCTTGCCTTTGCTTGGCGTAGTGTCTTTTCCCTCTAATTTTACTGCCTTGTCTGCTGGTTTGCGATCTTTCTTGGGTATTGTTTTTCCTTCATCAGCCTTTTCTACGATAGTCTTGCTGGTCGACTTGCGGGCTTTTTTGGGTGGCACCTTCTCTTCGCCAGACTCTTTTTTTACAGCAAGCTCCGTTTTAGCGCTGGCTGCCACGCGGCCTGTCTTTTTCTGAATAGCCGGAGCGAAGCAACTTGTACGTCCGCCGACTGTGATGAAAGAGAGCTTCTCACCGTTGGGAAGCTTGGATGGCGAGTTTTTGTCACCCTTGCCCCAGCGGTGATTAAATAGCCAGTGCTCTGGGAACTGATCCGAATCGCCCAGCTTTTCCACAGCCAAGTCACAGACGTAGCAGATAGATTCGTAGAGCTTCTTGATCTCAGCATCGCTAAAGTCGTCGCAGTACTGCTCGGGGTGCATCTGGGCGTGGTACAACGTCTCGTCGGCAACCCAGTTGCCGATGCCGCTGATCATGGTCTGGTCGAGAAGTAGTGCCTTGATGGGAACATGGCGCGATGTCATTTTGCCGCGTAGGTAATCCTCGGTGAAGCGGTCCTTGTCCACAACAGGATCGGGGCCGTTCTCAACAAGCGGCGAGTGTTTCCGTATGGCTTCCCCAGGACAGTCCACCAGCCTGACGCGACCAAAACGGCGGGGATCGGTGAAAGCAACCTCGACAGCAGGCTCATCATCTGTCACAATGGAAAATTTCCAGAATTTCGGCGGCCACACTGCGTACTCGCTATCTTCCATCTTTTTGAAGTAATTGGTGTATGCAGTCTTGTCATTTCTAATGTGCATCCAGCCTGTGGTAAATTAGCCATTTGCGACGGCTTATGTGAAAGAAATAACTTGCCAGTCATGCCGAAATGCATTACTAGATGCGGAGGCTTCTCTAATGTAATCCTGCCATATTGTTGGTGAACGCACAAGCACATATTCATGGTCTTGCCTACCAAAAGTATTTGCCCTGCGTGCCAGCGGACACAACCTGGGGTTCGGTGAGCATAAATTATGCAAAAAAGACATTAATTCTCATACCTTTTTGCCCTTTAGGGCAGCTGCTACAGCAGCACCAGTGGTGCCGACCTTGCCAAATACATTGGCATCGTCAATGGCCTCAGCGGAAGCAATGCGCTTACCAACTAGGTGAATGCGCAGATAGTGGACTGCCCGTGCAACTAGTACAGAAAATCAGCACAGTACAAGTGAATGGCATCATTTGACCTACTCTCAGCAATCTCGGGCATCTTGTGTATTATTTTTCTGACAATCGAAGACTTGACAATGAAAGCAACGACTCTAACTACTTGTCATATTCACGTACGCGCCACCCCTGTACGCCCCACGCCACGAGCACCAGCCTCCGCCATCACGCCCAGGCACGAAATCTCGTGACGCGCTTACCTAACCTTACCGCTGCTCCACCGAAAAAAATCTACCTTTATTACCTCGCAGCTTCGCTCTGAAAGCTCTTCCTTCCTACCACATCACAACGATTCTGACAACAGAACAAGCCTTTTGGTAAGTCTCAAGACTAGCATTTCGCCTAACCTTGCGCAATTCAGCACATTTTACTTTCCCCATCTTCCTGATGACAGCTTGAAACCGCAAACTAGAGTCTTTGACCTCTTGGAATGAAAACTCTACTTCACACGTCAGTCTGAAAGACCAACCTCGCTCTGCATCGCTTGACTGTATGAATAACATTGTGAGCTTCAAGCTAACCGCGTCGTTAGGTCCATGTATCCTGACGTTCCAGATACGGCTGTCTCCAGGTAGACCGTGATGGTCAATAAGAACCAATTGGTACGTCGACGTGTTACCTTCTTTTTCCCTCTACCCTTTGCTTGTTATGATGATCAATTCGTAAACAATATACGCTGGAAATTACCGGCTGAGATTTATCTTTGAAGATATAAAATGGCTTTGTCTGACGCAAATCACAACACACTTTTTTTCTATCGCGACCTTTTATCAAGCTTCCCCGCTAACAGTTCCAAAGATTTACAGACAAGGTACGAACCACATTCGGACAACTGAACGTCCTTGAAGCATCCTCCTTGAATGATGAAGCGGCACTGGGCTCCGAACAAATACACATGAGCAAGACAAGCCATTTTGCGGCAGGCCTAGAAAACCTCGCCCACTGACTTCAAACACACTCATCTGCGTCTTGAGCATGCTATGGTTGGCCAGTTTGCTGACTAGCTTTGCAGTGTTTTTTTTTGCTATTGTAGTGTGACAAGTGAACACCCCGGCCTTGGCTATGATTTCACAGGGTACGTTGCTTCATCTACACAACCACAATCCCAACTTCATATGATGCAACCAGATGACGAGTCTTATTCGAGTTTTCGATGCTGACACTATCTTTTTTTAACCATTCATGCCAAACTGACTCATCCCCTCTATCACTTCTTCTTTCAGAACTTCTTGTCTGGTACATCGGCTAACCCAAGAACCAGATCCTTTTAGTATCCATTCCAACGGGTTAGTCAACACCTGCGCCGTGTCCAGCCCACCTTCTGCGTGATGAACAAGAATGAAAATGACAAGCATATGTCCGAGCTCACGCTACGAAGACAAACTCATTCGTCGTCTGACTACAGAAGCCACCAACCTATGGTTACGATGGTTGAGGGGGAGCTTGAAGCTAACCTGGCTCAGTGTTATTGCGCGATTCTTCACTAACGACCTTGACGACACTGCTTGTAGACTTGTAACAGGTTAGTACCTTTTGTCTTTCTCACTCCCCTCTCCGGCTGTTTAATATGATGTTACAATTATCACGACGGTCAACGTAGCCATGTTGCATTGACGATATCGCCCATGACAGGGCACTTGTCTGAAATTTCGCAGCCTTCCCTCTCTCTGGTGCAAACTCATGAAAGGGACACACGCTGACTTTGCCAGACATCTAGACTTGTAAATATGACTTTCCATATACCCTCCAATTTATATTATGATTCAATTGATAACTGTATGTGCGTGCGCATGTGACTGTCCTTGTCCCTCTGTAATTGACAGCTGCGTAATAATGGATGCTCAGTCTATGTAATTTTCCTTTCAAGAAGACCTTGACAGCGGCAAGGAATGGACGGACGAAGAATAATACAAACACGGTTCTTTGTAACGGATTCTGTCTGTACAGATGTAAAGTAGGAAGAAGTAGAAATCAGCGCTGTTGTATTAAGGGTGATGATTAAACTAGTAGGTATGCGCATGCGTTCAAGTCATGGCAAGATTTCATTCTGCCTTGACCCGTGTCTCCTCCACGAACCAAGTCCGTCGTCTCTCGCTCTACAAAGAGGTGGGCTCTGCCAGCTTCTTCTTCTCGTCGTGGGCGACTGCCGCCGGTGGGGGTGCGGCCGCCGCGCCCGAGACGCTGCGCGTGACACCGCTCTCCTGCTCCGTATGCAGGGCGGTCTTGGGCAGGACCTCGGAGGGCGGGTTGAGGGTGAGGGCGTCTTCCTTGGGGTTGGTGGGGGAGGCGGGGGAGGCGGCGACGGCGGCGTTGAGAGAGGCGGGCGAGCCCGGCGACACGGGCGAGGTCGGCTCGGCAGGACCGGTGGCACCGCAGACGCCGCGGACGACCTGGAACCATTTCTGGGCGTCGGCGGGGGTGTGGGCCTTGAAGGCAAACTCGGAGCTGCCGGTGAGCTTGCTCGACAGCGTCTTGCTCCTGTCCTTGCCCTTGATGTTGAACTTTTCGCCGTTGGGCGCGCCAATGACGGCGTCGGGCAGGTAGAGCGACAGCTCCGGCTTGGGGTCCTGGCGGGCGTCGTCCGAGTCTTTGAACTCGATGAGGAACTTGGACGGGGTGACGACGTAGTAGGCGGTCGAGTAGCCAAACGAGAGCTTGTTGCGCGACTTGCGCTCGAGGGAGCCCTCAATCAGCGGCTTGGTGGCGGGGTGGTCCATGTTGGGGAAGTTGATGGCGTCGACGGAGCGCGCGGGGTCGTTGGGGTTGGCGAGGCGGTCGGCGCTGCGCGTGGCAAAGTTGGCCCACTCGAAGCCCTTGGGCACGCACTGGATGGTGCCGAGGACGTCGTTGTGCAGCGCGCGCATCTTATCCGCCTGGCCGCCGGTGAGCTGGACGAGGGCGCCGACGGCCTCTTGCAGGACCTCGATGATGTGCGCCTCAAACGTCTCAAAGTTGTTCTGGACCGAGATGAGGTCGTTGGTGTGGTTGTTTTCGGCGAGCACCTGGTTGGAGAGGCGGTGGAGGACGCCGCGGTAGACGACGTAGGGGTCGTCGGTGCCGTGGAGCTTGCCGCCGGCCGAGTCGTACGCCGCCGTCTGCTGGCCGAGCAGCTCAATGTGCTTCTGGGTCGTGTTGCGCAGCTTCTCGACCTCCTTGGCGCCCGAGTAGGCGCCCGAGTCGAGCTCCTTGGCCTTGTGCTTGATCTCCTTGTGCAGGCGCTCGAGGATGGGCAGCACGGAGCCCTTGATGCTCTTCTCCGTCTCGAGGTTGGTGTTGATCATGGCCTGCGTGTTGGCGCGCAGGTTCTCGAAGAAGCCGGCGACGCCGCCGAGGGACTGGTCAAAGTGGTGGCCCTCGCGCAGCGGGTTGGAGATGGTCTTGAGCACCTTTTCGTACTCCTTTGCGTGCTTGCCGTGAATCTTTTCCACGGCGGACATGTAGTCCTGGAGGTAGGTGATGGCGTGCTTCCAGGCCTGGAGGCGCTCGGCGAGCAGACCGGCCGTCTGTCAGGAAAGAAAGAGGTCAGCAAGCGCACAGCACTGGCAAAAATATCATTTGCTTGGGGGAGGGGGCGCGCATATTCCTTCTCGGCCAACGGGAGGGACGTACGGTCGTGGGGTCAAAATCGGGGACGGCATCCTCGAGGCTCATGCCCGTAGCTGTGCGGGACGGGAGCGCGGACGAGGCGGGGGAGGCCATGGTCGATGTGGTTGTGGTATGTGGTATGTGGTTGGTTAAGGATATCGTTTCTTGCGAAATCCGTGCAAGAAAAAAGAAAGCAACTGAGAGCCAAGTGTGACAAGAAAGAAGAGGAGGGGAAATCTAGGCTTGTCGGAGCGTTAGCGAGGGGAAATGAGAAGAGGGAGCTTATTATTAGGGGAAGCTTGAGAGGGGGGCCTCCTTGGCGGAGCTGCCAGGGCCCGATGAAGAACGGGGAGGGGAGCACCAAGGGCGGTGTGCTGCATCGAGTGCCTGCTGCTGCTTCTATGCAGAAAAAAAGCTTGATTTTGGTCATAGACCTGGCAAGCGATGCTGTTTCTGCGGCTAATGAGGCACGCCATCACATTCTGTTCCTTTTGCCGCAACAAGTTCTCCCCCCTCCCCATTGTTCTTCTGCCGATGGTGTTTTGCGAAGAGCAGGTGGCGACCGGCCGAGACCGTCAACATTGCCAAGTACATTTTGAACGTACCTAGAATTTTGCAGGTTTTCAAAAACAAATATCGCCTATTTCTTTATCGGCTGGTGGCCTTTGCAGTAGAAGTGCGTGGTGGCGTGTCAATAAACTGACCAGGTAATAGGATAAGCAAAGTATTGGAATCGAATATGAGGGAATCAACACAAGGTAAAAGAAGCCGATCAAACACCAGCAAAAGGGATACAGAGTCTTTGTTTTTAGCGACTGATGAGAAGCAGGTTTGATATTAATACTCGCCACACACAAGGAAATCGAGCGCGACGTGCCCTTTTGGTCCAATGACATAAGTGACGTCAGCGCCGCATCGCCTGGCACGCGCCGTTGAGCGCGCCAACATCCTAGACCCCTGAAACAAAAGCTACGTCATGCTATTGACTTGTTGTCGTTTCATCAACTTCCGTGTCAAGGTATTTGAGTATGTTGCCTGTACATGCCATGCACCATGGCCCGCCAAGAAAACGTGTCACAGACCCTGATCGTCACTTGAAGCAGGGGTCCCAATCCAGGATTTCCGTCGTGGCTGTGCACAAAAAAGGTTGATGCGATCCGATCCATATTGCTTTCCCATCCTTGATCGATGCTCATTCCATGATTCACTACCACGTATAATTTTTCCTTGGGCCTTGACACAACCCACCTGCACATGCTGTACGCACTTACACAGACGAAGCAAACCATTGCATACAGCACACCATCGGTGACGACATATGAAACGGCTGGGATTGCACGTACTACCCGCCCGTCTCTTGACAGCCTTAGGAGTTCGGATAAGTGTATTGTTACACGGCATCCTCTTGACGCCAGTTGTTCGCCTTCACTCGCTTCTTAGATGTGCTCTACCTTCCACAACCAAAGTCGAGGTTTGCGGGGCAGGCGAGAGCGAAAATAAATAGATAAGAATAGTTGATTTTGATCATTAATGGCGCCCGATTCTGTTGGGCAAAATATGTTATTGACCAGTATCAGCCACTACATTTCCGAGTGTTCTACTAACCCCTGTCAGCATCCCCGGCTGTGTAACGCCGCCCTGGCACATCCGGCGCCGACGCCCCGATTGGGCACCGCTGTCCGGCGTGGCGCTGTCCGACATGTTGGCTGAAGTTCCAAAACTTTACATGTTCATCAAGAGCAAATGTTTGGCGGTAGTCCGTGTAGTGATCTCATAACAAAACATGTGCGTGGTATTATTAGGGTAGAATTCTAGCCCAATCTGCTATTCATGGTTTCAATGCGCCTGTGCCTGTATAAAAATGCAAAAGGTTCCCATGCTCGTATGTGATAGGGTCCAAAAGGCCCAACTGTATCCGATAAAAAACGCCCAAAATAAATCCTTGTTGTATGACTGGCAGTCTATGTGTGAGAGGGGAAGTGTGGGGGGAATATGTATATGTGTTATCGTAACGGCGTATTTCTATCTAGGTAGAAAGCGGCACTGCACCATTGGTACGCCTCGACGAGTTTCTCGAGATTTCAGGGGGTCGCATGTTGTACTCCTCCATACCCCGTTCAGAAATGGGTGATAGTATTTCATGGCCCCCTTCCGTTGCTGGCGGTGTGCGAGGAGCACTGAGCGCAGTCTGGTAGTCGGGAAGCGGCCCTCCCGGCACCTGCACGCGTGAGCGCGCTGGTGTGCGCACCGCCGTCGCGTAGCTAGGCACGCGATTGAGCTCAGCAAACTCTTCAGGGTCGAGGTGCACATGCTCGGTGGACGCCCGGTCAGATCCTTCTTCTTCGCTGTTGCTACGCGTCAGGTTGTTTGACGACGGTGGTTCGGATCGCGCCGCGGAGCCGGTGCTGGTGCCGTGGTTAGGAGAGACGCGTCCTGACATCGAGCTGAGCGAGTTGAGCGAGTAGTAGGATATGCTGCGCTGCGAGGGATCCAGAGAGACATCAGCCAGGCGTGATGATAGTGCGGCCGGCGCAATGGGCGACATGTGTGGCACAGGGTGAAGGTTTTCGGCAGAGCCGCTGCGCGACTGGGCATAAAACGGGCTGCTGACTCCAGACTGGATGCCTGGCGTCTGGAAGCCGCTTGTATCCATATCTTCATAAAGTTGGTCGAGGATATGCTCGCCATAACCCGGAGGCGCAGCACCAGCTGTTTGACGGCCGACGCCGCCCTCGCCAGGCGCTTGGTTGACCATGTTGCCCTGCTCATCGAAGGGGATATTGGGAGAAATGAAGATGGAAACGGGAAGCGTAGCACGAAGCTCCGAGATGTGACCGTCGGGATTCTTGAGAGCCACTGTCAGCTTGATCTTATGGCGGACCTTAATGCCATGGTGGTTCACGTCCTGAATGCATTGGCGCAGTTTCTTGGGCAGGCTCAACTGCTTAGTGAGTGCCCATCCCTCCTGTCCAGTCTCTTCAATCATGTCGTGCCAGTGTTCGTCGCGCGTTACTTCAAATTTCCACGTGGCAACGTCGCGCTCTGTTTTGTGTTCGCGAATGTTGATGCCAGTAGAGCCCTGAATGACACACTCACGCGTCTCAATCATCTTGGCCGTTACCTCGCCTAGCTCGAGGCCCTTGAGCAGGGGTGTGAAGCGCATTTCCATATCCACGACGCCACCAAAGACGACGGCCTTTTGGGGGATAACAACCGAGTACTCGAGCTTATTGGGCCAGATATTTTCTACGCTCATGGCATGGAGAAATTCGAGCGCGCCAGCTTCGAGCGTACGGATGATGCGAAGATGCTTGTAAGCGTGTAAGTCGTAGGCAAGTTTGCCGCGGCTGACGGTGGCTTTGAGACGGTAGGTAATGGAGGCTTCGGGGATGCCCTCGACGCTTTCCGGCGTGTCGCCGGGGAGTGTGAAATCGAAGGGATATTCGTAGTTGCCAGCAGGAAGAGTCATACTCTTTCCGTGTGTGCCGACAAAGGGAGACCATCGGTGATCGAGAATCAGAGTCGTCTTGTCGACCTTTTGCCCAGCGACGGCGGGAGTACTAGATCTAGGGTCGGCCCAACTGTACATTTATGACGGTTAGACTTGTCAACGGCGATGGGAGCTAGTGGTGGGGTGGGATTGGTGAGCAAGCACGTACGAGACACGATGTGTTCCTGTCAATCGCAGGTGTATATCTTCCATGCGCAGGGGCTGTGATAGGCAGAGGACTACGACGCCTTTGAGAAGCTGGCCAGCAGATTCATGGTCGTTGCCGCGAAAGACGATAAAATCCTGGTCGAGGCTGGCGAATCATTAGTGGGAGTTGAAGGGTGGCGCGTCGCGGCGGGCAGCGGTCAGGCACGTTCAGACTTACCGAATGTCGAACAGACTGTAGCTGTTGCGTCCGGTGACGGAGGAGAAGGGATTGAAGGTCGGCATTTCGGCCGAGGGTGGTGCGTCGCGGGGCCAAGGCCGCTCAGCGCTTTATAAGTGAAGAATGACGCCCGCAATGATGTAGGTATAGAAAGCGGACGGTTGAGTGGCAGGAGCGCAAAAGTCGTGATGGTAAAAAATAGGAGAGCTGGTGTAATGTGGAAGAAGATGGATTTGTTGCTTGAAGACAATCAAATCGGTGCGAAACCGGCTAGTCGAGCAAACGAGGCGTTATGTTATCCAGTGTCGAGAGTCAGTCGTCACGTCTTGTCTGGCTTGGTGGGGGGCGTCGTGGTGCCGGACCGGTTGGTGGCTGACGGTCGCTGAAGCCGAATCAAGAGTAGGCTATTAGAATGACGGCGGCGGTTCGGAGCTGACTGTGCTGATTGTGTCGCTTTGAAGAATTGTCTGAGGCGCGATTGATTTTTGGCTTGTCCGTCGAGTTTGCTTTGGAAATGGGATAACTAGGAGGAGAGGAGGGAAGAGTCGGGAGAGAAGCGAGGGCGAGGCGACAAACAGAGGTAGGCAAGTAGTTACCGCCGTCGTAGCAATGAGCTGACAAGATAGATGTCCATTCAGGTACTTTGTACCTGGCAGAGGAAAAAATAGATGGACTGGTCGGACAGAAAAGACTGGAGCTGGGACTGTTGACTAGGCCGGTGATGCATGCAAGAGACTGGTGTAAAACAGTGGACAGTCAGGATGATACCTCAAGCGAGTGGATTTGGGCGCAGCATGTGTGGATAGACGGGAGTGGATGCGATTGATGGTGTGGGCAAGTTTGGGAAAGGGGAGTAGAGAGGCGCGATGTCGAGGATTGATAGGTGATAAGTGATGGATAGGTCGGTAGGTAGGTAGGTGGTATGGAATATCGAGATTGAGCGTGAGGGAGGCGAAGCAGATGAAGGCGAGAGTCGGCGATTGTTACTTTTGCAGTCGGAATATGAAGACAGACAGGTACGGCTACTCCGGAGAGGAAGAAAGCGAGGGAAAGAGGAGAGACAATTTGAGCCTGGGAACCCTTCCAGCGCATCTACAGCGCATCGACAACAGTTTGACAGCTGAGACAGGGCAGTATCGCCGCAACCTGTTCATGCACGCCGGTACCTTGGTTGGCCGTTGACGGGGATGCCTCTTTGGTCCATTCCGGCCCACTGCCTACGACTCACTCATCACCTCCCGTAGACCGCCGCGACTCATTCACACAAAATACATCAGTGACGAGATGGCTCGATGGCTCACCGTCGCTCAGGATGCAAGTCAACTCACGCATGCAGTCTGATGCATGGCTTGAAACCTTGTCCACTTACAAAGTACACCCTCTCGCAACAAAGTACAGCACCTCGGTACCTCCCAGAGCACGGTGTCTTCCGGCTCGAGCAACTGCTCGCATGTGTCTCTGATTCATTACTCTTCACCCGGACGATCTCTTGGGTTGCACTGCGAATGCCGCCCGGTTCAGTAGCCTATTTAACTAGTGCGAGGTAGCCTGGTAGGGTTGCAGCGAAAAAAAATTAACACCGAGCGTGCATCCATTCCAGAACGCTGTATCCGTACCTAGGCATGGTATAACTACCTTAGCAGGTACAGAGTAGTTTTTAGCCTAATTTTATCGAGTTTGCGTCGAGTTGCCGCATCCGTAAGAGACGTGAAACATGCAGCGAACGGTTAATGCACAGGGACATGCGGCCGCATACAGGGTTCAACATCGATCGGTATTTGACCTGGCCAAAAAAAAAACACCCTTGTAATATAATATGTAGTAATTTTACGAAGTCTTGGTCAAAACACGTAGTGTACATGGTTACCGCCACTTGATCCCTCTGCATTCCTTTTGCAAGGAGAATGCCGAGATACTAGGTACCTACCTACCTAGATACTAGATATGTACTTGCACATGCACAAGCCACTGGCCACCAGCCACAAACTCCGAAACGCCAACTCGCCTCGGCGATCGGAAAGCTTCACCTTGGCTTGTGCTTCTGCGCATTCCGACACGCCAACCACCGCCTCAAAACTCAACTTGGCTGTACCTCCAGCTCGTCACTGCGCCGCCACCACCAGCACACATAACTGCTGCGCTACTTGTCTACGTCCTTCTACCCTTATCTTGCGTGCTTTGCCATGGCCCGTCGACTGGCGTGTCATGCCATGATGCCATGCAGGGCAGCACTCACAAACCCAGTAGAGTCTGTGCATCTCCAAACGCCAATAATAGAGACCCTTACCGTGACGTTTCTTTGTAAGGCTTCTCGCGTAAGTGTGTATTGCAGGTCAATCGACAATGTCAGTCCCACAACGTCGTGGGCGAATGTCGGCATGTTGCAACAACCTCTCATATTATCAGCTCATCTGAAACCACCACCGTCAAACCGTCGATGACGGCCCGACCAGAGAATACTACCCAAAAAAAAAATAAGAAAAGATGAAGGGAAGCAGGATACACATTCAAAAGAAAGCCCTCTATACTATGGAGCCATCGTATCTGCTGCGGCGCCATTTCCCTGTAACCCATCCTGATAGCAGCGGGTCGTTGCCCGCTGTGGAACCCGCCTTGACTCTTGGCCTTTTGCATTGGCCCTTTCCTTTATTATTATCCATCTTTCCAGCCCAGAGCCTCAAGCGATCCGATGGCATGTTGCAAAGCTGAAAGAGCCGGTAAATTGCAGTGGGTGTGGCTATGCGGCTCCTCGATCGCAACAGCGTCATGGCCGGCATGGGCCGATGGCAGAGCTCTTTCTTGGCCCGGATTGCCACCACACTCTTTCAGCCTCTCTATATGTAGCTACGGATTGGCCGTTCACATGTTGAATCGAGACTCCAGGTTGGCCGGAGCGTCTCATCTTGTCGCCTTGCTTCTCACAGCTCGCAGGGTTCATCAGCCAGCCACCAGAGCTGATGGGCAGATGATGCAGCCCTCTGAGACGTCACCGACGCGGCACATGGTCCGGCGCGATCGAGCTGCCGTTCCATCATGTAGCCCTGCTGCTCATGCTCATGTATCATGTTTATGTGTGTACCAGACGCCCCCCTGTCCGTCTTATCTCTACGAATGCCGTCAGCCATCAGCCCATCCTCTTCAACAAAGCAAGCAGAACCTTTGGGAAATGACCATAATAAATCATCGTTCATACGGATATTAAACGCGCACTTTCACTGGGCCGTCCAGGGACCCTGCTGCTTCACCGATAACGATCCATCACCTCATAACCCGTTGCCAACGACCACACCCATCCCTTTATTCCCGACCTTGCCTCGTCCCTCTTTTATTATCATTTTTGTGGTTTTTCTTCATTGTATCCACATTGCCATCTCCTAGTTACGTCCCAAAGAAAAAAGATGAAAATTAAGTTTATTGGCCTATCTTGCTTATCTGGCCGCGCTTCACCTGGATTTGCCTCCCTTTTGTCATCCGTAATTCAGCCCTGGCCAAGTGTCGGGTCTTTCGGTCTACCACACCGAGAGTCCTGGCCGCCAAGCCTTTCTCTCGCTTTGTTTCTTTGTCTGGACAGACACGCATCAGGCCAGCGAATCAATCAAGCGCTAGACCTTCTAGAATGTCCAACCGACTGCCCTTGTCAAGCACGGGTAGAACCACGTTGTCCGGCACGGCCGGCTCATCATACCCCCTGTCAGCCACATTACACTAACACGTCCAACACACACCCTCGAAATGCAGGCAGCACCAAGTGAGATGAAGAGACCAGACATTGTAACAGTAATTCATATGTGCTATGAAATCTAGTATCAACAGGATAAGTAGAACCGACTACATGTAAAGAGATCTCGATGGTATCACCAATTTGCACGCTTTTTGATCCGTGACTGGATGCAGAACCTGTTCACCCCGCCACCTGCTATATCTCGCCGTCACCTTGTCAACGAAACAACCACCAACGCCAAAGTCTGCCCTTTACAAGTCTTGTCGTCATCACGAGGCTATTTCTGAAGCCTTTAGATCTACTGCCGCTCCCATACCGGGTCTGTTCCACGTCCTAATGTGACCTGTATCTCGGTTAGCGGCCGTCACGTCAACGAGCACAAGAAAGACTTGCCATTTTTGCAGCTGGTGATAATGGCATCCTCGGTGAACTCGAGCCATGACAGAGGATGTTTGTCAATCACTTTTGTCTGTGCACCCATGTCAACGATGAGCCTAACAAGTCTTCTTAATAACGAAGGCTCCACTCAAGACTTACCATGACTGGGGGAAGCATCGGAATGTGTGCTCGTGGCTCGACAGCATGCGCAATTCTGGAGCCATTTTCGCTGTTGTAGCTACTGAATCGCTCCGGTAAGCCGGAATTCGAAGAGACTGAGCTTCTGTGTCGGTTCTGTTACTGTCATATCAGTATTTTCACAATAGTTAGAAGAACATTGCGGAATCATACGGTTTGGGGGCGGTGCAACATGACCGCCGAGAAATCCCACAGGCACAGTCGCCCATCCTCACCAACACTGCCAAAGCGATAGTTGCGATCGTCACAGCGCCAGGGGTCAAACGCCAGAGCCGCGACCCACGATTCGTGGCCCTGGCATCGTGCAACCAATGCGGTATCGGCCATTGACCATATCGAAATAAGGTCGTCCTGTCCACCGGTCAAGACGTATTTGCCATCTGGTGTCCAGGCTACGCAGGAAAATCCGCCATAGTATGAATAGAATAAATCAAGAAGCCTGACAAAGTCATGTTAGTTTTTGTCAGGCAATGCGTATGCCCACTTACTCTTCCTTGAGATAATCTATGATTCTCAGAGTTCCATCTTCAGACACAACAGCCAGGTGTCTATGACCAGGCGAGAACGAAAATGCGTGTATTCGTTGGTTTGATAGCTTCCAAGCCGCTATTGGGTTCGTCTTCTGGTTCTTGGAGTGCACTGATTTGCGAATGAGCATAGTGATGCCAGATGACGTTCCGTTTGTGCCGTCGCCAGCATCGGAGCCTCCATTGGATTGGTTCTCGTCCTCTGGCGTAAAGGTCGCGTCCTCTTTCTCCTTGTCATAGACAATCAACGAACCATCCATGTGCGCTGCAAGGAAGAGGTTTTCGGATCCAGGCAGCCACTTCACGTGTGCCACTGGTGTATTGTTGATGACGCCCTGGAATAGGTCAGCACCGTAGCATCCAACAGAAGCAGTCGACCTACATTCTTATTCAGTCTGGTATAGCGCTGCGAGATGGGTTCCAGCCAGATAATCTCCCCTGTGGAAAATCCCATGACGACATCGAGGTGGGAAGCGCCTTTCGTAGCCATATTCACATCGTGGCACAAGCAGTGGGCTTTCGTAAATAGAACCTTAACAAGATAGTCCTGCTATTCGGCACATTAGCTGTGGTGATCCGCAATTGGAGACGCAATACTTGCCTTGTTGGTCGAGGACATATCCAGCCATTGGAAAGCCCGATTGATGTTGGCAAAGGCAAAAATACCGTCCGCGGGATGATCCGTAAGTCGCCGGCTTACGCTGTCATGGACAATGACTCTAGAGATGAATGATGAGTTGCTCTTTGTGACGTTATTCTTTGGCTTCTTTCTCTTGTTCACGTCCTTGGTTACGACCGTCGTCAGGGCCGCATTGCCTTGTCCAAAAGCCGGCGCAGCAGACCCGAAAGCAACTTGTGAACCTTGCTTGTCGCTGTTGGAGGTCGCCCGGCCATCTTCACTGCTCATGCCGCCTTCGGTTGAACATCGAATGTCGTTGGATCCATCCAAGGATACCTGTCCGCCAAAGGAAGATGCTGCAGCTCCCCTGTAGACGAATGGGGGTGGTTTAGGGTGGAGGTTGACAAGGGACAGTTTTGTCCCTGCACTGGCGGGTTGTGGGGTGGTCGCGAGCGGGTTCGGGTTCACGATGGGAGCTTCGGAGGGGTGCGGAGGAGGTGTGGCTAAGGAGAGATCTTCTCTGAGCACGTAAGTACCTAGCACGTGGTCAGCCGACATCAGCATCAATCGTCTGAGGTGTTTACCTTCTCCGACGAGAAACTGCCATTCCGGGCCCGTGGGCTTGTCGATTGTGTTGTTTGTCTCGACGAGCGGCACAATGCCGCCTAGACCTGCGGCTCCATAGCCGCCGACGCCGGGGTATCTCGGAGGAGGTGGTAGAACACTGAAGCCACTTTTGCGACGGAGCTGTCAGCATGGCGGGCAGCAAGGGAGCCATCATTACGGCGCCTTGTCGGTTGGCACGACTTACAGCATTTCGATGTATTTATCCTGTCGTCGGATCCTTGTCTGGGTCCTCTATCGACTCTTCTTGGGGTTGCTGGGAGGGAACGGAAGTCGCGCTGCTTCAGCGCATGTGGTGGTGACGTTATCGTAGCCGACCCCAGCGGTGACGCGGCCGCAATCGTTGGATCGGCGTAGCTGCGCTGTGTTTCACGCAGCGATGTGTATCGAGAATGCTTTCAAGGGCGACGAGGATGGTAGAGGAGCATTTGTTGGCTGTTGGGACGCCGGGGCTGTCGACACTCTCTGGCCATCTGCAGCTGGGGGAGTTTATGTGTGGGGTAGTCAAGCCACCGGAGCCTGGAGGAGTAGCCGCCGACTCGTGCCACTTGGCGGGCTAACAGGGCGGTGGCTGGAACTAGACTCACGCCAGTGAGTCCGGGGCGTTTGCAAAGGTGCCTTTTCGTCGTCAAGTGCCGTTGGGGGACAGAATGGTTTGCTGACTGGAAGCTGGTGATGCTGTGTTGCAGTTGCTTCGCCGATCGTCGGCTGCAATATGGGGTACCTAGGTAGGTAGTCTGCACGTCGCTGCGACTCTGACTTTGTGGGCAGCGTTACCACCTTGGGGGTGGACCCATCCAGACAACAAGCAGTCTGAGGGCCTGAGAGTTGGATTTGGCCATGACAGACAGATTGCTGGCTAGGCTGAATGAATGGGTCACAAGGTAACATGATTAGGTGTTGGCTGGTTGGCGGACTCGAGTTAGCACAGCGTAATAATGTCGTGTGTAGGGTATGCGGGGGGGCAAGCGACGGCGGCAAACAAGCGAGCATGTTGGCGCAGGTTTTCAGGTGCTTTGGAAGTTTGAAAGAGTATAAAATTCGAATTGTCGACAAAGTATTTCAATATTAGCTATATTCATCGAACAATAGTCAAGGTGCTGTGTGCACCATGTCCTAGGAGAAGTTGGCTCTAAGTACCTAGTATGATAGAGTGCGAAAGGGTATATTTTGAACAGAGCTCAGTCAGAGGTGTATACTTTGAGCTATAGCTCCTGGTGGCACAGATCTGCTGATCAATACACGGAATCACCTAATTTCTGTAGACATGTACGGAAGTTCGCATGTGCAACGGGATCATGTTGCACCAGTCATTATCATTAATCAGACCACCTCCCTTTTGGCCCACCCCAACCATTCTATTCTAACTAGCAGGGCGAACTGCTGGAGACGGCCCAAGTCATCATGAACATGCTCTGTGGGGTCAGCCACTAATAAAACCGACCAAAAGTACGTTGTATTTTTGAGCAAATCACCGCCTGATCTCCATACATTGCTGATCACAGGTACCTGCTGTCACTATCAGTACCGCCTTTTCAATGCTGCAACAGTGCGGCAAGAGAGAGCGAGCACCAATCCAATAAGCCACCCCTGCAAGCCCGCAATTCTACCCAGCATCGTCCCGGCCCAGCTCCTCTTCCTCCGGTCGCGTTTCTTTCTCCTCCACGGCCATCTCGGAAGGCTTAAGCTTCATCGTCGCATACATCTGTGGCTTTGTTACTGAAATGTCACGGACATGACGTAGACAAGCATCCTTGAATTCATCGTCTTGTTTCCTCTTCCGTCTTCTGTCCTATTCATCATGACGACAGGTATACTCTCCTCCAAAAAGCCCCCTCTAACCCCCGACACGCTCCAATCATCAAGCTTCCTCAACACGTTTCTAAACTGACGCCAAATGTGGCAGTCCGCATTTGTGTCTGCGGTGATGAAGGCACTGGCAAGTCGAGCCTCATCGCCTCCCTGGTCAAGGACCAGTTCATCAACAACAAGATTCAGTCTGTCCTGCCGCAAATCACCATCCCGCCCAGCATCGGAACGCCAGAAAACGTCACAACCACAGTCGTCGACACCTCGGCCCGCCCCCAAGATCGCACAACCTTGCGAAAGGAGATTCGAAAATGCAACGTCATTCTCCTCATATACTCGGACCACTACAGCTATGAGCGCGTGGCTCTTTTCTGGATGCCATACTTCCGCTCATTGGGCGTCAACGTCCCTGTTGTGCTCTGCGCCAACAAGTCTGACCTTGCTGGCCAAGCCAACACGCCGCAAGTAGTCGAGGAAGAGCTTCTGCCAGTCATGTCAGAGTTCCGCGAAATCGACTCCTGTATTCGAACCAGCGCCCGCGAGCATCGCAACGTCAACGAAGTCTTCTTCCTGTGCCAAAAAGCCGTCACACACCCCATCGCCCCTCTGTTTGACTACAAAGAAGGGAAGCTCAAGCCCGCTTGTGTGGCTGCCCTGAAGAGGATCTTCTTCCTATGTGATAAAGACCAGGACGGGTACCTCAACACCCACGAAATGCGAGAGTTTCAGCAAAAATGCTTCGACAAGCCGCTGACCGACGACGATCTCGAAAATATCAAGCTCTCCATCTCGAAGTCGTTGCCCGATGTAAATTTGGAACCCGGTATCGACCTGCAAGGCTTCCTGCAGCTCAACAAGCTCTATGCAGAAAAGGGTCGCCACGAAACAATCTGGATCATCCTACGTGAATACCACTACACCGACAGCCTGAGTTTAGAAGACAAATTTCTGCACCCCAAGTTTGAAGTCCCCGAATTTTCTTCGGCCGAGCTAAGTCCCGCTGGGTACCGCTTCTTCGTCGACCTGTTTCTGCTCTTTGATAAGGATAACGACGGTGGCTTGAACGATGAAGAGCTGGAAGCACTGTTTGCTCCCACGCCAGGTCTTCCCCCGTCTTGGATCGATTCATCCTTCCCATCGAGTACTGTACGGAACGAAGCTGGCCACATCACTCTGCAAGGTTGGTTGGCGCAATGGAGTATGACCACGTTTTTGGAACCGCACACGACAATATCCTACTTGGCGTACCTTGGCTTCGAACCCGCAAGTCCTAAGGACTCCATCACGGCAGCGCTCAAAATCACGAAATCGCGCAAGAGGAGACGTCGCCCAGGCCGCGTCGAGCGAAATGTCGTTCTGTGTTACTTGATCGGAGCCCCCGGCGCTGGAAAGTCGTCACTCCTAGATGCATTCCTGAATCGCCCATTCGATGGCCTATACCGTCCAACCATCAAGCCACGACGCACCGTAAACAGCGTCGAATTACCCGGAGGAAAGCAGGTGTACATGATCTTCGAAGAGCTTGGCGAGTTGGAACCGGCAATCCTGGAAAACCAGTCTAAGCTGGATGCTTGCGATCTTGTCTGCTACGCCTACGATTCCTCGGATCCGGATTCATTCTCGCATATCGTAGATATGCGAAAGAAGCACCCCTACCTCGACGAGCTCCCTTCGGTGTACACGGCCCTGAAGGCCGACAAAGACAAGACGACACAACGTAGCGAGCTGCAACCTGACCAGTACACTGCTGCCATCAACATGAGCACCCCACTCCATGTGAGCGTCACATGGAATAGCATCACTGAGCTATTTGTCGCCGTCGCCGAGGTGGCCACGAACCCGAGCACAGGCTTTCCCAAGAGTGAGGAGGAGGCCCCTGACCGCAGCGGGCTGTATATTGCTCTGGGAGCCACGGCGTGTGCCGTCATTGCTGCAGCCATGATCTGGCGCCGATCCACCAACTCTGCGTAGGACGTCACCGTTCTTCTCGGGCTGTTTCCTGCACATATACAACGCAACTCAACTCCTTGAACGCGAGCACTCGTTATCTTCTCTTCGACTAATGGCCTGGATCTGCACCGCCTGCCGACCAGCCCTGTACCACTGTTTTTACCCTGCATGGCAGACATATCCTTCGTTTTGTAATCATCACGTTTGCAATGACCTTGTACTCGAGAAGCTAATCCACACTGGAGGAGTAATAGGTGTTTGTCCCTTTTTGGATTATTCTGCATATATTTTCTCTGTCCTGCTGAGGACAATATTTCCATTTTCTTGGATTCATACACCAACACTCCCTTTGTTCACTCTTTTTTTTTTTTACATGCTGGGATGGCGAGGCGCTTTCGTGGCTCTTGGCTGCTCTGTTTGGTGTACAAGAAGAGAAACAACGACAAAGGCACTTCAGCTAGTGATATTATGATACCCAACTTTTCTTCTTTCGAAAAAAATAAATAAACTACGCTCGTTTCAACCAGTCTATACATAAAATTCATTGGACAAGAAAAAAAAACATGTACAACACCCGGTGTTCGCTGGTCGTCACCGAACCAACTACTAATCTGGCGCTCAAGTGGTTTTCGTTCGGAGATCAGACGGGATCCAGATTTTTCACTCGGCTATGGCCGTACATGCTAGATAAATGAGCATATTCTACTTATAACTCGCCTCGTGCAAACTGTTTGCCACACTAAGATCAGATATGCACGCGTGATGCTGCTTCACTTCGTACGGGTCGCTAGTATCAGACACAAAAGGAAGCAGTATATTCGCCATGTAGGATCAAAAGTTGTAGTCTGTTTTTCGTAAATAAAAGTACAAAACATCGTTTTTACACCTTGTAGAAGCAGAAGCCGATGTAGAAGCTCGCCGCCTCCATCTCGTCGTCGCTGACGAGCAAGGGTCCACCGCCGGGCTCGCGGACGCGCATGCGCTCGCTCAGGGGTCCCAGCTCCGGGTCGTCCTTTTCGGCGGCCCAAATCTCGGGAAAGGTGCGGTGGTACTGCATTTCGAGGTTGTAGTCCTCGGCGAGGGCGCGAAACGCCTCCCAGGGCACCACGTACTCGGGCACCTCTTCCACGGCCTCGTCGAGGAAGAAGTTGTACTTCCAGCCAAATGCGGGGCGGAAGACACCGTCCTCGGGTGTCGGGCCAGGGAAGCGCACGCGGTAGATGGAGTTGCCCCATTCCGCCGACGGCTCGGCCTCGCCCTCTTCCAGCTCGCCGTCCTCAGGCTCCGGCGCGTCCCCGGCGGCCCCCGCGGCCGGCTCCTGGTCGCCACTAGCAGCATCGCCAGCACCGCTGCTACCCTCGGCCGTCTCCGCCGGCTTCTTCTTGGCGGCGCGACGCTCGGCGGCCTTGGCGTTGAAGGCGCGCACGTGCTCGCCTAGGACATCCGAGTTGGGGATACAGCCGATGAAGCGGCCGCCCTTTTTCAGGGCGCCGGCGACGTTGCGCAGCATGTTGCGGGCATTCTTCTCCGACTCAAAGGCGTAGTGCATGGAGAACATCATGCTCACAACGTCGAAGCCGCGGCGGTTCATGGGCGAGGGATCGAAGCCGACCTGCTGGATGATTTCAAGGTCCTCGATGCTCTCGCCGTAGCAGTCCTTGACGTGGAACCGCGCGTCAAACATGCGGGCGGGCGGACCACGGTGATGCCCTCCGCCACGTCCGCCCCCGCGGCCGCCACCGCGCGGGTTACCCATGGTGCGGTAGCGGCCACGCGCCTGCTCGATGCTGACGTCGGCGGGATCCAGCCCGACGTAGAGCTGCACGGCCTGCGGGGCCTGCTGCCACTTGTTGAGGTCGCCGCCCTTTCCGCAGCCAATGTCGAGGATGAGGAGCTCTTTGCCGCTGGTGCGGCCCGACTCGCGCGAGCCGGGCGCGTGGTCCTCGTCGGGCGAGTAGCGCTGGATGAGGCAGCTCTTGATCCAGTTGTTGAAGACGCGGAGGCCCTTGATCTTGCTGTCCGTCGTGCGCCACTGCCGGCCGCGCTCGGGCACGCTGTTGTAGTGCTGGCGGACTACGTCGTGGTTTCCCCGCCCACGGTGGTGGTTTTGCTCGGCGGCGGCGGCGGCGGCCTCGGCGGCCTCCCGGTCACGCTGGATCTGTCGTTGGCGGATGGCTTCGCGCTCGGCCTCGGAGATGCGGGCGCGCGCGCCGGGACGCTTTTGCTTGCGCGGCGGCGGCTGCTCGGAGGGTGACGTGGCGCGGCGTTTCGTCGCATGTAGACTGTTGGCATTGTATGGTTGCGGGAGATCGTCGGTCGTCTCTTGGGCTCGGCGCTTCTTGGGAGGGCTACGGCTCCGCGATCGAGACCGGGTGCCGCCGTCGCGGTCCTCATCGTCTCGCGCCATGGCGGGTGAACGAGTGTATATTATTGCAGGTGAGCGATTTTCTCGATTTGTTGCTGGTTTTGGGTATCTTTGGTTGCAATTGGGCTGCAGTGCGAATGCGGAGCGGTGAGTTGCGTGAGCTGTGGCCAGGAGGGAATTGCCTTGTGGTTTGGAGGCGCCTGAAAGAAATCTTGGTGTTCGGTACAGGCCAAGCGCCGTTCCGGTGACAAGGCCGCCAGGCACGCAAACAGTAGAAGAAACAACCACGAGCCGGGGTTGGAGTTTGCTCCGGGTGAGGATTCTGGGCGAATAGCAATAGCAAAAAAACGCCAATGGTGGTACGAATGATGAAATTGATGAAAAGGTTTCACGACGTGCAATATTTTTAAAGAATGGCTGGGTTCGTCACTTGGGACAAGACCAACTAACTGACAAGCTACCTGCCAGCGGGCTTGCTGCCAGGCGGCAAATCCAAGCACATTTGTAGGAGATATGCCCAAGGGGATTCATATCTATGGCGTATATTGAAAAAAGTATATAAACTTGGATCCGTGGTTGACAAACATGGGACGTTAGATCGCCTTGGCGAGGTTATATGGAAGATATATATACCTACCTCCTACCTACAGGTAGGTAGATTGCTGGTAACAAGGCGCAGTGTATATCTAGGTACCTAGGTAAGCAGTCCGCGTCACGCTGAAGCCTTGAGCTTGGAGCTTTGACGGATATTTCTAGCGCCGCTTTAGAAATTTGCTGCAACTGGTGGCATGTTTCTTGGCGCCAACACACGTGACCGCCCGTGTGTGGGCTAAAGCAGCGTCATTCCCAGCTAGATTGAGCCGTCTCCACGACTGCACTGGTCCAAGCTACCTAACTACAACCTCACAGCGGGCCGGATTCCATCATCTTCCGCCATCTCCAACTCGCATCAACAAGCCTCCCTGACTTGGTCATCGAATCTTCCTCGCACGCACGCACACCGCCGCCGCCATGGGTTCCGATCCGCAGTACGCCAAGTGGCCGCTGCTGCCGCTCTCGCAGCACGTCTTCACCCTCACAAACGCCTACGCCTCGAAGACGTCGCAGCAGGCCGCCCTCAAGGCCCTCCAGGACGCCATCACCGAGGACAAAATGGCGCCCTTTTACCGCTACCTGGCGCACCCCATCGACGGCGTCCTCCACCAGGTCGGCGAGGGCGGCGCCGCGGGCCCCGGCAAGCCGCTCAGCCGCAAGTCGTCCCTCGTCGGCATGATTGCCACGAAAGCCACCGCGCACGGCGTCCACCTGCCCTGGGACGAGGCCCTGTACGCGCGCTTACTCGAGGACAACGAAAAGGAGCTGGCGCAGTTTCAGAAGGAGGAGGACGATGCGGAGGAGCAGGCGGGCGAGACGGAGGTCCTGGCTGCCAAGGGCAGGCGAGCAGACTTTTGGGCTCGCGTGGGTGACAAGGTAAGCAGTGATGCTGGATGATAGCTTTATTCTTTTTCCCCACGACGTGCTAATGCTTGGAACAGGAGAAAGCAATCACAGCATACGACGATGTTTTCGAAAAGACGGGCATCCTTGGCAGCAAAATCGACCTCGTCCTTGCGATAATACGCATGGGTCTGTTCTACGGCGATAAGCAACTTGTCAAGAAGTACATTGAGCGCGCAAAGGGGCTCGTCGAGACTGGTGGTGACTGGGACCGTCGAAACCGCCTCAAGGCCTACGAGGGCCTCCACCTCCTCACCGTCAGATCCCATAGTGCTGCCGCGCCCCTTCTCCTCGACTCCCTGTCGACCTTTACCAGCTACGAACTCTGCACCTACTCCAACCTTGTCGTATACTCTGTCTTGGCTGGCTCTGTCTCGCTGAAGCGCGTCGACTTCAAGTCCAAGGTGGTTGACGCTCCCGAGATCAAGGCCATCCTGGGCGACGGCGAGGACAAGCTGCTCGCTCTCAGCGGTGCTTTGAGCGCCGGCCCTGGCGCCGACGACACCCCCGGCACAAACACCCCCAAGGCTGCGACGACGGCTGTCAACCTGACCACTCTTGGCTCGAGCGCGGAGCAGACGGAAGCCGAGGCGGCCATTGACTTTTCGCCGTTGGCGCTCCTCGTCAGCAGCCTATACAACGGCAACTACAAGACCTTCTTCCAATCGCTCGCCTCAGTCGAGGAGCAGTTCCTCAACCAGGACCGCTACCTGCACGAGCACAAGACGTGGTTCATCCGCGAGATGCGCCTCCGCGCGTACCAGCAGCTTCTGCAGAGCTACCGTGTCGTTGGCCTCGACAGCATGGCCAATGACTTTGGCGTCACGGTAGACTTTTTGGACCGGTACGTTTTTCTCAAGTACTGGTGCTACATGAACCTGAGGCTAATATTTTTTCAATGTAGTGATCTCGCCCGCTTCATCGCCGCCGGTCGCATCCCCTGCACAATTGATCGCGTGAGCGGCAAGGGCGTCATCGAGACGAACCGACCGGACGATAAGAACAAGCAGTACCAGGACGTTGTCCGACAGGGCGACCAGCTGATTACAAAACTACAAAAGTACGGACAGGCTGTTCGACTTCGTGGAAGTGAGAGGGCGTAAAGGGTCGCGGAAATGGAACATGGTTATAGGGGTTTTTTTACGTGGAGTGTGTCCTTACCACTTATGTATGATAAGACATCCAAATTAGATGAATAATTCTGATACCAAATGCAACGGGGTCAAGAATTTTGCCAACCATGAAATGTGAAGCTTGTCATGTACACGGGCTGACTGAAAACGTAGAGGCAAGATGTCGTCATGGAGGTGAGTACCGCGGTTTAATTGATCGTCTATATACTAACGTGTTGTTTCCAAACACGGGGTCTCCTATCCAAACCAAAACGAGACCCGTTACGATGTCATATTTCTTTTGAGATATTCCCTTTCATCTATTTTTCTTATGGTGTCAATGGTTTATGCCAAGGCTGGCATGATTTACCTGTACTTGTCCATGAACTCTTTGTGGAACTTGACAATGCTGCCCACCCACTCGGTGCCGGGAGCAAGGAAGGTGGTGCGGAAGTGCAGGGTGCCCTCGACCTGACCGAAGCCGCTGCCGGGGATGACACAGATTCCAGTGGCCTTGAGCAGCTCCATGGCGTAAAACTCGTCAGCCTTGCGGCCGTCGGCCTTGGCAGCCTCGACGGCCTTCTGGGAGAGGGTAATGGTGGGGAAGAGGTACATGGAGCCCTGGGGCTCGGCGCAGCTGACGCCCTCCATCTCGGAAAAGGCCTTGTGGAGGGCAGTGGCACGCTCCTGCAGGCCATTGAAGATGCCCTTGTACTCCTTGTCATAGAGGGCAAACGAGGGCTCGCCGGCGCGGGGCGGGTTGACCATGAGCTCGACCATGCACTGGCCGATGACGGGGGCGCAGAGCATAATGGAGACAAACTTGTAAATATTGGCCTCGACTTCGGGGTCAAGGCCAACGAGCTCAAAGTAGCCGCCGCGGTGGCCACACTCGCCAACCATGCCCTTGGAGACGGAATGGAGCGAGGCGAGCTGGACCTTGTCATACTTGCCAGGTGCGTCCTTCTGCATCTGGCGGAGGACCGCCTTGAAGCTGTGAAACTTGCCGACGAAGACGTTGGTTTGGTAGACCTCGTCAGCCATGACGAGCAGGTCCCGCTCGCTGGCAAAGTCGAGGACGGCGCGGATATCGGCCTCGGGCAGGGAGGCGCCGGTGGGGTTGCCGGGGTTGATGACAACGAGGCAGCGGACGTCGAGCCCGTCGGCCTTGGCCTGCTCGTAGCTCTGACGGATGGCATCGAGGTCGGTGCCCCAGTTTTTGGACTCATCGAGGTAGTAGGGGACAGGCGTGGCGTCGAGTAAGGCGAGCGAGGCCGTGTAGAGGGGGTACTGAGGGATGGGGATCATGATGCCAGTCTTTTTGGAGGCGCAGATGACGTTAAGGAGCGTGTTGACGCCGGATGAGGCGCCGGTCGAGAGGTAGATGTGGGCAGGGTCCGCGGGGAAGCCATCGCGCTCTGTGTGGGAGGCGGCGTTAGCAAGTTAATTATCATTATTTCTGTATTTGTGGGAGCCGTACCTTGGATAAACTTGGCAACACTCTCTTTGATGGCAGGAACACCGTTGCTGGCGCTGTAGGCGCCGACCGAGCCGACGCTGGCCAGCAGCTTCTTGGCGCGGGCAATGACATCGGGCTGGTAGCCGAGACTGGTGTGCAAGACGTCCTCGTGCTCGAGCAGCAGCGGGTTCTCGAGGAGCGAGAGTACCTGGCGGAAAAAGGTGAGGGGCTTCTGGTCGAGCTGCTGGGGGTTGCCAATGTTGGCGCTGATGACCTGGTCAAAGGGCAGCGTCTTGTCGCCCTTGGCGAGGCGGGCGCGAAACTCCTCCGACTTGACGGCGAGCTCGCCGCGGACGGCGTACTCGGCGTTGCGGACGCGCTGGTTGATGGTGTCGACGGTGAGGCCCATGGTGGACTGGCGGCGTCGAAAGGCGTAGAAGAGGGTTGGTGGTGTAGTAATTGAGGGAAGGACGGCCGGGACTTGAGGCCTGACGCGGACGTGGGGGTGTAAAAGGGCACTTGGCGGGGTCGTTGAAAGAGCTGGAGTCCAGAATTGTCAGTTGAATATTGGAAATCGTGTCTTGGGAATATTTCGCTTGGTAGGAAATGGCGGTATCACACAGAAATTTATGAGGTCAAATTCAAAACAAAAGAGGGAGATTCATGCACCTCATGCAAATAACCCTAGATGGTCTGGACGGCGGGGTGAATCGATGGATTGAAAAATGGAGGGGCAGAAAAAAGAAGCGAACGCGGCTTTGGGAGGCAAGTAGCGGTAACTAATAGAGGGAGGTGCAAGTGCATATGCCGTGAAACGATTTGACCTCTTGGAATTTATAACAAGAAAAGGTAATCCCCAAAAATGTAGCGAATGACGGCCCACAGCGCAGTATTCATTCACAGGATAATAAAGTGATTCGCCCAGGAATAGTAAGTAGCATGCAGGCCCTCATCCTCTTTTCGACTCATTGCGCATCATCTCAGCCAACAAGGCCCCGGTTCATCGGGAGTGGTGTGCCACACCCAGACAAGCCAAGAAGCGTCATGGCTTTTTTTCCCGGGCTGTTGAAATGGAACGGCTTAGGCATCGGACCCGTCCGAGAAACCGGGAGACGCCGGAAAAGAAGAAGCGCCTCCTTGGGGTTGGCACTCCTTGTTGGACAACAGCGACCTCGTACTGTCTCTGGCCATCAACGGCGGGAAGAGCTCTGGGGGGTCCGGTACCGGGGGATGAGGCATGTTGCACAACAACAGGGTACGTATGAAACAGTGACGGCGGGTAGAAGAAGATCAGAAAAGAAAAAAGACAGAATATATACAGGGAAAATGAATAGAAAAAATAGAAAATGAAAAGACATGTCACATACCTGCTACTCGGTGTGAGCTGCGCGACACCGCCCTCTGGGCAGCAACGAGACCCATGGAGAACAAACACAAAACAGAGGGCAAGCCGTTTGGTGCAGATGGACAACCGACAAGGGTTCAAAATTCAATTCCAAACTCTTGCCGTTGCGAGAGGAAAAAGAGTCCCCAACGTATCCCTTATAAGCATATTTGTTGAGGCGGCAGGTTTCCTTGGGAAGCTCAGCCACTATTACCTAGTATCGCTGATACGTGCCCGCGCCATATCCGCTCATGTCCTAGACGTTTCATGGGTGTCATTTCATCACAAATGCCGCACCGCTTCAATATACCTATTCCCTCGCACCTCTTATTATTAAAGAAATGACTAGTGTCGTGAGGCGCGACACATGGAGCCTACTCGTAGGATGCCGTACCAGGTCCCTGCTCAGATTCAAAGCCCAAAGTACGCAGGCCAGACTCACTCGGACAATATTTGCGATTTTCGAATTTATTCAATTTAGCCATCATAATTTATTCTCTTCCTCCTCCTTACCATACCTCCCCGTTCTATTTTATTATATGTTTATGGCATTAACTACTCCTTTTTGCAAGTATTACAGTTTGTTTTCACTATTAGCACACCGAGCTAGGCACGACGACCGAGCCTTGTACGTTTTGCCATGCACGCACATTTGGACAACACCTTCTAATGTATTAATACTTTACTTACGTAGTATGTATGTAGCTACTTTTAGATCTGTCATCAAGTAGCTTGTAGCTTTGCTGACCCCCATTTCTAGTCGCCATTGGTCTTTCCAGAAAGCTGTTTGTCATTGACTTACTAACAGCGGTGCATGTCCACTGAATTACAGGGCGAACCCTTCTGTAACTTGGCTCCCCGGAGAACGGCCCTACTCTTTTTCCGACCAGCCGGAAATTTCCCCTGGTCGGCGAAGCTTCTTATGCGAACCACCACGCCGAACCCAGCAAGCTCTCGACTCAACGACGCCAAACCACCGCAAACATGGCCAAGAAAGGTGCGCATTGCCTCCCCTCCATGCCATAGCCACCTATCAATCTCCCAACTCCGAGACTGTGATGCCGTCAACCCGTACGCGCCTGTCGCTAACTTATCCTGCGATACAGCCAAGACTCGTCTGATCCACGTGCGCCTCCTCTCCATGGCCATGACCGGCTTCTTCTACACCTTTAAGCGCCCACGCACGGCTCTCCCCATGGGACTATTGAAATACGACCCGATTGGTACGTGACTATGACACGCCTCAAGGAAAATGCCTCGTCTACGGCACCGTGACTGACCCTGGTTTACTACAGTGCGGAAGAAGGTCCTCTTCCTCGAATCGAAACGAAAAGGCAAATAGGCGACGCAATTGTCCTGATTTGGCAATTATTTGTACTTTTATAGCCACATGCCACTGATTTCGCATCCGCCATCTGAATCGCGACTAGGACGATACCGCGTGGGTAGGCAACATGCCGCACCCGTTCGACACGAGTTGGTCGCATTGTATTATAACACACGCATACCTGGAGTTTACGGATGGGCCACTTACGCACCAAGCGCGCTTTGCACTTGCGTGTCGAGACATACTATGTACACACACGATATACTGGAACTTTGAAATAAATACAATGAATTCGGCCACTTAATGCGACCAATTCGCCAAGGGTCAAGTGAAGCTAAGCAAACGAGCAAATACGAACCAATTGTTGGCAGATGACTACCCCTCTGTTGTAGGATATTCTATTTCTCTTAGATTGTCGCTGCAACTCCCACAGCTGTAACGGTTTGGCCTGGTCTCAGTTCGGCGTCTGCCAAGTCTCCAAGTACAATACCACGCCTTCTACTCGCAGCCTTGTTCAACCTCAGATACTCCGTCATTGGTGTAAGCCCAGTGGTCTGATGTGACGATGGTGATCCTGGTATGGGAGATTGGACGAAAGCCGAACGAATGTCGGAGATGACCTCTTCTGATGTATGGAAGCCGTTGCGAATGGAAGCAACCAGTCCTTTGGCCACCACAGTCTTGTTCTGGGGCAGTTTCAAGATTGACCTTGGCCTTGCAGATTCTCTTCTGCGCCGCTGTTCTTCAGCCGCGGTTACGGGGAGTGGCGAGTCTTCCTGCGGCCTTGGGCTCTGCACAACAACTTTCCGGATTTGACTATCAGCGCACGTCCCACCAGGGCCTTCTTGACTACCGGGTCCAAATCCTGGGCTCGAAGATTCAGGCGACTGGCAGCTGGATGTCTGACTTGCTGATTTCTCTGTAGTCCTGGAACCGTCTGAGTGCAGTGCCCTGCCAGCCATCGTTTCTTGAACCCACTTCTCTTCTCTGTCCATGTACTTGGAAGTTTCTTGAATCAAGACACTGAGGTCATATATCTTCTGAAGAGACAACGGTATATCCTCGATCTTGGCGAGCTGTGATTCAACCTGCTGTAAGTTTGATCGCATGACCTCAACATCCTGTATTGTTTTGTGATTCATCGAGGCGGATTCCGTGCTACTGGCTCGTCGTGCACTTTCAGGGGCGATATTTGCCTTCCAAACTGCCAAGTTCGTTTCAAAATTCTCCTTCAAGCCGGCAAAAAGCTCTCGTGAGACTCTATCTTGAGCCTGGAACTTGGCATCAATCTGCCCGGCAAGCACTTCTTGCAGCCGCTGCACCTCGCTTTGGGCCTTCTCCTGGGTTGACACAATCTTGCCACTGTGTTCTGATAGACTTTGAGTCGACTCAAAGATGGCCTGCATACATATTCCTATCGTGCCATTGGAAGATATTGCCTCGACAAGACTCTCGAGACGGTTGTTTCCAACCTCTACTCTACTTGCCATATCTCCATTTGCTGCCGATATCAACGTAAGCAAGTTTAGAATTTCTGTGTGTGATTTGTGGTTGGATTTGATCGTCTGACCGAAATCGATCGCATGTGTCTGTATCTGCCCCTGGAGCTTTGCCAATCCGTCTTCGACTGCCGTGGTCAACTGCTTCGCTGATACTTGAGACTCAGACTGTTTGGAAGCAATGCAATCGATCGCCGGTAGAAGCCTACATCTCGGTCAGACTTTGCTTGAAATGCTCTCAAGCATGGGTGGTCGCTTACCTCTCTAGTATAAGCTTTTCCAAGCTACTGAGCTTGGTGTGTGATCCTGAGACCTGCTCCTTTAGCTCGGCAAAATCATGGCTGCCTGGTAGATCATCGACCCTGAAGACAGTGAACTTGTGTCAGAATATTTTGCGAAACCGAAATAACACTGACGAACTTGATCTTGACATCTCTCAGCTCAATAGCTGCCATGTCCTGAGATGCGTCCAGAGCTCGAAGTTGAGTAATGAAGCCACTCAATCGGGAGTTGACCCTCTCAATACATTCCTTCGTGGAGCGATTTGAAACCATTTCATTATATAATCTCTCTTTGTCTTCTTCAATTGCATCGATCTGATCGCACTGAGATTCGTTTTCTTTCTCGAGGGATATGATCCTGCGTTCATCTGCACTCACTTGTGAGGAACGGTCTGATGAAAGGGGCGATTTCACCTACATTCGGTTTTGTTGTACTGAAAGTCGCGTTGAATATGCTCAACAACTTTCTTCAGCTCCTCTCGTTTCTGTTTACTATCCTGTAGTGCCTTCTCCACGGCCTCCGCGTTGGCCTTTTCTACTGCTCCATCCTGATTCATCTGATTGGTAAGGTTGACATAAAAGTTTTTGAATTGGTTGGAAAGCTCGCGTTGTTCGGTAATGGCGCTGCCCAGTCTTCCTTCACAGCTGTTGAACTTGGTGGACATTTCTTTGACCTGAGTTCGAAGTTTTTCGTGATCAACAAAAAGTTCATTGAATTTGACCTCAAGATTCTTCTTGTCCTCTGTAGCTCGAATTTCTCTTGTTTCTAGATCTTGATACTGCTTGTGTAAAGTTCGAAAGCCTGTGTCGCCTTTTTGTACAGCATCTTGTGCTAGTTGAAGCTCGTTTGCTTGCTGCGATAGCTTCTTCTTCAGACCCTGTATTGTAGACTTTGCTCGGTCAGACTCTTCAGTTGTAATTTGAATGCACTCGTTCCAATGTTTGACAGCCTCGCTCATGGCAAGACGCTTTCGATCCGGCTCGGAGCTATGGTGATCTGTAGGGTCGAATCGTCTCTTGCGTGAAATATTGCTCGCCCGCGAGTGGGTGCGGCGGGGGTCCGAGCTCTCTATATCGAATGAACGAGTTCGAGATCGACTGCGGCGAGTTATTCTGGGATGGTTTGGAGGTGTCCGAGTCGCCGTAGAGGCCTCGTAAATACCAAATCCTTCCAGGTCTCCACAACGTGACGGTGGTGTTCGAGACTGACTATAATCCCTTTGCAAATATCGTCCACTCTTGTGGTTGTCCTTGTTCTCGGCAGTATCAGACGTACCCTTGTTCGAGCCGCAAGAGGGTCTACTCGGCCTTCCAATGACCGACGGTGCAAGGGGTTTCTTCGCGCGTCTTCCAGAAGGAGGGCTCCGGTTCCGAGCTTCAACCACAACGGATAGCTCAGGACTATCATTTGGGCCACCCGCGGGTATTATTGCATCTTCTGGCTCTGGCTCTTCGTGGACGCTTTGATTGGAGAAATGAGAAGAAACACTTGGGATCCGGGTTGCACTGTCCACCGCTTGGCCGTGAACGCCAGTGCCGGAAACAAAAGAATCTGCTGTGTTTCGATGCGAATTGGGAGTCAAGTCTGGCCCAGGGAAAGGGAGCGTAAGCCGTTGTGCAGGAGACTTGACTGGCAGGATAGAAACTGGTTGTATGGCGGATTGCATGCCTGGTATGATGCTCTTGGGTGTTGGTCCAGAAAACTGCCCCTGTGTATTGGCTTGTCGGGCATCAAACGAGAAGCCTCTTGCAAGTTCGTCATCCGAGAGTCTCTCCGTGGGTACTTGGAAATGGGACGCCATGGTTACAAACGAGCATCAAGCGCTTCACAGGCGTCGAGTTGAGCCGCATGCGATTGCTATGTGGAAGGATGCGGAGAGAACTCTTGGCTGCTACCATGCATATGACTGAAGTTTTGATACGAAACGCATTGGTTTGATTCAGATGCCAGAATTGTCAAGGCAGAGTCGAAGGGGAGGTGGCGGATGACAGTAGACGGACCGTCAGGTACCTTTCTTTGGCAGTTGCTACTAACGGGTACTCAAGTACCTACCTCTTGCCTCTGTAGAACCCGTCTTCAATTCGCTTGCTTCGTTAGGTATTCGCCTCTTGTTATTTCTCTCTATTTTCTCTCTAAAAAAGTCTTGTCTGCTACCTAGGTAGGTACCTATGCAGCTGTCCACCGTGTGTCATGCCGCCTCGTATTTTACGATTGCCGCGAAGCCGCACTAAGTAATGCTCTTCGTGGCAGCCTGTTTTTAGTCACATCTAGTGGCCCAAAGTGATAAGCACCTACCTATATATCGAGCGTCAAACGCCCCGAAAGTATTGTAAATACTATTCGACAGACATTCTTTGCCCTCTCAATACCGACCTTCTTTTAACCCTTGTCAATGTCAATGGCTGCAATTCACACAGTCGCACGGGGGGGGTTGAGCTGTTGGGTCACATCGAAGCGGAGAGCAACGTGGATAGAGCGACTCATTTTGAGGCCGTGTCGAGAGGGTCGTAAAGAGCGGTTTCAAACTGACCCGAATGCGCCCCGTCGTCGATACCCGAATGATGGTCTTGTTCTGCCACACTACACACCGTTCTGAAGAATCACAGGGCTAGTGGTGCCATATGCAGGTCTGGGGATTGTGGTGTGCCATGTCTTGCACACGATTGGCCAGAGGCAACTCTGCTAAGCGCCGACCTCAGCGCTTCGCCATGGTGTGGACCATCGTCACACCAATCAGCAAACTACCGGCGTGGGACGAGATATGGGGTTCATGAAATGCTGGCAACTTTGCTGCCCCCCCTCGACAGCTATTGGTAGTTGATTGTCTTGTCTTTTTCTGTGCCGGCATTGCATCACGCAGGAACGACACGTCGTGTGAGGGACGTGCCACTTAGACCAAGCTGAATATAGAGTGCCAAGCTTGTTCCTCGTGGCGGTGGCTGCATGATGAATACATGTATTGTTCACTCTCATCTGCTTCTAATTTATGTTGACTCTTCTTTTGCATTATCCAATTCCCAACACGCTTTTCTCACGCCGCGAATACAAAACCCATGCACGTGTCGTTGACCGATATTGCCTGATACGAACGAGAACCTGCGAATTCCGAGCTCCAAACGACCATGTCTGCCACAACGGGCACTTTTCCGACTCCGACAAACCATTATACTGATGCCGGGGATGGTGGTGCGCCGGGCGTCGATGCAGGTACCGAGGCCGGCGCCGCCGGCGACAGCTCAAAAAATTCAATCAACCTCTCCACTGGAGGCATGATTGCCATTATTGTCGTCGTGGTCGTCGTTGTCATTATTGGCGGTATGTCGACAGCGCGCTGAGGCCGTATACTCATGAGCAGAGGCTAACGAGTGTATTTTAGTTTCGACCGCTACCCTCTTCTTCATCGCCAAGAAGAGGGAATGGAAAGTCCGCGAAACACTTCGACGATCGGCGCGAAAAGTTGCTGCAGCTCTCACTCCACGCAGGTCACAATTTCCAGATTCAGTCAAGCGCTCCATGCAAGCACCGAAACCCAGTCGCTCGCAGACAGCCAGCAGCCGAGACGGCATCGTTAGATCATCCATCGAGGACTTGGAGAAAGGGTACCAGCAAAAGGACAACGGCAAGAAATCGCGGAGATAAGCCGACGGACAAAGTTTGTGTTGATCGGACTCCAATGTTGCGAACCTCTGGGGTGGGCAAAGTGCTTGATTGATGTTGGGGAATCATGAGACAATATTCTTTTTAAATAACCAATGTACATATAGTTTGAGTGCAAGTGAGATAGATCACATCTTGCGGAATGTGTTAGAGCTGGCGCTCCGCCTTCCGGCATTAGATCGTCTTTGTGGTTTCTCAGGCTCCTCTTCCTGGTTCTTCTTCTTTGACTTGGGCATAAATGTGACTTCGCGATCGCCAACAACATTGCCACGGGCCTTCGAATACCGGCCCGGTCCAGTTTCTCTCGATCCCAGGTTGGTATCCTTGAGCGGCCGTCCGTGGTTCTGTGTCGAGGAGACGCGCATGGAGACATCTGCTGTCTTTTTGGGGGCTGCCCGGATTTCCTCGTCGCTCGACTCGTCATCTGAATCCTTGGCTTGGTATCTCTTCGCAGTCTTGGGATCAGGCCGCTGGTCGGCGGGGATGACGGTACTGGGGTTGAGAACCTGGAATTCTCGGCTGGTCTCGTCGACAATGTAGTCTTCGTCTTCGAATAGCTTGCTGAAACGAGAATCCCCGAGTAATCCGGCATTGGCATCGACCTTGCCTCTGTTCTCCTGCTTCTTGAGGAGTCTGTCAGCGAGTCGCTGATTGACCTTGACCTTCTTGCTGCCCCTGATTCTGCTGGCGCGCTCCTTTTCGATCTTCTCCTTGACGCGTTTCGTCCGCTCCTCCTCAAATGCGTAGGGATTGGCAATGAGCTTAGCCTGGTCGTAGAGCTTGGACGCGACAAAATAACCGTGCATATAAGGTCGCAGTAAGGTGCTTTTTCCGACCAAATGGTCCAGACTAAGCTGCTTGAGCTCAGGCAAGGACAGGAACTTGTAGTTGTCATATGTTTCTGTGCGCACTTCTTCTGCCATTTCCTCGACCATATTGTCCAAGAAAGAGCACCACTTGGGCGCCGGGCCGAGCTGAGGCACGAAAAAGGCATGTTGTTGGGGACCTTCGTTGGCAGTGAGAAGCATACCACTATCCTTGCACCAGGCGACATCGTTCAGATCGACGGCGGGTTCGACTGACGTCCAGGGCTCTCCGTCTTTCTCATCCCAAATTTTGATGATACGCTTGTCTGCTGACATGACCTTCCTTTCTTGAGAAGAGGTAGTCATGTGCTTGAGATTTTGTACCGGGAAGCCATATCCATGATCCTTCTTCAACATGGGAGTGGGTCGGCGCAGGTCGAAAAGCTGGACCATGCCAGTGCTTGACCCTGTCGCCAAAGACAGACCGGATTCGTTAAAGTCGAGCGCCGTGACCGCTCCGTCGTGGCCAGCTAGTAAGGCGACTTTTGATTTTGAGCGAGGATCCCAGAACTCGACTGTGCCTATCGACGTGCCAAAGGCCAGCAGGTTGTGTGATTGCTCTGCGATTGCTGCCACATTGACACTGCCCACATGAATGCCACCCTGGAGACCACCACCGGTGAGCTCATCATCACCACCGACATCGATTTGGTATGATTTCATGAATCGACCCGCCTCGAGATTCATGCGGAAAACTTCGCCTTTGCCGTCCGCATCAATGCCGACGGCCGGGATAAGCGCTTCGGTAGAGTGTCGATCGTATTTGATATCTCGACCGTAACGGGGCAAACGAACTTCGTAATGGCAGCCCATAGGCGTGTGAAACTCGATTCTGCGGTCAGTTTGCAGGTGTAGAGACTTCGAGTAGTCGGATGAGAGCAGTATGAAACTGTGGTTTAGAGAGTTGGTGTGGCGAGCGAAAGAGAGACCAAGTTGCGGCAGATTGTGAACATGAATCTGGGGTTTATATGTGCCGGTACTCATAACCCAGTCTCCATCTTCACTGATTCGAATACAGGAACTAGCCTCTTCGAATTCAAAATCCTGCAGTAGTTCAACTCGACTCTGGTACTCGACATCATTCTTTAAGCTGCGCTTTCTGCGGCGGGCCAGCCACTCCGGGAGTTGTCTGGCTGTGTTAGAGCCCGAGATCGTATACACGGGGACCGTGCCGGGGTTGGAGAGCTTCATAACGACCCTGGAGTGTTGTGACAGGAACGAGCGCGAGTTGATGATCAGAGACGAGGGTAGAAAAAAAAAGCTGGGTTGTCTTATCGACAAGCGGAAGAAAATGTGAGCCCCATTATTCTGCTCCTCGGTGGGTACATTTTAGCGCACGCAGCAGCTGCGTCTGGGCCGGACTCCGCTAATAAGGGCCCCCAGCCAACTTCCGCGTGCCCTAGGTAGGTGGTTGCATCTCGTCATCTCTTGCGAGAGCATTCACGCCGCGCCGCCAGTCGACCGCCACCTAAACTCGAGTTGGCAGATGCGCAGGGTATTCTATACACTTGCAAGAATCTCACTTGACAAAATTGGTTCGATCCGCTCCGAGCTTCGACGGCCAAGATCCTGGCTGCGGCCGATCCTCTGCGTACCGCCGGCCTCACCGTCTCGCGCAACCTGTGGCTATAGAGCTGCTGAAATGGAGTCAAGCATCCCGAGCTGACATTGCATGGTATTCAACTTTATATCTCGAGCCTTTGCGCAAGTTCAGGTATCGCTGGTTTTGACTACTGTGTCGTCACTTCCACTCGCGCGAGCCTCGGGCGTCGCAGATCGACACCCCTTCGCCGCATCTCCGGTGATCGCCTCAGAGCCTTGTTAATATGGATACCGTGGATGTTGAGACAAATGTTCTTCTCGTCGTGAGTCTGCGCGGCTGGTGAGAATGGGCTAGGTGCGATACAGTAGGGGCTAACAGGCAACTAGAACAACATTGCGAGTTTTGAATATCGGTTCTACGAGCCTTCCGCAGATTCGGAGCCGAAATTCTCCCCAAATGCCCTCGAAATCGAAACGAATCTCAGAGAGCAGGGTCATGTTGTCTCGTTCGATGCCACACGGCGTGGCCTATGGTATTTTCGCATTCGGCGTTCCATCGGCCCGGGACCACACGCCCCTCCAGAACTGGGTGCGACAATTGCTATAAATGGCCAATCCTTGGTGTCATCCAAGAATGGAGTCATGGAGCCATCTACGTGGCATAAAGCCCTTGTTCCGGAGCCAAATCATCAGAAACCCAATCCAGCGTCGTCTGGTCAAGCCACACACCTGCACGCTACCGGAATTCAGCTGGACCTTGAAGCGACATCGATGGTAGAACAGACGGATTCGCAGCCGGCAGATGGATATTCCCCCAAAGTGCTCTACGAAGCGTTTGTCGGGTCTCTTTTGTTGACAATATCGTCCAGATTTTGCGCAAGGTCTGAAGCTGTGCCTTTGAATTTTCGCACTGTCCTCCTCCCTGCCCTAAAGCCTTTGCAAAGTGGCACAGACCGATGGATAGGCGAGCAAGCCCAATCTTTGGGCACCCTTACATGCTACATGATAAGCACGGGGTCTTTGATTCTGTCGTTCTCTGTAACTGCCTGTCCAGGGTTGGCAAGCTTGCAAGACATTTTGAGCACCAGTCCCAGTCCCAGTCCCATCGGAAATAACATACTTGCAGCACCTTTTGGTGTCATGACAAACGAAGAGCAGATCTCACCGTCCTACTCGACCGGAGCCAACCCGGCTCATACCCCGAATGCCCAGGCTCTTGCTCAACGGTCACCTTCCGACGTCAGCACGTCACTCTGGAAGCAAGCTTGCTTGAGCGTCCTTGAGCTCCGCGGAGTACCAAGCGCTGCGCTACGGGACTGCTCTTGGGTCAACCTGCTTGTTTCCAAGCCCAAGCTCCAAGACGCGAGACCGGAAAACGGACGTGGCGCACTCTCTACCATTAGCATCCCCTGGCCTGGGTCCTTGTGCTTCCGAAAAAAGTCTGTTGAGCTATCAGCTACGAACCGTATCAGTGACACGATTGGAGTCGGTCACGATGAAACGCATGACCCGCTCGGAGATGCGCGCGGATGGCTTAGCTCAGCGAACGACAGAGAGGAGCGAGTCTCTAAGAGACACACAGAACGATCTGCTGCAGGAGCAAAGGAAACTCTGGTTGTCGACTCGCGAGTAGCCAAAGTGAATGCCCCGTCTCCAGTAACGATGCGACGACCGAGTACGACAGGCGGCAATGCAGTGTATCCGACCCCGCCCGACGCTATTCAACACCTGAATGGAGTAACCCCGTCAATGGATGGCAATCTTTCAAGCCCTGGACATCCGCTATCAGTTGTAGCTGACGTTGACATTGACTGCGAACCGCCTGGCGGGGTGGGCTTGATGCCCCAACATGAGGACGAGATGACCGATGCAGCAGAGGCAAAACCACTCCGGTCAGACAACAGTTTGTTGAGTGACGCAGAAAACATGTTTGAAGATATGGGCGGAGATATGTTTGGCGATAACGACATAACTGAAGATGACTTCAATTTCTTTGACGAGCAACCCGATGAGTTGGGTATGGATATTACCTTGGACAGCATCAAGGAAGCTACCGCGTCCACTGCTACAATGGTCCAGGCAGAGGTACCACATGTATCGACATCTACCAATATACAGCCGGCAACAGAGCAGGTCGTATTTGCGAAGCCGGAGCTAAAACATGCGCGGAGCTCGCAACCAGAGGATGGTTTGCAGAGGGGTCGGGATATTCAAGCGAAGTCGGTCAAGCGCGGCTCAAGCCCTTTCGATCCTGATAGTGTTTTCAAAAGACTTCGAGCTGCTGCCTCACAGCAGAGCCAGCGGGCGGCGTATGGCGTTGGTTCAAACAGAGGACACAAGATTTTTGGAAAAGTCGCCTTCGATCTGAAAATGCCGATGCTCAACAAAAAGTACGAACATGGCGGGTTTTTTGACTTTGTGCCAAATGACAAGGATGTTGACAAGCTGGAACCCGGCACACTTCCCAAGACGGATTATCTGCGCCGCCACGGCAAAACAAAGGCCAAAACTCAAAACAACTCGCGACGGTCATCGCTGGTTAAATCAGGCAATGATTCTGATTTAGACCATAGGCTTCTAAAATTAGATGGCGATATTTCTGATGGAGATGATTCGAGCAGTGATTCAGATACTGTGTCGAACTTGTCTGTCAAGGAACCTATATCGCCCGTGAAATCGACTGTGAAACAGTCTCTGCTCGGCGACGACGATGCAGCCTCCCATGCCACGACGAGTAGAGAGCCAGAGCTAGCTGAGGAACCAGACGAGCAACTCGCATTGGAACTACCCCGGCTATCCCTTTTGGACGGGCCGGACACATCGCTCTTCAAGTATTTCACTGACCCGGAGCCCCTATCGTTGGATATTTCCCTCAGCGACGAGGATATGATCCAAGTGGCACAGCTTGTGGGAGAACAAGCAGCGACAGGATCATTGCTGATATTTAATGGTCAACCCGATATTGGCTTTGTTTCTGCCCCAGACGAAGACACCCGAATTGAAGAGCTTACAGGTGCACGAAGTGCGTTGCAGGCGCTTCGCAACGCAGCTTCTTGCGTTATCGAAGGCGTTTCACCAGTGAGCCTTAAAGCGCTACTCGAAATTCAAGACAATTCGCTTCCAGGACCAGGGAATCGAATTCCACCGCGCCAGATTCCTTCAAGAGATCCAAACTCGGAGCCCATCAAGCCCAGCAACCTCTACCAAATACCATGTCCTCACCTGGAAGTGCGTAGGGCAGATGTGAAAATGTCGCTACTACCTACTGCTGTGACATTTTGGGAAAATCTAGGACTTTCGCCTTCCTCTGGCAGTAAAGACATACACGCGGTCTGTGTGTGCCCCAAATGGGCTGGTATGGTAGACAACGCGCAGACGTTTCTGGGGCGAATGAAGAGTGCTTATGAAACATTAAAGCTAGGCACTTTTGAGAACTTGCCGCTCTCTGCAGATATGGATGATGGTGTCCTTCTATATGGAGTTGACCGAATCTCAACCGCTCCAGATGCTGCAATGATGGGACATGGTTCCGCGCTGCTGGAAAGTATGGAGACGCTCTCCGGTGCCATGTCCACCTTGGAACTCGTCGACACGAACGTGGTGGTTTACTTTATGTACTCCACGAGTAACCCCGGAACAATTGTCGAGGCATGTATGGCCTTTCAGAGATTTTTCGAGTCATACCGAAGGACGCTTTCAGCTAGGCGTGAATCGGCCAAGAATGAGATTGTTCTTCAACTCGTTTCTGCGGACGCAATTTCTAGCCCTACACACATTGTTGTGACCCGTTCTTCAGAGCTAAATAAGCTCTGTATGGAGACTTATGACCGTTGCACACTTTTCGGTGGCAATATGCCCGCGCCTGCGATTCGCCTTGAGCAGCCACTACCACGCATTATTGACTTCAAATTATCTCCTGCACCGTCATCATCCCTAGCTCGAGAGAATTCATGCATTCATATCGCATATGCGCGGAGCATTGACGGCCGTTGGGTCACCGCAGCCTGGACAGACGATAGAGGAAACGAGCAAGCTACGGCGGCGTACTGTCTGGGTCGCAAAGGCGAGCCCGAATCTCGCACCATGAACGATGTCGCGCACGAAATCTGGGAAACGACTGTTGATCTCATATCGACTTGGAAAGTTCACTACCGGATCATTATGACCAAGTGTGGCCCAACCGATGATGGCGAAATCGACTTTTGGGTTGATCTGGCACGAACCGAAATCAATGCCAGCGTCACCATGATCATCATGACTGTCGACACAAATCCATCATTGCAGCTCGTGCCTGCCCCGGTCAAGATGCCGCTGCAACCGCTCTCGATATACACGACGCCTGTGTCTACGCCGCAGGCTAACATTGTATCTCCGGATGCTAGCGCAGCGCCTGCAACACCTGCTCGAGATCCTACGGCGGCCGCGATGACACCTGGTGGTGAAAGCACCGGCGATGCGGATCCTGATTCCGTGCTGGCCGATGTCATGGACCAGACATGGGGCGCTATTGTCAATCACCGATTAAACAACACCGTCAACACAGCAAACATCCATCCAACATTGATCAGCGGCTACCTTATCAAACGAACTGGTCCGAGAGCCGAAGACGTGCCCCGCCTCATTGAGGTCAATCTCGTCTACACGGAAGCGACGGCCCGCACATACGAGCCTTTGCTGCGAGAGATGCTCAGCTATTTCAGGGGCCTTGGCACCCTGGCAAGGGCCAGGGGCGTAGTCGATGGGCAGACAGATGTTCGACCCTGGCACGTTGCGGCTGCAGAGAAGGCCCTTCGTGCGCTCTACATTCTGATGTGAGAGAATGATTTAGATGAGTTGAGAAAGAAAAGGATTGCAGAGGGGAGATGTTTTATTAATGAATGTGTTTGATACTGGAATGGCCATTTGCGGCGTGTATTAGGAGTTTGACGGGTTGGGGTAGAGAAAATGGCGTCAATGTCTCTTTTTTTGCATGGGGTTGGGCGGAATGATTTGGGTTACTTGTTGATGCATACAGAGGTGGAGGGGCCAGGCATTTATTGACTCACAAATTTACCTTGATATCTGCGGTCATGGTCACAGAGTTGCAATCTCTTTGTTCAGTTGCTTGTAGTCGTTCTGCGTAGTAGCAATCAGGGCACAGCGCATCTGATTCTCCGTGACGAATACATAAGAGAACGGGCTCGCCAAAACACCACGAGGAAATCTAGTACTCCGTTATCTTGGACGATGAACAGGCTGGCCGGACAGCAGCCGTTATGGACCAAACAACAGCTCTTACCTCGCAGAAAGCAGCAGCCTGCCTAGCTCTGTCAACACAGTATGTCATCAATCGTAACGACGGCTGACTGCCATTTCAAAATCCCGATTGTAATCATGTTCATATAATATGAACATAATATCAATCAATACATGAACGTATTGAACAGTACATGTGTGGTTATGACGTAGGCTGATGCCCCGGTTAGTGTGATCACCAACGAGGCTGCGCCTCCGCACTACGGCCGCAGTTGGCGTCCGTTGAGAGGATGACCACCATGTTACCTGCATCAAAATACTTTCACAGCATCACCGTCACTAAGAAGCCAGCATCTTAATAGCGCATCTGTCATAAAGCTTTCCGTCTGGCTACTTCATTTGGTGATCGAATCTTTCGCGACCGGCAGGGCGCTCATCTCATGCAACATGCCCAGCCCAGCTTCATCGCAAATGGCATCCGAAAAGGCACTTTTCGCACGACAGCAGGCCGCGGCTCCCCAGGAGGCACCCACAGAGGCGTATCCTACGTCTGATAACCGCGCGTCGGACGCCGGCGGTGGCGGCATGCCGACAGTCGAGGACCCGTTCAACTTCCCTACGACGGATGAGGCCCTTCCCCCCTACTCGACCCACGAAACCGATGCGGCCGCGTCACCCGCCATTGCAGTCGACAGCGCGGGCGGCCCGAGCAGCGCCGCGGCCGCTCGCCCTCCAGGCGCGCCGCCGTCGTCGGCGCGCTCCTCTATGAAGCCGATTGCCATTCCGCAAGTTGTCCCCGACGCGTCCTCGCCCTTTGTCCACGCGTACCCGCCATGCCTGCTCGCGCGCGGCATCACGGAGCCGTCGTGGACGTCGTTCCTCGACACCGTCTCGGCCTTTTTGACGGCCAAGGTCGGCGACCGGGCCGTCAGCCACGCCGGCGACATGGCCAAGCACCTGGCCGAGGGCACGTCGACGCTGGGCAAGAACATTGCCAGCTACAGCAAGCGCCTCGGCAAGGACGTGGCCAAGCACGCCAAGCGCGGAAACATCTTTGGCGTCGCGGCGACGGTCATTGCCGGCTCCGTCAGCCTGCCCGTCATGACGGCGCTCGGCGTGGCGGGCACGTTGACCATGCTGCCGGGGGCGGCCGTCAGCGCCATCGGCAAGAAGCCCAAGACGCCGGCGGAGCGCGTCAACGCGTACAACATGGTGGCGAATGAAAAGTGGCTTCATCAGCGCGGCCTCCATATCCAGCTGGTTGACACGCCTGGTCTTGCGCATATGCTGGGGTTGCCGACGGAGCAGTTACTGGCGGTGGCGCGGTCGGGAAAGGAAGGCAGCGCGTCGGGCATGCTGCAGGCACTGGATCTTCACATTGAGCCGTTGAAGATATCGGCAGAGACAACACTTGGACTGTCAGACAGATCGCTTTGGCTCGTTCTGGTTGAGTTTGACGCTGAGGAGCTGGAGGAGCTGGACGGGGAGGAGGATCAGGAGCAGGAGGAGAACTATGGCAGGCGCAGGGGCAGGCGCAGGGGCAGATACTAGTTAATCTGCGAAAGTACTATGCAAAACGATTTATGATAGAAGTGATTGTAAATTCACATATATTCTAATAAGGGAGCACTGGCGGCAGTCCTAGAGCTATCTATATTGCACTTTGGTGCTGCTGTTACTGTTGCCTTTCCCAGTACACATACTGAGGCCCAGGCTGAAGGGAGTCTTCTTTAACTTTACATTAGTCCCTTCAATTGGCCAATTCTTCTCTTGATTGATGACCGTGAATGGTGGACAAGGCTTGTGTGGCCGGTCAAGCCATGGTCGCACCATAATCCGGTGGGATCCCAGACCGGTAAACAGATCTGCCTCTGCCGTCGGCGGGAGATGGCCCGCCAGAGTCACACAACCATATACACAGCCACGGTGGGCGATGCCGTGCTGCATCTGTCGGACTTCTAGTTAGGTGGTTAGCTGCCAGCCCAGGAAGCAAGGAGGCTGGTCGGCCGTGTTTGTTTCATAGCCAAGTCCAAATTGGAGCCGATTTGCGGATCCGCTAGCTTATCTATCTGCGCCATCGGGATTCAAACGGCACTATTGAGAAGGCAGCAAGCCTCGTCTGATGCAATGGGCTAGGGGCGATGCAAGGAAATATGTATGAGGCAAATACGCATGATTGATCCTTCTCGCCACAAAACGGCTGGCGGGCCGGTTGCAACTGTGCAAGTTGTCAATTTGTGTATCCATCCGTACTCGGCATGGAGCCGCTAGTTATGGGTCAATGGGCCATGGGTTAGGTGTAATGGAGCCCTTGATTAGGGGCCTGTTCATTGGTCTTGGCTGGACTCGAAAGATTGGCTTGTTTTATGGTTGCGTTATAATTTAGGGTTCCGTTATTATTAGCATTGGCATTGTGGTCTTGAGAATCGGCTATGAAGACGCAATTAGCGTGTCCCAGCGAGTGACATAAGAGACGCGTTCTTCACGCCATGAATGACGTGCGGTGGATGGTACAAATTACACTATTACACTGGTAACCTTCCTACTAATTATTTCAGACAGTAGAGTACTTACAGCGTAATCTGTATTCCTTCGCAGTCGGCAGCAAACCTCACATGTACCTCGACACCACAGACGCATGCATAGTGACCCGCCTACCGGCGCGACCGGCCAGTCAGAGAGGCTCAAAATCCGTTGAGAAGGCCGCGTCCTGCAACACGAGGCTGAAGAGTCATCACCACGAGCATCTTGCCATGGCATCCGAGGCATCTGATTTTTTGGAAGGACAGGCTGGCATCATGCGGAGAAGGGGGGCAGCAGCTTGCGCAAGCATGTCCTCAGGCTCGTGACAAGTTAAACCGACGTGATGGACTGACAGCTCAGGAACGAGTCGTTCTCTACCATCCCCAACAATTAACAGGCTAGGCGGCTGGGCTGGGATACTAGCGGGGAGACTTGGAAACAAGGTACCCGCTTTAGCATGTGGAGGCCATCAACTTCGGGCTACCCGACTTGTGATTGGCTGTTGTGAGACAAATGGGTCGGCCTTTGTGGCGCAGGCACTGTACTCGACACTGTAGAGTTAGCGGTGAACTGGGTGGCTAGCACGGTGTGAATGTTGCACCTCTTTCGGTTTGGTGCAGTGATCGGTTTAGTGCAGTAATCACCCCGATACTTGTATCTCAAGTACCTCCGCCTCGTCTTTGCCAGCCTCATCGTCCCAAGCAACCCATTTTAGGGCGCCACGCTTAAAGTGTCTGCTGAAAACTTCATCCACCAGCCCGTGTTAGCGCTGCAAAATGGCCGAAAATCAGTTGTAGCATGTACCTCAGGTAGGTACAGGGAGGTACAGGGAGTGGTTTGCAGGTTTTTCTTGACTTGCTGGTGGCAAGGACGCCTCCAGTATTTTCGGCCAACACCACGCGGCACAGTGGCTGGCAAGCAGACGCCGGCTGTGTCCACCGCCTGCCCGCCTTGCCCGCCTCCAGCACACAGCACACAGCACACAGCACTGCCTTGCTTGGCCCAGCAAAACCCGCCCGTCAAGTCTGTCCTCGCTCTCTCCATCCTCCGCGCTCCAGCGTAAACGGGTCCCCCCAAGGCCTCGCTCGCTCCCTCCATTCGTCCATTATTCAGTCCTACTTGCCGCTTCTCCCGCTCAACATTCTCCCTCCCATCGTCAACGTCAACCGCCGTTGCATCTCGACACCGTCAACCGCGCTGCAACCCTTCCCTTCGCCCCAGACACTTGGTACATTCCGGTGGGCCCGCTTCAGTCACTTGCGCACGCCTGGAACCCGGCCCTTGGCTTCCTTGCCTGCCTACCGCTTTTTTCCTGTCAAATTGCTATAGACGATTCTTCCACGACGCCCGCCCCTGATTCTGCTCTCGCGCTTCCTCAGAAACAGTCGATACGCCACCTCGAGAGCCCCTTGCCGTCGCCCATGTGATTATGCTACCGTCGATATACGCACTTTCCTCCAGAATCACTTAGTTTGCCACGTCTTATTCCGCCATCGGCACTTCGATACCCGAGTATCACTACGCACTCCCCTCACTGACATCGGACCTTGTGTCTCGCCCAACTTTTAGTCGACACCGCCGCCGGATCAACTTTTTCACGCCCTTGCAACCCTCAACTACGCCGTCGCCTCGCACCATTGCCAAAATTCGACGTATTCAATCCGTTTTCTAGAAATCCCCGCGTGCAGCGGACACGCACCGCCGCCGCCCACGTCCCGCCCGGTCATGACATCGGCTGGTGGCCCTGGCGCCGGCAGCCCTCTGATCGCGGGAGCCCTCACGTCCAGCGGCGAATTTCACGATTTCTCCGACGATGATCTCGGAGCCTCCAACCTCTTCGACTTTTCCAACAGCCCTGATACCCTCCAGAGCCTCGGCGTCATAAGCACCTCCAAGGACCAGGACGCCTTCCTCAACCCCCAGCAGCTGGCTGTCGGTCCCTTCCCCGACTCGCCCAACGGCTCCTCCCAAGACTCTTCGTCAGAGTCCGCCGAGACCTCCAAGCCCTCCACCGCATCCACATCCACATCCGCAAAGACGCCTGCTACTTCGGTCACCGATGCCCCCATGGACGACGACGGCTCGCACATGAACATGGACTGGGGGAATACCCATCTTCCCCATTTCGATGAGGATGACAATCCCTTCAATTTTGGCGCCACCACTGGCCAGACTGATGTCAACGGCTTCTATGGCTTCCCCGAACAAGATGACAGCTTCATGGACCAGTCTTTTGATTTTGAGAGCGCATCCAGCAGCCCCGACGCTCTTCCCACAGGCCCTGTAACAATGGCTTCGCCCGGCATGCCGACCATCAAGTCGACAAGCCCTAATAAGAATAATAACATGCCCGCAAAGTCCAAACCTCAACTTCACAAGAAGAAGGCTTCGGTCAGTCTACCCAACCGTCCTATAGCATGTCCAAGTTGCTAACCTTCGCAGATCCACTCTGTCGCGTCGTCACAAAACGGCATCAAACGATCGCTTTCTCGAGAAGTATCGCCCATGTCAACCTTGGTCGCTAGTCACAACTCCTCTCCCGCCACAGCCTTTCTGAACTCGCCATCGGCCATTGTCAAGGCTGAGTACTTCCACGCGAGGGGCCAGGATGGTGTGTGGCCTAACAAGCCTACTGTACAGGCTGCCGCGGACGGTGTGCCGTCCCCGGCTTCCTTTGTGCCCCATAACCATAACATGGCTCAAGCTAGACAAATGGCTCAGCAAATGGCCATCTTCAACCCAGCCCCATTTAACTTTACTGGCTACGAGCTTCGCATTCTGCCAACACCGATGAAATCTCGAGTTGAGACGCAGATTCCGATCAAGATGACGCTCTCCCCTCTTCCTCCTGGTGTAACCAAGCTTCACCTTCCTGCGCATACGATATCCAAGCCAAAGCTTCTGGCAAAGCCGACACCGGAGCCGTCTCCCGATACTCTCGTGCTGCACGTTAGTTTAGTATGCACCAGCGCAATGGAACAACCCGAATGGAAGAAGAAAGCTCTCGAGAGAGCCAGGACGCAACCCCAGGGCAGCTTGCCTGATCTGGATGATGAAGAAAACTCGCCCCAAAACGGCGGCGAGGTTCGTATATGTGCCGGCTGCATTACACGAGAAAGAAAGCGAGCGGCCAGGAAAAAGATCAAGAAGCCTGATGAGGAAAAGGTGTGGGGTCAGGATGAAGAACGCCGTGTCATTGTCTTTAATACCCAAGAGGTCAAGGAATGGCAGCCCATCAGCGGCATGCTTGATTCCAACGGACGGCCGGAACCCGTTGTGTCAAATCGCACCATGCAGATTGATGCACCTATGCGCATCGCCTGTTACTGCCGTCATCATGGCGAGAAGATGGGCTTCAACGTCATCTTCACCATCAAGGATCACCAGGACCGTGTCATTGCTCAAGCCATGTCCAACCCAGTCATGATCACTGACGACCACAAGACGCATCCCATGGCTCAACTTACCTCGCAAGTTCCCATGTCTGACACTGTCAGCTCGTCATCAATCCCAATCGCCTCCGCACCCATCACCGATGCCAATGGCATGATTGTCTCCATCCCCAACGGCAACTTTAGAATGTCGCAGGCAGGAAGCGACGTGTCATCTATGCAAAATGGCTACACGAGCTCCAACTCGGGCAAAACTACGCCAACTATGAGTACAGTAACTGTACCGGCCCGCCCACACTCGAGACCTGGCTCCCCTACACAAGGGCACCCGCTACCAAAGAGAAGGAAAGCCAGTAACTCCCGAGTACCCAATGGGTTGGAGATGACCCGTCTCGACACCTCACCACAGCCTCCACACTCTGTTGCTAGCCAACGATCAACCGTCACCTCACCATTCAGTCCGCCCTCTGCTTTCCAACAAGCTGAACATCTCTTTGGTATACCGAATGGCCAACTGCCATTTACCAATGGCCCTCCTACCCCCAACAGCAACAACGATCAGGCCTCCTTCTTTGCCAATAACCGCTCCGCTAGCATGGACAATCTTGCCATGGCCAACATGTACTCGGCTCCCACATCTAGCCACGCAAGCCGTGCCCCCAGTCCCAACAGCCTCCAAGCCAGCGTTCAGCAGAACCAATTCACTGCGCTCGCTAACGGTCTTTATGCTCCTCTTAGCGCTCCTCGTGTCACACCGGTTATTCACAAAATTATCCCCAATGAAGGTCCCAAGATTGGCGGTATTGAAGTCACCGTCCTGGGAGCTGCTTTCTTCCAGGGTCTAGAGGTTTGGTTTGGCGATCAACGAGCTACTACCACCACCTTCTGGGGCGAATCATCTCTTGTTTGCTTGCTACCTCCCTCACCTGTCTCCGGAACCGTCCCGGTAACCTTTAAGCTGCAAGGTGTTCTACCTCAAAACTTCCCCATGGCTAAGCAGCCACCAACATTTAAATATGTCGACGACAACGAAGACAAGCTCATCAGAACAGCTCTCTCTGTTCTGGGACAGAAGATGTCGGGCCAGATGGTGGATGTGAGTGACCTGGCACGAAGAATTCTCAACGATGGCAGCAGCTCTGGTGGCTGGACTGGTGGTCCTTCGGGCAGCGGCCCCCAGTTCAATCACGCCTCCCACGAACACCTCGAGTCGCAGTTGCTCAAGGTCTTGGATCTGATTGACCTTGATGACAGCGCGCACAGGACTAAGCTCGATTTGAGAAGATCTACCGGGCACACTATGCTTCATCTTGCTTGTTCCCTTGGCTACCATCGTTTTGTTGCTGCTCTGCTAGCCCGCGGTGCCAACCCCGATGCTCGCGACAGGGGAGGGTTCACCGCTTTACACATGGCCTCCCTCCAGAGCCATTCGGAAATCGCCCGCCGACTGATCATTGGCGGTGCCGATCCGACGATCCGCAGCTTGTCTGGTCTCACTGCTACTGATGTTGCACAGTCTCGCGCCGTTGTTCGTGCTATCCGTCACTCGGAGCGCCACGCTCGCTCTCGAAGCAGCGGCGGAACCATCCACAGCCGTACCAGCAGTTCCACGTCTGTCAGATCGCTCTGGGAGCCTCTTACAAGAGCGAATACCCACGATGGACCCATTTCTATTGCCTCGGGTGAAGAGAGCCCCGAATATACTTCAGGCGACTTCGAAGATGAAGACCCCGACGAGGACAGCTACCTCACCATGAGACGCGCTAGCGAAATCAATGCTGACAAGGGTCGCTCAGAGGCTGGTGACGCTGAGCTGGTCGATGCCTCGGCTCCCACAGCCATAGCCGCCGCATTGAAGGAGCAGTTCCAACAGCAACTCCAGCAGCTTCAGCAGACGATGGCTATGCATTTCCAGAATCTGGCCCATATTCCACAGCTCCCACAGATGCCCGGCATGCCTGTACTACCAGACTACCAGGGTTACCTCCAGCGCATGCAGCAGTATGTACCCGGCATGTCGGGCCCAAGGCCTGACTCTACTGGCGAGAACTCGCCAAAGGTGGACGGCAGATGGTGGGATCTGTCATCGTACATGGGAGGTGCTGCGGCAGCGACCGCCCTACCTCCAGCATACGAAGACATTTTCCCCTCGAAAGATGTTGAGGAGAAGCAGCGCTCTGCTGCGGAGGCTGCTTGCGAAGCCGAGGCCGACATGAAGTGTTCCGCCTTGTATGACCAGCCCAAGACGAGGCTGAAGAAGAGATCCACCAGAGCCAAGGCTGCAATCGCTAGCGTGGTTGCTGAGAGCTCTGAAACGGAAATTCCTAGTGTCCTCAAGATTGGACGCAAGAATGCCATTACCAAAGAACAGCAAGACCAATTCCTGCGGGCCAGGGAGCAGAAGCTGAAGAAACTCAGCAGCGATCGCAAGCTCTTCTTCGTCTGGATTCCCTTGCTGCTAGTCATGATTTGCGCGATGCTTTACAGTTACTTTCCAAAGCTGTTCCCGTTCCTGTTTGGGTCGGTAAAGGCTGTGATACAGGTGGGACACGCCCGCGCCAATCGCTACTTGCAGAACAGACAAGAGCGCGTCTTGCCGGCGTAACGGACCCGAACTGAATTCCTTTTTATAGCAATGCCGTGGAACACGGAGAACGTTGCTTTTGTTTTATTTGTTCAAATATCCTCAATGGTGGAATCAAAGGTGCTTCTTCATTACTAGTCAGCGTTTGGTGTTGGGAATGTTTTTCTCTCTCTTGCTTCCGATTGTTGTTACGAAATATGTCTTGGCTTGATTTTACTCGCCATTCTCTGCACTATTTTAGAGGATTTTTTTTTTTTTTAAATGTCGGGTTTTTCAAAGAAACTGCCAGACTTGTCTTGGGAAAACGGATAGGGAAAAAACGGACGTCTCGAGGGTGATCTCTACGCTCTTTTCCTTTTCAACCTGTGGCACATGGGATTCTTCATCTCCTTTGTTTAGGATTGTTCCATCATCATCGCGGGTTTTTGCGTCCCATTTATTATTAGGTAGCTATGTACTAATGCCAGTATCATCAGATGCTGTTCTCTTGACTTGGGCAGCGCTTACATTTGCAAAGTGACTGAATAAATTGTCAAATGTAGCATGGCCGTGTCATATATATTAAGTGCCGGTCGTCATCTCTTCAATCGCTGTTGCGAAAGCGTCTGTCATTTATATACATGGTCATGAAATCGTTAACTAGCAGATGATCCCCATCTCAGATATCCCACCTGAAGATGCCCAAAATCACGCATTCACCAGCCACCTCCCTCCACCACTCCTTGTCCAAACTTGCCGCATCGACCGGACGCCCTCAACGCACTCTCAAGCCCCTCCAGGGACCATTGCTCTCCCGATCCTCCCCGTACGTGAAGCGCGCCGGAATAACAGGCACGCTGGGGATGCCGCGCCCCTCGTCGGGCACGACGCGCATGGAGCGGTGCTCCTCAGCCGGGCGGCCACGGAGCACGCGCGCGCTCCCGCCACCGTCGCTAACGTGGCGGGGGCGCGGCTGCAGCTGGGGGCGGCGTTTCTGGAGCTTCTTGGTCGGTGGTGGCGGGACAGAGGAGGAGAGGCTTCGCCGGGACGAGGACGAGACGGTGCGCGTCTTGGGCACAAAGAGGCTCTCTCCAGAGGCCAGGCGGCGGAGGCGCTTCTTGGGCTGCCTGTTGCCGTCGTCGTGGACGGTGTTGGGGTGCGCCGGGGCCTGGTTCTCCTTGTCGTGGACGCCAGCGTGCTGCTCGTCGGCGTCGTCGGCGTCGGGCATGCTCTCATCGTCCGAGTCGGAATCCGGCGCGGCCGCACGCTTGGTGCCGCGCGAGGACACGCTCTTGGGGGACTGCACCGGTTCCTGACGGGGCGTGCCGAGCGGCCACTGCGGCGGCGGCGGCGGCTGCGACCGGTGTTGGGGGCCGTGTGAGGTAGACGGCCGGGTGCCCACCGTCGCCGTCGGCCGTCCGAGGCCGTGCCGACTCGACTGGATGGCGTGCGCTTGGAAGAAGCCTCCGGCCATGAGCTGCTGGTAGCTCGCGAGGACCTCGTCGCGCGACGGCCGCGCGGATTGGAACCCGGTGAACTGAAAGTCGGCGGCCGTGGTGGCAGCCGAGGATGAGGAGGGGCGGGGAATGTTAATGGGCGTGGCGGCGGCTGTCACTGTTTCCGCGGCGAGTCGACTGCGCGTGCGTGAGGCCGGCGGGCCGTCTCGCTCGGCGGGGTCCGTGTAGATGGCGATGATGTGCTCCGCATTCGTCTGCGTCACGGCCGTTGTCGTCGTCGCGGCCGAAATGGCCGCGGCTGGTGTTGTGTTTGTCGTCGCCGTCTTCTTCGCATCGCCGTCGTCCCGGCGCAGACGCAGCCTGCCGCGCACGCCCTCCCAGACCTGCCCAAACAGCCGGCTGCCCGTCTTGCGGGACCACGTCTGCGAGAAGCCGCCGCCGCCGCCGCCGCTGCCCGTGTCGTGGCTGGGGCGGCAGCGCGGGGGATTCTGCTCGTCGCCGCCGCGACAGGGCAGAGGGACGGGCTGCTCGAGGGCGGCGAGGGCGTCGGGGCCGAGGAACTGCACAGGGGGCGCAAACGAGGCGCGGTCGTTCATGGAGCCCTCGCAGAAACGGCTGCGGCTCTGGAGGGCGGCGAGGGTAGGGTTCTTGCAAGGCCCGCCCATTGTTTGTGGTTATGGTGATATGATGATGCAGAAGAGGGTGGAAGGATTTTTTTGGAACATCCAGCTGGTGTGGATGCAAAAAACAAGAGGATATACGTTTCGAGAGGTTCAATCTTTGAATTGCCAGACCAAAAAGGCGATACCGATGAGGATAGAAGTGGCGTTACGCTAGAATGGCCGTCAAGAATGGGAAGCAATGAAGAAGAAGTTGGGGGAAATGGGATAAATCGCGCGGTTAGATTCTCATTCCGAATTGTGTGTCATGTTGGTATGGTGTTGCCATTGTTTGGACGTGGGCAGGATTGCGGTGTAGGAAAAGGTCAGTTAGACGGTCCGTCCATTGTTGACTTTGTGTGTGCGCGCTCACCACGGCAACGAACTTGGTGAAGGGGAGGGGAGGGGCTCTGCGCGACTGGAAACTGCAGGCAATCGGCATAATGAAACGAGCAAATCATTTCAAGGAGCACGGATTTTTCCGGCTCCGTTCAAATTACATCCCCCTAGTTATTCATTTTTTTTTATTTTGAAGCCGTTTGCTTTGAAACGCGGGAGACGACAAAGCAAATGGTACTGAAATTTGACCATTGTCACTACGTCATGGCGAACAAGCAACGAATAACGCTGGAAAGACTACTTCTTATGCTTGTAATACTAATAAAAGACCATTACAGTGCGTTTTCCCTTTGTTCTGTCCAGATATGGCTCCAGGCTATGTAGTCTGGTCACTGCAATCTGTCTTCTTCCTGTGCATGGAGATGCTCCGCACGCCGCCAGCTGGCAACCTGGCAGGCAGCCGTTTTCACGAACCCGACTTATAAGCGACAAGCTCTCAACCTCATCCACCCCATCATTCATCGTAGCGCAACTACACCAGCAGGCCGAAATTCATTCGCAATTGCCATCTCAGCACGGCCAACCACCTCCCTCCATTCCACCCTTACCTCATCTCACTTGTACCCCGCCATCTCCCCCGCGAACATCCCCATCATGCCGGAGCCCGCCTCCCTCACCATCCACCTCCTCTGCATGCACGACAAGGACCGCGCCGCTTACCTTGCCGCGTGCGCCCGCCTCGGCGGCCCCCCGCCCTTTGCCGCCTCGCTGACGCTGCACAGCGGCGCCCTCTCGCAGCTCCCGGCCTCGGTGCGGCTCGACGCCATCGTCTCGCCCGCCAACTCGTACGGCCGGCTCGACGGGGCCTTTGACGACGCCATATCGCGCGCGCTCGCGCCCGCCGACGACTACCACGCGCTCACGCGCGCCGCCCAGGCCGTCCTCTACGCCGAGCACCGCGGGTGGGCCAACCCGGGCTCCTGCACGCGCGTGCCCGTCCCGCCGTTTCCCCCCCCGTCCCGCCCCACCCGCAACGTCTGGGGCGTCCGGCACCTGCTCCTGTGCCCGACCATGCGCGTGCCGGAGAGTGTCGCCTGGGACAAGGAGATTGTGTACCGGTGCGTGTGGAGCATGCTGTGCGCGGTGGATAAGCATAACCGCGCAGTGGGGGACGGGGAGGAGGCGGCGGCGGCGGCGGATAGGATCGGGTCGGTGCTCATGACGCCGCTGGCGACGGGCGTGGGACGCGTGAGTGAGCACGTGTGGGCCGCGCAGCTGCTGCTGGCGCTGCGGCACTTTGACTTGGCCGTCAGGAACCCAGAGGAGTTCGGTGCCCTCGAGGTGGACAGGATCTTGACCCTGGACGGCGAGATCCAGGCAACCTACGAGGCCAATCTGCCAAAGAATGACGAGCCTCAGCAAAAGACAGCCGAAACAGCCCTACATCAATGAAACATAAACCCAGTGTGCCAAGGCAGCGCATGACAGTTTCTTTTGACGCGCTCGGAAGAATAGCAGCTATTTCTAGTCACCATCCATATCTTGAGTGAGAACAAGGCCCTGTCGCGCAACCGAGTCCAAGTGCAGACGGCCACAGGCATTTCATCGTTCTCGTGTGCCCTTGCAATGTCCCATGCACAACACACGGTCTTCACACGTGGCGGGGCGTGATCGCGGTGTCCCCCCGGCTGGTACTCCTCGCCCCGGGCCCATGGCAAACTTTGTCGGCTAGAAACAGAGCTGACGCCATTATGAGTTGACGACCAGATATTAAGCCATTTTAGTTACTGTGGCTGCTCTTTCTTTGTCCTTCCGTATCATTCCATTTTCCTCTTCTAGATCAGTTAGTTGATGCCTCTTTTTCCGCTACAGTTTTCCATCCCACGGTCGAGGTCACTGCTGGTGTGTTCAAGTAACCCACACGGGACAACGGACGACGGCAAGTTAGCCGTGGTGGCATCGGGTCAGTATCACTGTCCCATCTAAATCACCCAACATGAAATCATAGTGCTTTGATGTGATGATATGATGCGAACAAGATTGCTGTGTGTATATATAAATGCGCCCGCAGACGACTAAATTGTGAAAGCGCTTATCAGAAAATGTAAGAATATAAAGGCAAGAGTTTATAAAATCTGAAACTCATGTCCGAGAGAAAGCCGACCAAGAAAAAAAAGATTGATAAGTCAAGAAACCCCCTTTCCAAATTCCGTCATTCGACATAAACCCCTTTTTTCCCAAGAGTATCGTTCAAAAAAAAATTAAGTAGCAAGCTCGTTGTTGCCCAAGAAGAAGAATTCCTCTTCAATTTGTGCCACCACAAAAGTCAGCAAATTTGCAGTGGCATCAGGTGTGAGGCTTTGATACGGGCTGTGGCCTTGCCCATTGCGAGTGTTCTTGCATGTCGTAGGTATTGGGTGAAAAATGAAACCAAGAGAACGCCGTGACCCAGTATGAGATGAGAAGAAAGAAAACATCGTTGATAGCGAGAGACTGCGGCTCCGTTTTGAGCCGTGGATGCGAAGTAAGATAGATTCGTCAAGTCGCTCAACAAGGTGGCCAGCGCCAAAATCAAAAGCAGTCTTGTGCCTATCCGATCCCCAAGGAATTCGCTGTTACATGACGCCACTAAAAACAAAATTGGACAAATTGGTGTTCAGCAAGGCTCGGCAGGTAATCAAGTTCGGGATTCTGCAAGTTCATATACGCAGACGGAATCGAAATGGATGTGAAGTTATACAGCCCAGCACATCGATGTGCTCAATAGGCTGTTTGAGCTGCGAAGAACGCGGGTTCGCCGTTTACTGGCATGAGTTGAATCGAACATAGCCAATCTCGCCATCAGCTCTCGAATACATGGAAAAATCAGGTTCAGGATAATATCGTGGGTTGCTCCTGTAGTGTGGCTCGGATTGGCGCTGGCCGTTGTGCAAGGAGCCCGAGGTCTGGTGGAAGACAATTTCGTGTTTGCGCTTCCCGCCAGTAGGGATATTTGGCAGACGAGGCAAGGCTTCTGTTTCGGCTTCAATAGGCGGAAGAGGCGACATGAGCGAAGAAATCTTGAGCGGTGCGTGCGACAGTGACGGTGACGGCTGCGGAAGCAGAGGCCGCCGGGGGTAATGGGTTGGCGTAGGCGGATGAGATGGAGCACATGAGCCACGTCTGGAGTGATAATCGCCCGACGAGAACGAGGAAGGCGACGGCGGGATGTGACTGATGCTCGGTCTCGGTTCGTAGGCGTCTGGCTTGCTGGACAGCGAAGGCGATGGGCACGGACGGGGTGTAATGGAGTGCCTGTAAGAACGGTCCGGCTCCGGATACGGGGCCATTTGGTGGGCGTGTTGCGGGCCGGCCAAGGGCGGCATGTGGCTCGACTGCGGCCGTGGTGCGATGGGATGATGATTTGTGGGAGGCAGAGACGAAGGCGTGCGAGCTTGTGGCGGCGCGTCGCTGCCAAAGGAAAGATGGCGGGCCGGAGGAGCAGAGTGTTCGTAGGCGGGTTGGTGCGAGGCGTGAGATGAGTGCGAATCTGCAGCAGAGGGGCGTCGCTCGGGCTTGACTGAATAGTGAGGGCGATGCTCGCTCGAGTTGCTGAGAGATCTGTCGCGGGGGTTGGGATTGTTGGTGGGAGGCGGACGCTTCCGATAGGCTTCCTCTCTGGCGTCTTGGCTGGCAGCAGCAGGTTTGGCGTCTCGCTTTCTCATACGAACATCGCGGCGAATTCGGACCCGGCAGCCTTGGTCAGCGACAATCTTGCTGAGGGTGGTGCTCTCCATCAGGCCAGGGAACTTCTTGGCGCTGAAGACGTTGAAAGGGACTGTCTTGATCTCCATGCGCCAGTCGACGCCAGGAGGCATATCAGAGGTCGGTTCCAGATCAAAGTCCTTTTCCTCCTTGGTGGTTTCGAACAAACTAAATGACAGACGAAAATAGCCTTCGTGGCGGACAGAAAGATCGGGAAAGATGAAGTAGCCGGCCTCGTGTGGTCTATCGAGATAGGCCATGCCAGAGGCGGGTACACCAGTGAGGATGGGAGGATTGAGGGTGGCGGGAGTTTGAACACGCCCATGGGCCATGGGGCGGGCCTGCTCGAGGCTAGCGTAGAGGAAGAAGTTGGCGTTGTAGTCGAAGGTAATATCCTTGCCTTCCTCAACAGACGGGCCTTCGACAATGCGAAGCTCAACAACGGGGGGAGGATCCACGGGTCGGCGATCGCTGTTGGCCTTCATGCCAGCACCGCATGCTCTGGCGCGTTCAGGCTGCTGGAGAACTTTTAACTGGTACCACAGACTGCGATTTTCTCTGGTGATGCGATGTATGCGCTGACAATTGTCGTTGGACGCGAGGGTCGACGACTTGGGGGCTGCAGACGCCATGGCGAACAAGTCTGAAGGGGAGGGATGAGATCAAGGCCGGTGAAAGGCCCGGTTACGGGCTTGGTGAAAGTTAGCGACGGCGCTGAGGATACAAAACAAGGTGAATGAAAGCGGTGCAGGTTGAGAAGTGATTTAAGATGGCGCGAACCACGCGTTGCGTGGCGGGGGGCGGCTGTCTATAGATGCATATATCGGGCAGATGGCTATTGCAGGTTGATGCTCACCTTGGGGATGTGATGAACGGCGCGGCGGGTGTTTGGTTTGGCGAAAGGCAAGTGCAAGACGGACAATGGATGCAATTGCAAAAAGCAAGTCGAACCCAGCAGTGAAGCGGTAACTAGCACGAGAGGAGAGCGACGGGGAGAAACGTCGGGTCGAGGGACGAGAAGCAAGAAAAGCAACAAAAAAAAGGCAGTTGTGCTCGTGAAGAAGGGGTAGCAAGAGAAGAGAAGGCGGTAATGCAAGACACGGCGTCAAGAGGAGGTGACGGCGACAAGGCCCCAAGGCCAAGGCTGGGAAGGAGAGTTGCTGTTGTTGTTGCAAGAAGGATGGAGGACGGGGAGGAGTGTAGTGGGAGAGTGTGGCCGAGAAGTAGTGGCAATGGGCGAGGGCGAGGCGGGCGGGAGAGCGTGTGTGCGAAGTGCGAGCGAGAGGGCCAGAGTTGAGTTGAGAGCGGCAAGAGAAGAGAGGCGGCGTGAGACCGGGGGGATGCCGTGGTACCGTGGTACCTGAGGTAGTTTGTGGTGTGGTGGTGGTTGTGGTGGTACAACCCTCGGGTCGGGGGATGGCAGACGACGACAACTGGCACTGGGCACTGGGCCAAGCACGACGAGGGCAGCAGCTACAGAGTACGGATACAGGTATCAGAGCATCTGTATCATGATATGATACAGAGAGCAATCGCAATCGCAGCCGTCAGACTCCAGCCCAGCAGGTCGAGAGATACCTAAAATCTCGGTGGCTGCCAGCGCAGGCGACGCCCCAGACAGTCGGGATTCCCAGCGCTCTGGGCAGGGCGATTGGGCGATTTGGGGGGGGGGATTGGGGGGGGGGTAGAGGATTGGAGGGGGATGGGAGGGGGGGCCCGAGAGACTGGAAAGTGGGCAAGGGGGGGGGGCATTTCTCGGGGCAGGGAGTCCAACCTGGTGGGTGGTGGGCTAATTTTTTTATTTTCTTTTTGGTATTATTTGGGCTGCAGCTGAGCACTTACCCTGGTGCCCATCCACCCACACCACTTTCGCCTGCTCCCCAGTGGAGCATCCTTGGAACGGGTATCGCTGAACAGGACGCTAAGAACAGCATGTACCACGACCATGACCAGCTCGCGGTGCAACACGGTACAACCACTGTGTAATAATGACCTACCAGTAGGTCCGGCTCATCCATCCAATATTAGGTTCCAAGGTACAATCAATTCATTTAGTTACCAGTACACATCCAGTAGCCAATGTACAGCATCATGCCATTTTCATCTCGCCACCTATTCCACCGTATTTCCGTCTCTGAATATCCTCATCTGCCTCCGGAGACGCTGCCCACTTGGTCGTAGCTTACTTTTCCCGCTGCCAGCCTTCAGAGCCCGGCTGTTGTCTCAATGTTGGGGCAGTGTGCACAAACTCGATGAGATACGGTGGCGCCAAACAAGGGTCGCAAAAACTTGACTCTCTTATTACATTTGCAGTTCATTTGCTTAATTTATGCCACATTCCTCTCTTTGCTCCTACCTGCAGGCGGCAGCAGGCGGCAGCAGACTTGCAGCTGGGCTTGTAGGGTCAACCCGGCCGCTGGGAGGCTCGCGTTTAGTTACAGAACAGAATCTCAGTGTCCTGCAGGCCTGCAGGACACCACCGTTCCCTCCAATGGAAGCCTGCGCCACCGCTGCTGCACCTCCCAGGGGATTGAAGCCCCCTCCAGAACCAGAACCAGTCCACTGGGCCGGCACGCCCAATGAATTTGCTCTTAATAACCCTGTTAATTAACCCATTCTCCTAGTCACGTCGGGTCCGAACGATTCCAATTCTTCTGGTGCACAAAGGCCCCCAACTCGATAATTGATCTGGCAAGACTAGTTAATTCGTACGCAGACATATTAAGTAATTCCCAGCACGCAATGATGACTTTCTTCAGAAAAGAGTAAAGAGTCCGTCCCAGCGTTGTCCAAGCCACCCCAGCTACATAGGTAGTCTGTGGTTGATTATAATGTTAGTGCCATATGGGAGGCCCGGCTCCGGCCAGGCCAACAAGACCAGACCACTAGGTAGTTAGACGACAATGGGGGGGGGGGGTATCCCAACGCATTCCGCTGACATTGTGAGCGAGGGACTCACCACGCGATGGCTCTGAGTTGAGTAAAAAGCAAAGAAAACCAGGAATATAAGAGAGAAACGAAAATCCCCCCGCTCGAGGCTGGAATGCGCCACACCGAATTTAGCCTGGCTCTTCACCGTTGACTCGTAGACTTAAAACTTGGTCCCTACAGTACCAAATAACACGACCAAATTGCCCAGAAAGCGGCTCCGGTTCCGCCATGTGGCAGATCCGCTGCCATGGCGCTCTTATGCAAGCCATGCAGCCAGTACGTACACCAATACAGCGACAATGCACGCCGCCATGTACAAATCTCGCTGCACTCGACAAGTCAGAAAACGGCAACAAACAAAATCTCAGACGCACACCATCACACCATCACACAGTCATGGCAAATCGTTTCATCGCCTACAGACACTTCCGCCGCAAGGAGCATCCTCCGGACCTATCATCGTCTAACTAGCACTCCAGAGCATCAGCCACTGACCACGGTTTTCGCCAACGAGCGGACCCTGCTCGCCGATTCTCAGTTTACAGGTACCTAATAACTATTAGCCCACTCATCTCAGCAGATAGGCTCTGCCCATCTTCAAGCCTGTCTCCCGTCCGCCACCCGAACGAGCGTGGACCTCAGCCCCCATTGCAACGCTGCCTGCCAGTCTACTAATAAAAGCAGCAACAGTTGTACCAAGTTAGTTACAGCGTTTGCTGAATTGCCCACAGGCCTGTTGAACGGATGCGAGGCTGCACAACGTAAAGGCGCCTTCTACAAGGGTCCAGCTAACCCTGACGAGCAACTCCCTCACGCCGCTGCTCACCGAAATCATGGATTGAGCTGCAGGCACCGATTGAACGACATGCGGCATTGCGCTGTAATCACCGAAACAAGTCTGCAGGCTACCTCGACCACAACCAATTCACCAGGTTCTAGACTGACGAAACTGGCATTTCTTGTCAAAGCTCTTCATGATGAAACTTGAATGGCGACAAAACCCGCACCATGGCGCCTCGAAATCGCCTTCCAGACCCCATCACGGTCTTGTCTTTGGCGACCGCCCAACTGTTATCCTATCGGAGACTCGCCCACCACGGGCCCGGCGCAAACATCCATCCATCAGAGCTGCCCCCCGCCACCCCATCCACTAATAAGTAAGAACCGGCTTACCAGTTTTAGTTACCAGTCTCGTCATCGAGTGACATTGGCGGCCAAGTCTTCAACAAAATGGCTCCAAGTAAGTGGAGAGAGCACACCCGCCCAAGTCTCGCCTGGTTGTTCAGACGTCTGGTTGGCTCCTTCATTGATGCTAACTTAGGCTCCGACGCGAGCTGCAGCGACGAATGAATGCATATACTCGGCTCCTTCAAACTCGTTAATGACAACTTGATCAACAAGCCCATCACGGCAGCGAGTGTTCCGACAAGCTGGTAACTACAAACCAGCGCCCAAACGTACTCGGCATTGTGAATCCAACTACTCCGTACCCAGCCTTGTAAGTGCAAAAGTACCTGTTATCTACTCCGTACTCGCTGACAGGAACCCAGCTATTTGTTACTAGTTACGGAGTACAGACAATGCCCTGCTCCCGCGGTTGGCGCCCCAAAAACTATTGCTAGTGCCTCCCACTAGATGAGACACTATGTACTAAGCACGCACTACTCCCTTTGCAGCAGCGCTATTGACGTGTCTCGACTCTTTCCTCGAGTCTTCAATCGCAAGAAGCAGCGGCTTCAACCAGCATGTGCATTATCGTTATTCACGGAATCAGCTAACTGGCCCTACCGCACTCTACCGCACTACTAGTAGCTGGGCAACCACGCTCTCCAACTGTCAGGAGGAGCACGTTTCCAGTGATGGGGAATCTCATGCGCTGATTTTGAATCGACACCATCCTTGCCACCTAGCACCTGCACAAGTCACCTTGGAGCTCCAACCTGGCACTTGGTACCAATATGGCAAGGCCGTCCGTTGACTGGTCACTTTGACGCTACCAGGATTGATATTACTATGTATCTTTTCTGAGATGTGATGATGCGGAACAGGGGGGCGCTTCCCTGGGCTGTGCCAAGCAACCCGCGTCCGGGGTCCCTGCAGACACACGCCGTCACAGAAGGAAGGAGTGACTTTATTCGTGCATCCGTCTGTTTTTAGAGGGCCTCGACGCCAACGTCAGTGAACGAGAGACGCACTATTGAACGGCCGTCAACGCTCTCTCAGAAGCCTCCCGTGGCCCGAGACCCCAGCAGAACGAGCATGGAATGAAGGAAGATATGAGGCGCTGATTCGGCAAATGAAAATAGAAAGTACGATGCGAACAGGAGCCTCAATACAGTACAGACTGGTGGCGTGAATTGACATGGGGTGGCAGATTCATGGCCGCGCCGAACCCTATGTTTCGCCACGGTTTGCTCGGATGTCGCCCGCTTTCTCGCCACTACACACAACAAGAGTCCTCGCGCTTTCGGAACAGTATGGTTGGTCCAGTATGGCGCCAATGTCCCCGCCAACCCCTGGAACGACGTCGAATTCACTGTGACAGGGGTTCTCCGTAAGAGGCATAGTGCACAATTCGGGATTGCTTGCATAAAAATAGTTCCCGTCGGGCGGCGCCTTCCTTGTTTTCATCGTTTCTCATGGACAAGGTTGCAACTTTGCTGCTCCGTACAGGACCGCATGAAGATGTGCCTGATATCAAATGAAGGGCTATTCTCAAACAAAGAGCCGCTTGAGAAACGCGAGCCAGACCCCGCGAGACACGCACGGCCAAAATCAGCCCAGCCAAGCTTTCAGCTAGCGGGCGCGCTCCGGGGGAGTTGCGTCCCTTGCCGCGCTGTAAAATGTCCCGAAAACGCAATCCCAGCAACCCGGTCCCTGAGAAGAGAGATTTTTGTCCAGCCTCGCCAAAATAATGCAGTAATGCAGGCAAGGTTCAGGGGTGCGCAAATTTGTTTTTGCGACTGCGTACTACGTACGGATAGAGTGGTACGGTGGTGTGGCCTGACCATACCAGGAACCAGTGAGTATCGCCAACATGTAGTTACCTTGGTACTTCCCACCATACGCAAAGAGAGACGAAGATGAAGGTGTGTTCATCTGGGCGAAGCAGGGCCGCGAAGGCCAGCGCGGCACACGGTAGTTGAGAAGAGCAGCCTCGCCAGCGACGCCGACAAAAGAAATGGTGGTGCCCGGAGCCGAGCCCGCGCCCAGCTAACTAACTAGGTGGTATTAATTACATGTACGCACAATCAAGTGCCGTTATTAACAAAAAGCACGCGCACCCAGTGGCGTGGTAGCGACTTCTGATGCTCTGCTGCAAGGTGCAGTACGCACGTGTCCAGGAGAGGTATGTATGTGACTGTGTGAGAAACGATGAAACGAACCCGTCAACAACAAAAAAAATAGGCGCATGAACGCAAGTTGCAGTAACATGTGGCAAGAGTTAAACAAGGTTGACAACCAAGACAGCAGCGGCCACACCTCTGGCTAACTAGTGAGCGACTACCACGGCGCGCTCACGAACCACACAGATATATTTTGATTATATTAGTTATTTTGGGACGGAAACACGGTGGCCGGGACTCGAGGCCGCGCTGTTCATCTGCCTTCCCCTCGAATCAACTCACAGGGTGGCAGACCATCTGACCATCCATTACAGGGTTGCTTTCTTTTTGTCCATTCTCTTTTAGCAAAAACTTTTGGCACACCTCGGCCAAGGGATGCAGGCAAGCGGGCAATTATGGTGAGGGAGCCCACCACACCATCTTGGACGAAAAAGGGCCATTTTGTTCATGGTGGGCCGATCGATGATGAACGCAAAAGCCACAATGGGCGGCCTGCAAGCTGTTCATGACTGCATTGGTGCATGGACTTTCGCAGGGTGGCAAAGGATAACGAGGCGTCACGGGCGTCGACAAATGTCCAGGCCATGAATACGCGGCCCTCGGAGGCGGATTCCACGCCAAGTCAAGCCAGGATGCCACGAGATGCCGCTCCTCTACAGATTATACCGGTTAAATACCTGAAGTCTGGCAAGGGCCTGTATTTTTAGCCCAAAGACACCACGGCTCGTGTATCTGCTACATGGCTGAAGCTTCTTGGAGCTTCCGCAGGTGGCGATGCATTGCACTGCACCAGACCAACTCAAATTGATGGTGTCATGCGGGCGCTATATAAAGTTGGTGAATGCTGCGAAGGTTCCCCGTATTCACGGGGCACGCCGCGAACAAGTGGCCACGGCGGGATGGCACGCTAGCAGCTCAACCGGGCCTGTCGCTGGCTCCAAGAAGGCAGTAACGAATCGCGTGATGGAAAAAAGCGAGACTGGAAGGGAATATGTTGGCTGCCTGTCTCGGCCGGAGCGTTGCGGCGAGCACATCTAGTTACAATCTACAGACCACCACCAGTACGGCAACATGGTCCAGGCGCAACTCTACACCATGGACCAACGCATCACAGGGACTGGCTGGGGGCACTAAGAACGAAGAGAAGGGCAGGGAAACAGGTTTACTGCGCGAGAGAAAACGTGCACACCCAACCCAACCCCTTGGAGAGATGATGGTCGTGCTGCTGCGGCTGGCTACGATGAGTAGTGTGGCGTCGGCGGCGCGGCGCTGCAATTCACACCAGATGGTATCATTTAGCGAGGACTCTGCGAATACCCGTACTGATGAAGCCATTTTGCCCATAGTTACACATGGTACATGCTTCATACTGGTAACAACGCTCGGCGCACAAGGGACTCTAGCTGTGCTTGTCAGTCCTACCGGTGCCCGAGACGTTGCCTTGTATTATGTATTCTGACCCGAACCCTTGCACAGCAATCAGGCACGCAACGACGGGTCAGCCCCCCTTGTTGCCCACAAGTCGAACCTTGGGACGCGAGACGATCGCATCTCGGCACTAGCCTGTGCGCTGTTGGGGGACTTGACACACAGGCCCTCGAAGCCCCCGTTTTTCTATGTGGTTTCGCCGGGCTCGACGGAAGGCTGCAATCGAGTATTATTAGCGAGGCAAAGGAAAAATGCGGCCCGGGAATGACATCTTCCACATCTGCCCCCCCTCACCGTGCACCGACACGCAGCAGCAGCAAAACGGTCATTGCCCCGACTCCCCCTGCCTCTTATCCGACGTGTACGGATAGTTGTCAGTGCCTTGCTATCGCGCCAACTTATCGAAACAGAGTCGCTGATATTGATCAAAGTCGACTTTGTGGGCGAAGCTACCAGGGCAGAGAGCGATGGCGAAGCTAGCACAGCATCATCAAGCTAAAGCTACCCGAATCTCTACGGAGTACTATCCCTTTCAATCGTCCAACGAGGCTTCCCGGCGTGGTTTCTTTGCTTGCCAATATGAAAAAGACGCAAGCCTCTTCATTAACCGATAGTTATCGATTTGGTAACCTGCTCTTCTTCAGACCGGTCCCCGACGAGCAGCAAAAACAAAAACGCCATGGTTTTTGGGCAGTGCACCAGTACGCCGATGCTCCATCTTTCTCGTCAGTTTTCACCTTTTTAAGCAAGCCACCAGGATACCAGAGAGAGAGCGTTGTTGCTTTTTCCTTGGCAACGTCTCTCTTCCCGCCCACATGGCTACCCGTCCGCTGGGCGGGCCGGTACGCCTCACCTTTATTCGCAAGGCTTTGAAGAGAAGAGGTGCAACATACTCCGGAATACCGGTACTCCATGTCTCGCCCCAGTTCCCCAGAAGACGTTAGACGTTGAGGCAACACGGCCAGAAGGGTTGTGGCGCGCATGGTTTCCCGTCAACTACAGAGTATCGCCTGTCACTTTTTCTACTGTGGCATCCCGTATTCCGGTCAAACGCCTCCTCCTCTCTCGCCACGTTTTTTCTTTGTCTCCTCAGACGCCAAGCGCGCCCCATTGCGACGATGAGACGTCGAAAGAAGCCGCCGCCCATCTTTTTCCCCCCCTGTGTAATTTCCCAATCGGCCAAAGAGCCCACCACATTCCCAAGAAAAATGCCCGCATTGACGACAGAGGGATTATTACGGGGTACTCGGTACTACTTCGTACAAACAAGGCCTTGGGGGTTTCGTTTCTTTTCTTGGTTCATGGAAAGAGCTATCCGTAATAAATGCGACTAACAAACAGTTTCAAGCCTCGATTCACAACAAACTCTCGTGTCCACTTTGCCATGTGGTCTGCAATGCCAATCTTTGTCAATTGGGCGCCACAACCACGTTTTCTTTGGTTCAGCCAACGCCTTGCCCCCGACCTGATCCGTTGAAGAGTTACGATTTCGGCAACGGCAGTCGGCGCTCGGAGCAATTTCCACTCGTCAGGCTGTCGCTGTGTCTTGCGAGCTGTGCATCCTGGCAAAACTTGCACCCCAAGGTTCCAGATACGCATCGTCAATGTAACTACGGGTAGTTACTGATCTCACAAGGTCACAAGAAACGGGAGCATGACCATTGCTCGCGCGTTGATTGAACCCACAGGGCACGGTCCTCTTCATCTGCAAGCCATACGCGACCATGAAAAACCCCTCGATTTCTGACAAAAAAGCAAGCAAATCCTCGCCCCTAGCGCCTCTGATCGACATCCATTCCTTCTGACCAGTATTCTACCAGGACCTCTTTCCCCAGTTGTGGGGAGTTGTTGCCTTTGTTATCCACCTTTTGGTATCGCCCTGCACGTAGGGTAGGGCCGCGTCTCACAGCCCGTGGGATGAAGTGCATGCATATTGATCCATTCGCTCTCATCGCAAAAGCAATGATGTGCAGCTTCTGCATCAGTTACCCCCGTCCTTTCCGCACTGCCGGGTAGAGGCAGTAGGGCTCGCATTCAACGTATCCTCTCGAATATGAGTTGTTCAGGGAACATCCTGACTACAAGGTGCCAACAACCAATTTTTGACAGTTTTGGCTACACGACACTGTACAACGCAGAAAACCCTGACCTCATTGCAATGTACACTTGCGCAAACAGTTGTGGTGCAACTTGACGTAAAGTGCTCGCCACTTACACAGCTGCACCGCAGACCCGCCTGTCAGTTGGGTTGGCCTTGCGCAAGCTGCATGTCCCCGAAAAGCGAGTTATGTCAGAATGCTTGTGAGAGCATGATGACATCGTCACCAGTCACACAACGAGAGCATACCAAGAAGCAAAGCCGGCCTCATCACATAAGCCTCAGCATCACAGGCTTCCTGTTTGCTTCTCTGCATCAAACATGCTCTCGGCGTGTTTGGTCGCCGCGATGGGACCGAAGATTGAATTCCTCACAGCGGCACTGAGACGAGCAGTCACAAGACGTCCCAAGCAACGGACACTAGGCCCAAGTTTCATCATTGTACGACCACAGCTACTACAGACAATGAAGCCTCGAAGCGCCGCTCGTGTTGGCCTTTCTCGCCGAACCCCCTGCTGAGAGATGCCGTCCATAGTACCAACCACCGAGGGTTCCCCACGAACCTTGCTGCAGACACTCAATCATTGCTCCGCAGCTAATATACATCGATGCATCTAAAAAAAGAGGAAGAGTTTGCTTTCGCATCCTTCGTCGGTTCGTGCCTTTCATCGACCAGTGCCTCGTTTCGTGGCTTGGTGGCGTGCTGTGCTCTGCACTGTCGTCACACCGCCACCAACGGTTGTTTTCCAACGGTCCTATGTACTTCATACTTCATACTCCCTCCGTACGGAGCACAGTATCTGTCAAGGAAATCAAACCCCGGACAAAAAAGAAGCTGCCGAGACATGCGCACTGTGGGCTCGAATCGCGCCGCCGCCACCCAAAAAGACGCATAGCCAACCGACGCCGGCGCCGGCTCGAGGCTCCTCGAGGTTGTGTTGCAAGACATTTCCTGGCTCTTGGCATGTTGAGGTTCTTGGTTTGCTAATATTAGGTGTTTGTCTTGTTAAACGACGCGGCAAGTGCCAAGACTCTTTCTTGTCGATTACCATTTGACTGATACATCCATCAGCCCTGACTTGCAAGTCACCAATGAATTGTGTTAAATTTTCCTTTATTATGCAGTATCCTTACAGTATGCACAGAAAAGGGGAGGGTATTTGCTATTCAAGACATGCAGCTCGAGAGCGTACCCCCACAACCAGTTCATCTCATCTTCGTTATAGCCGGCTCGTTATAGAAGGCCAGGTAATATCGCGAAACAAGGTAAGAATTTACGCATAACACGGGGTGTGCCATGTCACGATCTACCGAGTTGATATGAGCACAGCAGTTTTTAGCCCAAATTCTGGGGTGACCGTCACCGCAACAGTGTCTCACAGCCTCCTCCTTTCCCCCCTGCAATAATCCCTACCTACGCGCGAATGAGATTGCCGGCCACCGAGGTCAAACCCCATACGAAAAGTAAAAAAAAAGAGAAAAAGAAAGAAAAAGAAAGACAAGGGTTATCTTTTGCCTGCCGAGTCTATCTGTGAGAACATTTGAGTCAATGCAATACATGCATAAATAAACCGTTGCACGAAGTTGTAGTTACACGTTCCCGAGAGTATGAATTCTAGTGGGCGCTGTGATCTTGATGGATGTCACCAGTCCTTGTTCTACCTAGGAGCCTTTTCACTTGATCAATTATTTCCTTTTCCCGCTTTGGCCCTGTCTCTCTCGCTGCCCTGCCATGCTAAGCGGGCGAAAAGTCTTCCACGGAAACTACACATCGAGATGTGTTCCGTTCCTTGTCTTCAGTGTAGTCAACTACCAGTACTCTCCCTTCCCTGTGAACCGGCGCAGCGCACTACTGGAAGGATATTCGTCACGTTACTTCTCAACGTATCATGCCAAGCATGTCGCAAGGCTTCGCGTCGGACGCGCGAAGCCATGGCCATTTCAACAATGTCAATGTTCGCTGTCTCATGTCTCATTCGAACTATCTATTTATTACCAGTCATTTGAATCTAAATTTATGCCAGAATACCAAAGTGACATTGGCAAACAAGCCTTGACCGCTCTGTGTACTTGAAACCTTGACTGTGCGTTTCTGTGTGAGCCGAAGGAACCAAAGCCAAGGCGGGAACAAGTGCGTCAGCAAAGTCGGGTTCAAGACGCAACGTGGGCGGCCCGTGATACCTTTTGGGGGAAGTTCACCTGACTGATCCTCTAATTCCTCTCTGTTACATTCTCTAGGTACATCTTGAGCTTCCACATCCCCGCCACTGTGAACCCTTGATTCTGTATCACCACGGGTGTAGCACGCTTCTGGACAACCTAGCTCCCAACGGAGGGACGGAAGAACAAATACGGAAGACCGGTTCATCTGGCTTGCTGGAGCAAGTCTTGAGCCTTTGGCACGCAAGTGACGTCTGGAGAGGGGGCGGGTATGGCAAGACAACGGCAAGACAAGACATTGGCAAGCATGGACCGTCGCGGGAAGAAGGCTGGAGCCAAATTCCAGACACGGCTTCCCGTCCCTTGCTCTCTGAATCATAAGCACGTTTTCATTCTCATCACTGGAGCAATGAGGCTTTGTACCCATGCGTTGGCACTGGGTCAGAGGCCACGATTTGACGCGTCAACGCCAGTGTCTCGACTACGGGTAGTAACAAGTATTGAATACTTGTGGGGTTCTAGAAATAGTGCCTTTGACGTATTTAAAACAAGTGCTTGGTCGAAGACAAGCCGTTGCGCACGATGATAACCCCCCGAGGGCTTGCAAGACCTCTCTCGACGGCAGACTTCCGAGGCCTCGTCGTTATTTTGTGCATGTCCATGTTTAACCCGTTATCTGGCTCTTTTCTTGTACAACTCAAGCGTTTGGTCAAATTATCGCTAGGCTAAATCATGAACGGGTTCCAGACAAAAAACAAAAAAGCCCCTCTTCAAACAGTATGCAGCACCAGTAACTTTTGTGCTTGTAGCAAATTGTATACACCATGCATTCAACTGCTCCCTTATCAAAGATAAAGTAGCGACATGTAGATCTTTGTTGTAGTTTCTCATCTTTTGTATCCCTTAGCTAGCAGGATTGTCAATAAGCCAAGTGACCATGCGAGCGTTTTCTCGGACATTCAGGTCTCTATCCTGCTTCATCAAAGTCTCCATCTTAGTAGAGAAGCCGAGGCGCTTAAGTTCGGCCGCACGCTGCGCGCACGCCTGTACCTCTGCCCCATTATCTTTAGTCGTCAGGTTGTAAAGCAGACGGCACAGTGCCAGGCGTACTTCATTGTCTTTGTTGTTGGCCTGCTGAGCCAGGAGTTTGAGGAGTTCCGTTTGCGAGACGACAAACTGGCAGTAACGCGGGCCGGTTGCCGCAATATGCGTCAGTATATATATGACGACAGTAACAATACGTGCGTTTGGGTGCGAAATCTTCGATTCGGGGCCGGCAAGTGTTGTTCTGCGCACAAATGGATGCAAGACCCTGGCGCGCAGCTTTGCAGCCAGGATATCAAACAGGCGATCCTGTCCCAATGACCTGAACAGGTAATCTATAACTTCAGGGTTGGCGGCGGCCGAGTCTGCTCCCGCACCTCCATCAACACGACCTATCAGGTTGCGAATAAAGTCCACGCCTTGTTCTTGAACTGCGATGATATCATTGCGCGCTTTCGGGACCGGATTGCCTTCAGACTCGCGGATAGTGGATAAATAGTCCTCGATCTGGCGAAGCTTAGAAGACCCCGAAGCGTCCACGAAATGAATGGAGCCTTTGGCTGCGTACATCCAACGCGGCTGGATTTCAAGCTGCTCACCATCCATCTCTTCATCCAAGTCATCTCCCATCCTTGATGTGCTGTATGAACTGTCGTCCTGCTCTTCATCGCTGATTAGTTGAATCAACCAGGCTGGCTCTAGCAGCTCCAAGCACGTCTTCCTAGTACTGGCCGAAACTCCATCGACGAAATGCTTCAGGGCCCAAAGAGCATTAAGCCGAAGTGCAGGATTGTAAGAGTGTGCATGCTCGCAGAGCACCTTCATAACTCCATGTTCTGTGAGATACTAGAGAATGTTAGATTGAGCGATACTGATTGTCAATATTGTACCTACGTCTTTTGATGGACTGACGGAAACAACGAGATTCGCGACAGTTGCAGTTGCAGCAATTCGTAAGTTGATATCCGAGTGCTTCATAGCATTGAGAATAGGCGCCGCGATATTGTGGTCAATCAATGCCGTTCGGGACGTATGGACAGATCTCGACAGCATCCTGGCCACAAAACAGGCCGCAATGATGACACTGATAGGGTTGGTGCCATAATTGGGATCTGGGCTGGTACGAGCTTGTTGAACTGTGTTCTTGTCCTTGTGATCCTTGGCTTGTCGAGGCTTCCCAGGAAACTCGCTGAGCGATTCTACCACGTATGGTACAAAGTCCTCAAGCACTAGTGCTTTTCTATAGTTTTCTTCAGAGCCAGCCATTGCGCCGATTGCTTTGAGAACAGCTTCACGTGCTCGCATGCGGTGAACCATCACGGGATGAATACCACCATCTCCAAGGCGATGCGTTGGCGACGCATCCTCTACTTCCATCCCCTCTTCAGCGTGGGATGACCAGTATTGAGGCTGGATCCGTGGGAGTGGCCGATAGGTGTTTTTGAGTAGTTTCGTGAGTACTTTGACAGCGTCACAGTCGAAAGCCGCTTTCTGCAAGAATTCACAGTCGGTTATGAGACGTGCGAGGATGACAGGGGCCCGCTCCAGCACGTAATGTCTCGTCAAAGTTCTGACGTCCTCAATATCCTCCACCTCCTTGTCGTCCTTGGTTTCTTTATCGTGTTTTTCGATACTGTTGATAAGTACCGGTACTACCAGCAAAGCTAAAGTTGTCTCTCGTGCAATTGCCAGACAGAGTCCAGCTCTGAAAATTGAAGCAAGAACCGATAGAGCCGAAAGGCGTTCCACATCACCAAGCGATCTCACTAGATACACAAGCCAAGGAACGAGCGGACTTTCAATATCCGAGATCGGGTATGAACCGTTGTGGCCCGGTACATGGAAGCGAGTAGCCTCCGGCAGTAGGATACCGGATTTTCCTTTGCGGCTGCCCTTTATTTCAGGGTAGTCCGGATGAGAGAATGGTGTCGACGTGCCGCTTCGTGTTCGCGGGATGACGACGGCCGGAAGAAGGTATTCCATAGCTGTTAGACACTTGGGTCTGGACGGCTCCCCATCTGGTTCTTGGCTTCTGCTCATTCCAATTGGGGGAAAGTTGCGAGCCTCTATTGAAGGAAACACCGCTAACAAGGAAGGCGAATTAATCAACCGAGTGGCACGGTACTTGGAATCTCCAAGAATGGCACTGATCGCGTCCAGAACCAGTCCAATTTTGGCGCAGTTTCTAGCTGCTACAGGGAATGCACCGGATATGGCATCTCTATAAGCTGACTCCTCCGCACCCGGAACGACGAAACCATCACGAACAGCAATGCTGGCTAGTTGCGTGGCCAAGAGGTCCAGTACACCAGCGGCAGTAAGCGCCTGTTGATGACGCTCCTCGCGGCAGAGACGACATATGATGCCAATAGCGAGAGTGTTCTGTCTGAAGGTGGCCATGCTCACTCCCGCCGCGGATGATGAAGCTAGAATAATACTGAGCGACCCAATGTGCTGTGGGAGGAAAACTTGATCGGCGATGGCGTCAATGTTGAAAGTGCAAGGCGGCGACGCCAGCAATGCAGCATCAGCAATAGTTGTGAGGGCCTTTAAGGCGGCAGAAATGATCTGAGTCGGGGCGGAAGCAGGCGAAATGTTGTTGAGAATGGCGGGGAGTGCCATGGCGGCACTGAGCGGTGACAGGAAAGCAGGACCACCTGAAGGAAGTTAGCACATTGTCGCCACATGTAAGCACCCATGACTTCACACGCACCGGTCGCAAAGCTGCTTATGAGCTGTAGCGCTTGTAGCTTGACACCGTCTTCCTCAGAAAGCGGGCGCAATGTGGCGGACTGTCGTGTGTCTTTGTCATTCGTCTTCATAGGAGATCGCGTCGTCACTAGAGACCTCACAATGGGCTCCAGGACACCCACAGACACCCACTCTTCCTTTCGCTGGACATGTCCCACGATTTCATTCTTTAGCGCCTGAAGTGCGACAGTCTGTTCGGCAAAGGTCTTTGCGCCACGCAGTTGCGAAAGAATCGGAGAGCTCTGAGGGCGGGTCATTAGGGGCATATGTCGGAGGCCACCGCAACCTCTGGCTGGTTCAAGCTAATCAATGTGCGATGAGGGACGGCTGGCCACGATTTCGATTGTGCCGAATCGTTGGGTAGGAGGGCGGCGGCGCGACGTCGGGGCGGGTTCTAGGTGAGGAGGGGGCCGTTCGATGCCCAGATATATGCTGAATTGGGGTGTCAGAGTAACGCGACTCGATAGGTACGGTCCGGGGTAATAAAGCAGAATGCGAAGAGCAAATGTCGATGGGGTGAGGATGAAGACAAGACTGCTTGGGGAGCGACGTTCGGATGCCACGACAAGGAACCCAAAAAAATGGGGCGTGGGTTTGTGGCAAGGCCCAGGTACTTTTTTAGTAGTTGAATAATATTCTGTGTTGAATTTCAAGACGGGTCGACAGGATGTACGCTTGTAACTAGTGCATGTTTCAGCAATTATTTCAAGCAGCAACACGTCAATTTGATTTCGATCGTTTGTGGCCATCGCATAGGTAGGTTGGTGACAATCGCTCACCCCATATGAAGCTACCTACCAACCTCATCAATGAATATACAAGCGAGCCGTCAACACAATTACTAGGGCGACATTTCTGTAAGAATAAAAAGGATAAATTTGTTTTATAATACGCCATAACCAAGATATTGTGCACTCTGAACTTAAGCAAACTCATCATCGGCTTCCTCGATGCCCTCCCGCACTTTCACCAACATGCTAGTCTTCCACTTGTCGAGCTTGCTCATCTGATCGTACTGGAACAGTTTATCCGTAAATTGTTCTTGGCTCTTGGCCTCGATCGCCTCGCAGAGGTCGACGAGGAGCAGGTGCTCGCGCTGCGAAGCAAAGGAAGGGTCCATCTCGCGGTACTTGTCGAGAGCGCGCTGGGTGGCAACCATGTCGCCGCTGGCAAGGTGGCAAATGCCAGCTTTGAGGAAGTATTCTTTGACACTGTACTTCATGAGGTTGTTGTCAATTGACACTGTGGCCACCTTTTCATAGTTCTCGATGGCCTTGTAGTAGTCTCCCTCAAGACCGGCCATGTCGGCAACTTTGATCCAGAGTTTGTTCGCGAGGCTACCGGATGGATGTGTTAGATATTGGAGTCATACACATTTTGGGAGATGAAAACGGGGGGCGCTTACGCAGTGGCATTGTCGCCATCGTACCACGAAGCAGCAGACTCGCACGCCTCCAGTGCGCTCTTGTTGTCACCAAGCTCCTGCTCGTAGACTTCAGCTAGAGCCTCCTGCTGACTGGCCGCTCTTCTGAAGTTTCCCTTGGCGCAATAGCGCTGGATTGCCACTTTTACGCATCGGACGGCGGCTTTGGCATCGGTCTTTCGGTACGCCTTGAAGGCATCGATGAGGCTGTTGGCGGCGTCGTCGGGTTCGTTGAGGTTCTTGGTGAAGACTTCAGCAGCCCTTTCAAACGCCTTTCCGGCTTCGAGATCTGTACGCATAGGGGTAGGTGTCAGTTTCGGAGCCAACGGGCGCCAACGAGGGCCGTATGCGACTAACCCTGCTTCTGCATCTTGAAGGCGTTGGCCGCCTGGACATACAAGTCGGCGGCATTCTGGTACTTTTCCTCGCGGCCGCCAAAGAAGCTGAAGCCGCTGCCGGCACCTTGCAGCGTCTTATCGGCCTGTTGTATTGGAAAACGAGGCAACAGTCAGTTCAGGGCTGTTTCGGGCGAGCGTGGGGAGTGGGGGAGGGGTTATCCTCGGCGCACCTTCAAGAGCAGAGCACGAGGGTCTTGGGCCATGGTGGGAGGTTGAAATCTCTGAAGTGATGTTGAAAATTATCCTGGAAAATGTTTGCGACGTCACTTCTCGTATGGTAGAGACTCTGAGAAGGATACTTGTCGCATGTAAAGGAAGTGATACGTAGTCAACACAGCCGCCGGACCTAGCTTGGCCTATGACGCTGGGCCGCTGACTGACCGCCCGGGCGTCCAGTCTGCTCCACTGTTTTATCTTGTTCAAGCACTCACAGCTTTGCGGAATCTGCGTTGCAGTCTACATATTCTCCTCGATAACAAAAGCAAGGACAACAATGTCGGTTCCTAGCTTCGTCTGCTCTCGTTGCAGAGCTGTCGCCCCCCGGCGCATGTCGCAACTCGTCTCATCCCAACATCGCAAAGCGGCGTCGTCTACCACATCTTCCACCGCGCATAAAATTCTAGCGAAGCCAACGTGGTCTGTTCGCTCCCTTCTGGCGGACAACGACGCGTCGCCAGCCGAGATCATCACACCAGCACAACTACACCACCTGCTCAAGCTGTCCGCGCTGCCGCTACCCAGGTCCGAGGAAGAAGAGGCTTCGATGATGGCGACCCTGCAAAGCCAGCTGCATTTCGTCAAGGCTGTCCAACGAGTCGACACCACCGGCCTGGAGCCTCTCCGAGCGATACGAGACGAGACAGAAGAGGGACAGAAAGAGGGTACGATTGGGCTGGGCGATCTTCAAGACGTCCTCGCCAAGGAAATTCGCGTAGGGCACTACAAGCGGCCGAGGAGAGTCAGGGAAGAGATTGAATCGGAAGCTGAAAAGTGGGATGCTCTCTCTACGGCATCGAAGAGGGCTGGTAGATACTTTGTTGTTGAAAGTGCCAAGACGCCTTAGCAAGTTGATGGGGGCGGACGTTTACTCTATGGCACATTGCATCATCGCTTACCTGGAGCTCTTGGAGTGGCTGAACTTCTGGCTTTGGTGTGCTAGTGGGCTTTAGGGGTCTTCCTGGTATTTCATCTGATCGATTGTAAAGATGCTTTTCGGCGTCCGCCTCCATCGTGATACAGCTATACAAGGTTGATCACCTTTGGCTGAGATGGAGGCGGACGCCGAAAAGCTTCCAGAAAGCCGATGGGATGAAATGCCAGCAGGACCCCCAACGCCCACTGGCACACCAGAGCAGAACTCCCTGAGCACCTGTCGTCGTCCAGCTGCCAAAGGACAAGTACAGACTCTACGTGAAAGCTGCCTTGAGATTCCTCCTGGCTCAGCGCATATCACCTTGCAGGGCCCTAGCAAGCATGACTCCATCACAAGGGAGACTATTACAAGCAACCTCCATGCACCAATTGCGAGGTTCTCATGTAACATAGCATTGCAAAAGTGCACGTTTACACGATAGTCTTCGCTCTGGATGTATTGAGGTTGTCGATGTCGATTGTAATTCGTCATTATTCAAGACAACATACGTTTGTATACCAGGCCAAAGCTATGTATAACACTCTTTCCCAATCACAAAGACTTCGCCAATGCTTCCCGGACCGTTCCCTATTTCTTCTCTATCGACTCGTCCTTTCGCTTCGGCTTTGGGACCTTTTCGTATGCATTCGGGCTCGGCGGCCGCTTCTGCTTCTCGCGCGGCTTGCCGTGATCGTGGCCGTGTGAGTGACTGCACCCCTCGGGCTCCCCGTCCTTGTCGTGACCCCGCCCACTGCGTCCTTTGCCACGTCGCATGTCCTCTTCGTAATCCGATTCCGAGTCTGACGACGAATCGGAGCTGGACTCGTCGCTCGATTCGTCTACGGCCTTTGGCTTGTGGTAGATGCAGCACACTACATTTGCGTCTCGTTAGCCGCGGGATGGGGGTGCGTCTTTGCCAAGCCCTCGAGGCCATGCGAACCTTTAGAGCTCTTCCTGCCCAGGCCCTCATTGTCCACCACGTCCTCGGCCCATTGCACCGACCGCCCGCTGTCGTCATGCCGTCCGCGGAGGCGTAGTATTCTGGGCGCCGAATCTGGGACGTTCTGTGAGGTGGCTTCGACTGTTGTTGTCTGGGACGCCGATGGCGTCGGTGCGCTGCGTTGTGAAGGCGCTTGCGACATGGTGGTGGTGTTCTGTGTTTTTCCGACTAGTTACTTTGTCAGGCTGCTTGGTGCGCCGTTCGCCGCTAGAACAGAGTCCTTCGTTGATGTTTCGGGTCTGCAATTTGCAGCTGGAGTGGAAAACTGCGTAATTCGGTTCTGCGACAGTCTCTGGCAGGTTTGTCTGTTTTATTCACTTTTCTTTGTGGTGGATGGCAAGTACAGGTGGCAAGACGTCATGCGATAATGCATTCCCATTGTAGTGGTGTGGTTTCAAGGTGGGCTTTGTCATTAGGTCGGTCTAGGCTAAATGGGGTCATCGTAGATGTGGGATGCAGCCTCTACCAAGTTCTGGCCAAGTTTGTCGAACAATTGAAATAAAATACGTCACTGGGTTTATTCTATTCGTAAATGCTAGAGTGTCTCTATAATACATATTGTACAATTATTATACAGTGGGCGCATCTTATGCAGAAGCGATTCTGGCGGCTCTGGCTTCAAACTTGACCTTCTTCTTTTGGCCCTTCATGCTTTTTCTGGGTCGACTCTTCTTATGCTCTGCAAGGACTCTCGGCTTATTGTTGAGCCATCCATTAATAGGCTTCCTTGCCTCAACGAATCGTCCCTCTGGAGTATATATATCAACTGCGGGAAGGTCAACTTCGTAGGACTGCTGCTCCTCTTGTCGCTTTGTTGCAGGGTTTGGCTGCTCGGTTCGATGATTGGTCTTGTCGTTATCTCGCCGTTGACGCATCATGTCTTCAAAAGGGTCCAAAGCCAACGCTGGCGACGATGCTTTCTCTTCCGCGCTCTGCGCATCCACTGCGCTCTTTCCGCTCTCCATTCTGCTATCATGTTCCCTTTGCCGGTAGAGGCTTCGAGTGCGAACTTGGGCAACAATCTCGACGTAGCCGACACCTTCAATCAGGATGTCGACCGACAGGACACGAAACGGAAGTCGGTCAACGCTGAGACCGAGAGAATTTTTCCTCGTCAAAGGCCCAGCTCTTTGTCTGGTAACGTCATGTTGTAGGGTAAACCTGCCCGCATGCTTAATCGTCGCCGCTGTGGCCGGAAGAGAGATGTTTTCCTGAGCCCCAGAAACCTTCGCCTGCGCTTGGAAATCAGCCGCCTTTTCGTTGCTCGTGATGTGGTCCTCCAGCGGTGTAAAGTTGTACATCAGGAATATCGTGTTCTCTGATGAAGGGGTGATGCGGATCAAGCCGCCGCCCAGAACGAGAGACTGACCAGGCTTGATGGTGGCCTGCTCTGGCACGATGCGCTTCTTCATTATCAGAGACTGCCTGTGCTCTTCTTTGACAAACAAGTCCAAATCGCTGCGAGCCAATCCAGGCAAGTCAATCAGCTCCCCTTTCTTGTTGCCAAAGGGGATCCGAATGGGCGATGCCGTTGTTCCAGGAAGCGAAGACACAAGAGGCATAGCTGGATAGTTGGTAACTCCTCGGGCAGGTGGCAGCAAGTCCCCGACATCCACCTCTTCTGCCTCGGGTGAAATCTGGCCAATGGCCGTGGGTGCGACCGAAGCGTCCGGGTGATCTAGACGGCCTTTTGGGTAGACTTCCTCAAACAGACGGCTTTTTCCGACATTAACCTTTCCAACCATCCATCCAGCACCGCCCCTCCGCCAGATATCCTCTTTTACATCTCTTGTCCACCAGCCGTGGCTGGCACTCACGCAGCGAACATTGCCAAGACGCACTCTGCCGCCCAAACGGCCGAGGGCATCTCGCAACACTTCTCGGAGGTAGGGCATGAGCGCATCGACTGATTGCTTTGTAGGTCCTAGAAGGTCGCTGCGGGTGATGATGAAGCTTAGTTCCGTTTGTCGGTCGCGGAGAAACTTGCTCGATCGTGAACGTCTGTTGCGAGTTCGGAGGGGAATGTCGCCAAGCAAGACATTCAATCTTGGGATCAGTGACATCGGAAAGTCGGCGGCATCGATGACGTGGTATATGTGATTATATTTATGCGGTGATTCTTCGATTGTCTCTCGCAGCGACTCGACTGTGGGGTGAAACATCGGCACTCGGCCAGAGGCTGACTTGGCATTGTGATGTATCAAGTCGTGGCATCGATCGCAGACTGGTGCTTGGGAGGCTAATAAACAGTGTGTGAGCCAAATTTGTCTCTTGCAGTCTCATTAATAGGCTACTTACCAGAGGGAGGCGAGACGACTGGCTCTTCGACTACCAATGTGTTCGCATCAAACCCGAGCGCGGTCAGCTGGTCGCTATCCATGGATTTCAAGACATTCTGAACGACTTCGTTTTCTTGAACATCCTTCTGTTGTAATTCGGGCTTCGGAGGGTTTAACCATGTGCGCACACGCTTTGCGGCGATGTCGTAATAACCAAGCTGCTGGGAATCGGTCGTCTGGGTGAATGCGCCGCAGCCGCTACAGGTAAAGGGGAGCTTGCGTTGTTGATCCTCTATAGTTTGTTGTGTTGCGTGATTCTCCTCCCTCGGTATAGCCGTCTCTGAGTGAACCGATCGCCGTTGGTGGATGTTTCGAGGTACCAGCACGGGCGCAACCTGATGGTAGCGTGAGAGGCCCGCGGAAGGGCAAAGAAAGAGAGGCAGGCCAGCGGCAGGCAGAGCCTCAGTCGTCCGCAACGCCCGGGTCAGCCACCCATAAGAAAGCACTCGACGCATATCTCCCGCTCAATAAGAATAAGAAATTGGTCGCGACATGACTAGAGAATGTGACGATATTTGAGCTCCGACAAGCCAAGTAAGGCAGAGTCGAGATTCATCAGAAAGTTCGGCTTGATAAATTTCAGTGGATCTTTCAGGGTGCTACCCAAAATCTAGTGTCCCTGGCGCGTGTGCTGCGCAATCGCTGTCTGTTGCGGACTTTTTGCCGGGCCGGCATTTTCACAGGGGACGCCGATTTTCCTGTATCCAGATTCCAAGTTGATCATTCCAATCAGTACCACACAGTCCAACAAGCACAGACAAGATGCGGTCATTGGGAGAGCGAGTACATCTACTCAGAAAGGTCAGTCTAGTCACGTGTCCATCAATTGGGCTCTTATGCTAACATGCTATACAGAGGGTAAGAATTCCAACCAGAGCCAGCCAATGCGACGAAGCCAGTCACCATGTTAACAATAATCTCGACACAGCTCCTCAACCTCCGAATGGGGCCTGGAGCAGCCATCCTGCCCGCCGAGGTATCCCAGATTCACATGGACTTTGCCATGAGAACGCACAACGGCCACATGGGCGCCAAGTACGTTTTCTCGACGGCGCACGCTTGCGCGCAACCTGAACCCCAAACACCCCGTCGCTAACACTATCCCCGTTTACCAGGAAATTCTGGCGCGAATATCTCCCACGCCTCAAGTACAACAATCCTGCCGTCCCCATGATTGTCAACCGTCACGGCCAAAACGACCAGGCGCCGACCATGACCGTATACCTTCGGACCGCCAGTGACGGCCCGGCCACCACAGCTACCCCCCCGCCTGCCTCGTCCCGCGTGGGACTCTCCAAAGCGACGCCGCCCGCGAGCAACGAGCGCGTGGTGCACATTGACATGAAGGACAAGCACTCGACGAATATCCTCGAGCAGCTCATCGCACAGGTCGGAGCGACACCCCTGCGGCCGACGCCAGAACTCACAGCCGAATGGCAGAGCCTAGAGGAGCTCAGGAAGACGAGCAACGCCAGCCGTGATCGCATCAACGCTATCAAGGCTGAAAAGGAACGAGAGGCCACTATGCTGCAACAAGCCCGTGCAGCGGGCGGTGCTACAGAGGAACCAGCGTGATCAAGAAACGCCTCTGTTGTACCACTACTGTAGTTTATAGCATGTTTTCGTTTTTCAAGCAAGGAGTACATATCACTTGGTGGCAAAAGATGGCGTGATACCTCTTTTGATAAATATTCAAATTCTATTCCCAAACTTGGATGAAAGACTGCGCTTATGTCAGCGCTGTTGGTAAACTACCTAGCTATGCCCCAGCCTACTTGAGGCCAAATCCTTCGCTTTCTTTCACGGCTCTCCAAAGAACATATTCAAGCTTCTCTCTTGTGCGGTAGCGCCATAAGGATAGTAGGTTGAAGCATGTCCTTGCGACCGGGAATCGAAGGCAATCATCGCCAAGGCACGACAGTTTGATTCTCAACGACGTGGCACCAGTAGCCGGTATGCGATCACTGCCAGTAATGAATGAAAGCAAGCGACGCTGATCACCCGGTCCCGCCTGTTTAAAAGTATCCCAAAACCAACTCACGACTGGTTCTGCCCCGTCGGGCTGCTTGCTATCCCAATTTTGGTATTCGGCGACAGCTCGCAGCGAGTCAACGTCAAGTGGCTCGTCGGAGCCCCGGATGAGCAACTCGATTTCTTCTGGGCGAAAGAGAGAGAATGCATTTCCACCGCAAACGTTGTAGAATCCTCGTCGGAAGGGATCAAATTGGCGTCGCACCGACGCGTCCAGCACATAGCGAATGTATAGATCCACATACTCCCGCCTGTTGGCGTTCGTGACCGGTCGTCGCTCTCCGCCGTCGCACAAAGGTACTGTTGTTAGAGATCCAAATCTGTCGTTTTCAATGATAAAGTCCAGTGCGAATGTAGACTCAACATCTCCATCATATTCAAGCAGTTGCTGCAGCCCTCGTGCAAGGCTTGGGCGATACTCTGCGAGATCATCGAGCGTATACCTCAAGTGAGGGGGGGCATGAGCCAACGATGTCATACCGTGGCCAGGCGCGGCGGCCAGCAGTTTTTTGAACGCAAATGGTGGAAGTGGCACGTCAAGAATTGTCGAATTGTATATGGCCAAGCCCAAAACCACACCCACCAAAAAGTATTGATCCGTAGATTCCAGGGAGTTGGGATTGAAGTAGCAGAATTTGGAATCTTCGTCATAGAGAAACATGCCTATAATTTGTCAGAAAGGAATTGCAATCCTCGGTCGAGATGAACGTACCATAATCCGGGTTGAAGACGTCTCGAATGACCAGCTGAAACCACTCTTTTCTCAGACCGCCGCCATCAATTCCTTCTTCGCCCCGAAATTTGATTCGTAGGCCTTTTTTGATATCATCTGTCCCACTACCAATGACCTCGCTCACCGCCATTAAACTGTCGTCGACGAGGCATTCGCGGCGGACAGTAAGAGTCAAATACTGCTGAACAGACTTGTTGGACATGATACTATCAATCAGCGCAGCCCTTGCTTTCGTTTGCATTTGTCTCCGCGTGTCGTAGCCTAGTATCGACGTCTTGGCCCAGAGACTAAGAAGAAAGGGGTATTGGCAAAAGGAAAATGTTCCTTGCTTGGCTTCCCAAGTATCAAAATCTTTGACGAGATCAACATAGTCAACCATGGAAACATAGAAGTCACTGCTTGGTAGCTTGTGGCCACTGTGGTGATGAAGATGAGCATCCCGAGCAGCACTGGGGTCATTGGCGGCAAATATGAGAGCCAGGACGCGTGAAGTCGCTTTCACTTGCCAGTCATCCGGATATGATGTTATCTTTTCCGGCTCGGTGATTTTTTTGGACGTGTTTGACAGGCTCAGGGCTCCGATCTCATCATGTATTTGCGCACCAGATTGACCACTCCGCATCTGGGGTATCAAAAACGAGGTTACTGCGTCTTCGTCTGGAGTCTTGACCGGTTTTTTATTCCTTTGCCTGAGCATTCTGTATGAGAGAAAACCAGAAAATAAATCTTTCGCTTTAACGTAGCGGTCTCTTTCAAACTTGATCCACCAGGAAATCAAGTGGTTGTGGCAGAGTGGTGTTGAATTTGAGATAAGACCAATTAGTCGCTTGATGATGCCTGAATGTTGGCCAGATAGCGGACCAGAAGAAGGCATGGCTGCTGATCGGTCTTTCTGAGCCAGTTGGTGTATTGCTTGCGGTCTCCGTCCAACACCGCTGCGATATAGCAATCCTTCCAGTGGCAGCTGACTGCTGTGCAACAGAGGATTTTCCAGTATGACGAGTAAAAACCGCAAATCAGCCGGCCGTGAAATGGAATATCGAGGGCGTTTCAAGAGCATTTCTGTGTGTTTGAGAAGCATTCGATGAACATGGAGCTGGGCCTGTACAAATTCATTCTCCAGTGTTGCTAGGTCAAAGTCGACGACGGATTTTGCCGACGAAATTTCCGTGAAGACCGAATGCCAGCCCTCCGCAGGTCCAATAACAGTCCGATACCAGTTATCGAGCTCGGTCCAGTCCATTTGTAGAGGCTTGACCGCTGAGGAAATCCTTCTCGCATGATCCGGTGGCTTGGGTTTGGGTGCTGGTGGAGGATGTTGAGGACGGCTACCAGTCCACCACAGCCCGTTCTCCGCCACATCGCCCAACAAGAGAAGCTTTGGGTCTAGTTGGCCGATAACCATATTTGTATCAGTATTACCACGAGGTCGACTTCGATCTCGCGACGGTACACGCGCTTCTCTTGACGATGCTGGTTCTCTCAATAGCGCTGGTTCTCTGGACGGCACTGGCTTTCTTCGGATTTGTTGCTCTGACCCAACAGGATAATTATGATGCATGAAAGACGAATTGAGACAGTCAGGTGCCTTGAAGCATTCCATGATGTAATCTTCCAGTGCCTTGAATATAGTTTGCGGTTCATAAGAAGGGGACCTGCCGGGGCTTGAGCCTTCGGCACCAACACTAGGCCCGGCTGAGTAGTAATTCACAGTAGGTGTATCCGAAACGCCATATGAGAGCGACCGTTGCGGCCTAGCGATCGTCCTTGGTGAATCACCATGTGAGTTTCCAGTTGGTGTGTTGAGAAACTGTGTTCCGAAGCGACGTCTTGAATCGGGCTGCAATAGGCCTTCACCGCCGCCGCCCGCTCCAACGGTCTGGGGCTGCTCCGAGGCTGGCTGCCATGGAAAGTCCTTTCGGTATAATCCTTGATTTTCTTCGAGTCTCCTCGATATATGGGATTGCAGACAGCGGCGAACAATGTTTTTGGTGTGGAGCAACGAAATAGGCTGGACAGGTCCTAAACGAGTATTAGCATTCACGAGACTTCTACTGTGAGCGGTATACATACCCCGTCCAAATTCGGCGTTTTTCTGTGTGACTCCGGAAGCAGATTCGTCTCTTCGATGAGCCCCGGGTGTGTCATAGTCATCCACAGACTCTAAATCGTTCACCGTGGCGCAAGTCGTACATTTGAAGGCAGTGAGGTTGCTAGGCCATCGAACAAGACCACCGCACGTCATACAACTTCCAGTTGCAAAATCTTTTCCACTGGTGCCGGCAACTTTTCTGAGCCCGCTATCCATCTGTCGGGCCATTGTTCGACCATCCCTGCGCTCGTCGGGAAGCCTTGTCTGGGCGAAGTGCGACGAAGATGGAACCTCGGCGACGTTGTTCATTGAAGGAAACGGATGGCTCATGGAGCGACTGTGCCTTGTTTGAGTTGGTTTGGGTGGCACGGGCGGTGGCCGCTCAGGAGCAGGTGAAGTCGAATACTGGACACGGCTGCGAATCGCATTACTGCTGGGAAAGTCTGTAGGTCCTCCTCGCGGACCGGGCGGGCGAGCAGACGAATCAGGATGATGATGGCGATCGCCAAAATCATGAGCCCGGTGTGTCATGGCCGGTATGCACCGTAACTGCTATGAGCAGCTCCTTCTCAAAGCGCCGAGGCCGAAGCCGGATGCTGTGGCAGCTCTGCCGCCGGACTCTTGGGTGCTGTGTCGAAAGTATGGCAGTAGCACCTCGGTTGCGCGGGCTTCAAAGGGCAAGCTGCATGAGAAGGTTGCGTGGAAAGTGAATGCAGATTTTTGTTGATGACTGAATAGTGGCTTGTTCACTCCTATACGTGCCTGTGGCTGCTGTCTCAGATGCAGGGGTGTGACGTCTCGGCTATGTCTTGCACCACCACGACAATTGTTTCTGCTCGAGGCTGGCAAAGCGCTCTGAGAACTCGATATTACAAGACCTCTTCTTGATAGAACGGCAATGGGATAGTGTGAGTGTCGTAAATTCATGAGCACGTGCTCCGCGATGAAGAACACCCAAGGCCAGGCACGGGCTCAGATTGATGGCATGTAGATCGCCTTGTGGAGTGACCCGAAGTGTACTTCGTACCCTAAAATGTGGCAGAAGTAAGGTTTTATTTAAGCGTCGCCCTCTGCGCGTTGGCAGCGTAATATATTAAATGTGAAAATTACCCCTTGCATACTTTTTGCTCGGCCCCGGAATGTGAGTACTCGATTCAAGCTCCAGTCGAGTATTATCACTTGTCGTTTTCACGTATCAAGCCGCGTCACCACACATGGGTCAAATAGGTTCCTCGAAGGTTATGCAAGGCACAGCCACAAGATCAAGGTCCGCACTATTATACGAAAAATGAACATGGAAATTACCAGGGGCAGACATACGAGATCGGTAAACCATGTTGCGAGTAATTAGTTAGAACTTTTCTTGAAAGCCCATTCAGGTTGTCATCAACGCCCCCGCCTTGATTGGGACTTGCGTAACACTATTGCCCACAATAGACGCCAGCGCCCAGATACCTTGGTCAATGCACCTCACTGGTTCGGTCTTGACTAGGGAGATGGCAATACGAGACCTTTAAGCCACATCGGGAGGAAAATACTCTCAACCGATGTAGGAATGGATACACATGCAGGAGCTTTTTGTCATCACCGTCGCTGTACCTGAGTACTTGATACGTACTGGTACATAGCACCGAATTACCCACAGGCCCCAGAGACTGCGCCAGTCCGAGTATATCAGTCCTTTAATGACGAGAACCATGACCAATTCGAGAGAGTTGCAGAAACTAAACGGTTACAGGACGGCTTACGACGCAAAGCATGTGGTTCAAGTAATGTTTTCCCCTTTGGGTTGACAAGCGAAGTCCGAGGAGACATCTAGACCATTTGCTTCGTAACCGACTAACTAGCTCTGCAATCACCAATTAGCCGTCGCCATCACGTAGATCCGGCGGTTGGCCCTCCCTACCGAGTGAATCATCTCTGGCGAGCACTTTCTTAGACACTCCAGAATCGACATCGCAATAGGTGCCCGCGCTGGCTAGTGTGTACCGTCTGAATCTTCCTTTTGTTGGAAAGGGTTAACTCTCCGCCGAGTAGTGCATCGTTTCGGTCCCCGTCGTTGGCCACTGCATCCCGGCTGTAAATGGTCAGGACATTCACAGTAGTGTTCGGAGCTGTGGATAGCTTTGCGCAACACTGTTCATCATTCACAACACTCCTTTTTGAATGGTAGTAAATTTTTTTGTTGACCCTGATGCAAATCATCCCGAGGTTCTAAGCCTCTAAAACTCCCACCAGTCTTCCCACCCACCGGTCTCAAGATCCGACACGGAGCGAGATTTGTCCTCCCGTCTTAGAATACATGCCGGTTCTTTTCGCCATGCATTGCAAAACTGATAACCCAACGTCATGAATGCTCGTTTACGAGGGGGGAGCGGCACCGCGGCCACGGCCGAATCCACCACGGCTAAAACACACTGTCAGCAATTCGTCCTCAAGTCGCATGTCCTAAATCGCGCGGTTTCTCACAATTCGGGGTTGAAGCCACCAGGGGCGCCACCCTCCTTGCCCTCACCACCTTCACGTCTGCGGTAACCGCCCTCGCGATCACCACGGTTACCATCCGGTCGGCGGCCGAAGGGGCGGCGCTCGCGCTCGCCCTCACCGAGCATGCCGCGGGGAGGAGCGTGAGAGCGCTGCTGCTTAATGTGGGTGGCAGGAACAATCTCGGCGGGGAGGTGAAGCCATTCGCGGAGGTAGTCAAGGCCCTCGGGGGTCAGCGTGTAGTAGTAGTACTGCCACGAGAACTGGGTCTTGACATAGCCGCGCGAGGTCAGGGACTGGCAAGCCTTGACAACGAACAGGTTCTTGACGTCGATATCGGGGTGCTTGGGGAGGTTGTAGTCCTTGGCGGCGACGAGCACGCCCTCGCGGAAGAGGTACTGTAATAAAAAAGAAATTACATCAGTATATTCGCTCGTTTTCCGTATTCATCGATTGATTGTCGCAATACCTCGTGGATCTTCTTGCGGTCGGCCTTGGGAATGAGCATCGTGGCGGTTTACGTTGGCTTCGGTCGATGGTAGGAGTACAGTTTTTCGGGACGAGAGTGTAGACCTCAAAATGGTTTACTTTTGTGGGCGCAAGCCCTACACAGAACGCTCACCTAGCGAAGGTGGAGTGGCTGAGTTTGTGGGTGTGGCGCAGGATCACGTGACCCAGGTGTACTAGTGGCGCAGGGTATCCACTTGTCACTTGTCACTTGTCCGCCGCCCTCGGCCCTCAGACTTCTTCACAATCACTTCCAATCGCAACATCAAGGCTTTCTCCAAACACACTGCTCACCACACAACAATCCAAAATGGAATCAAATAAGCAGATAAACGTTCTGGTATCGACATTTGGTGGCTTAGGTCTGCCTCCAACTGTTATTTTACCCGCGCAACCCTCAACAACAATCACAGCCTTTCGCCACCAGTTGAATGAACGCTTGCCTGTCACAACTTCAAGACTCATTCTCACCACCGTGTCCAACAAACAACTCCCAAATGAATCAGACACTCAACTCTCATCTTATCTATCCACAGAAAATGACGAATTTCTTTCGTTACGACTCGGAATCCCGCTATGCGGCGGCAAGGGTGGTTTTGGTTCTCAACTGCGAGCGGCTGGCGGGCGCATGTCATCGCGAAAGAAGAAAACACAGGATGACAATGGTTCAAGCCGCAATCTGGATGGCCGAAGACTGAGAACGGTCAACGAGGCCAAGGCACTCGCCGAGTATCTCGCGATAAAGCCTGACATGGACATGAAAGAAAAGGAGAAGCGCCGTGCCCGCTGGGAAGAAATTGTGCGCCAAACAGAGGCGCGAGAGGCAGAAATAAAAAATGGAGGCAAAAGTATGATTGATGGTCAGTGGGCCGAAGACAGGGAGGAGAGCAGCGAGCGGACCCGGGATGCAGTTCTCGCAGCAATGAAAACCGGCAACTATACCGACAACCTCAGCAGCTCGCACGGATCGAGTTCTGCAGCACATGGCGATAGCTCATCCGATCGCGACGAGAAGTCTTCTGTCAGCTCTCATGAATCACCACCACCCGCACAGACAGTAGCGGATAGCAATGGGAAAGGCAAGGCTCGTGCTTTTTTGGGGTTTGACGAGGACGATGAATTCATGAGTTCCGATGATGAATCGGACGATTAAATCACAGAAAACCAAAGCTCAATTGGGGATTAATCTGTTTCCTCGGCGAAGGACTGAATTGCTAGAGCTGTTCGCCACCTTTACTCTGAGTCATATCATTGTTGACATCACGACGGTGCAAGGGCGTTTGATATTTCATTTGGCGTTAAAGGACAGCGAAGCAATTGTTTTGGAGTTTTGGAGTTTTATACTTTACTTAATGGCATACGCCATGATTGTTTCCAGTCTATCGACCTCACATAGTACACAAGCGGCACGTGCCGCGATTTACTTCCAATCTATCTTGCTTGTCGTTCAATAATCAACACCTTGTGAGAAATCCATCTAAGCATCGAGCTTGACAGGGAAGTTGCCAGCCTCTGTAGTCTATATTAGTAATTTTGTCATGCGACGAACTGCTTAGTACATACCACGCTGCTCGTCCCAGCGCGTGTACCAGCCGGAGGGGCACAGAGATCGGTAAGCAAGAAAGAACTAGACATGAGCACATTAGTATTGGTGTATTCATATCATATTATCCTATTCGGGCCCTTGTACCTGGCGGCAGGGAGCGAAGTCCTCGCCCTTGGCAGTGATGCACTTGTGGTAGTCGACGTAATTCTGCCAGCAGTGCTTGGTCTGGTTCTGGTTGGGAAAACGGGCGTCGGTCCCTAACAAAATAGGCGGTTAGTAACTCATACACCAATTGAATGGATTTTAGTCGGATGCGACGATGCGATCGAGTTTTGGCGACACGGGGCGAGCGTACCGGCTGTCAACATAGTTAGCCTCGGGATTCAACCCGACAATTTTCTTCGCGGCATTATCCGACTTACCAGTAACGAACTTGAAGGGCTTGGTTACAAGCTCCTGGCCATCTTGAACTTCTTCGTCGGACATTGCGAATTGATTTTGTAGGGTGTAGAGCCGAGCAGAGACGTAATTGCAAGCTTGGGCGGTCGTAACGGGGAAGTTTGTTGCGTTGAGGTTGACACCACGAATCAGATGATTCCCAATGCAGAGCCGTGTCTGCCTCAGGCTTACTAAACCAATCAGCCCACGACGTAAGGCCACCACCACCCAGTGAACCCGCGTTAATAGTGGGTCAAGGTACCAGATTGCAGCACTTCTCGACGAACTCCCAAACATCGTTTCTTCTGAATAATCGTTGCTAATTGACTCCCGCCGGCACTCTCGCCTCTTTCTCAACTCTCCACTCATCAATATGCGCGCCACCACCGCCATGAGAATGTTCCGCCAGACCCCTCGCATGATGCGACCGGTCCCCGTGAGTGAATATGCAGCTGCTGATTGGACAACACTAATACCTCGGTCATATAGAAGGAGGATCAGGCTGGTACGTGACGAGGCCGTAGCGATTGCCGAATATAAACGACCCAAAACCACTCGCTCGACACCTCAGACCCGATGATTACTGACCGCCCACAGGTCACACCATCTCGCAGCGCCTTCGCAAGCTCAAGCAGATCCCGGCTGAGTTGATCCCCCTTGGTACGTTGCCTGAGACCAATTGGACAGCCCGATCCGATATCTAACAACAATACCAGCTGCTGTCGTTGGATTTGCCGTTGCTGCCGCCGGCTACTCTTGCGTCCGCAAATTTTATGTCGATAAGAACCTCCGCCTGGGCCGACAGGGACCTACTGGCCGTGCCGCTGACCACTAGGATGGTAGCTAATAGAGGCGTGACGCCAATTTTTTTTGTTCATGTACGGGAAAGGGTAGCTGTATATTTCAAGGAAAACCAGTCCGGCACAAAAAAGAGGCCAGGCCATTTATCGTATTCTCACATGGTTCAATGTCTGAAGGAGATTGTTTGAAATGCGACCAAAACGCCAACGCTATGCAAAAAGCTAACAAATAACAAAAGCATGGCTGCTAAATGACAAAAACATTGATTATTTTCTATTGCTGCTTTGGGCCAGCAACGTCCAAATCCTCTAAGCCTTGCATGGGATCTGGGCCAGATGGAGCTTGTAGGTCTGCTTCACCTGCGGCGTTCTCTGCCAACCAGCCCTCCTAATACAGAATTAGCATTGTGAATTGGAGGGTTTCATTTAAAGACTATGTCATACCTGGTCCCAAATGGCGGTCTTGCTGCCTAGGCCTTCTTGAGCACTCTTGGGTGCTTTGGCTAGGGAGACCTTCAATGTTCGGCCAAAGAACTCTGCTTGGTCCATGTTGTCGATAGCCTCTTTAGCATCCGAACTGTCCTCAAACTCGACGTAGGCGAAGCCTTTATGGGTTTGTCCTGTATTGGAGGCATCTGGCTTCGGCAGTTTCACCTCGACGATCTCTCCAAACGGAATGAAGGCGTCAACCACATTGGCGTTGGTCACTTGTGGTGCCAGACCACCGACGTAGACGGTTGCTTTCCAGCGAGCTGCATCCGACATAACGAAGCACTTTTTTTCTCCGGTGCAAAGCCTTAGAAATTTATCGGATAAAAACGAGAGACGAATTTCTTGACCTCTTTCTGGGCAAAATATTGGCCTTCGATAAAGAAGCTTCCAATAAAATTATCACGTGCACCCAACTGCCCCACCTCCACTGCTGGCGCAGTAACACGTCTCGGCAAGGGGAAGCTCCCGTTGCCTGCAATCTGGCATCATAGTTGACTGAATTTCGGTTGTATCCAGGTTCACCTGCCCATTTTCGAAAACCATTTCATGCCTTCTGCTGGCAGAAGCTAAGAGGTGCATTGCTCTTAGTGGCCGGCGCCAATTCCTGGCATTTCATTGCTCTTTCTGCAAAAACGTTTACCGATTCGAATAACCATACCTTGGTCCCGCCCCGATCCCTTACACCCCCCGCCACCATGGTGCGCCTACGAGATATTCCCCGAACGGCCACCTTTGCGTGGTCACCTAGTGCTGGAAGCCCTCTCGTGGTCACTGGTACCCGTGCCGGTGCTGTTGATGCCGATTTTTCCGACGAGAGCAAGCTCGAGCTCTGGGACTTGTCACTGGACGACCAGGAACAGGGACTGGAGCTCCAGCCCATCGCGACCATTGCCACCGACGCCAGGTACGCCAGATAGCTACTTTGTAGCCGCGCAACTCGCTAAATTAGACGAAATAGATTCTACGACATCGCATGGAGCCCTCCTGATTCCGATCACCCACGAGGCATCATCGCTGGAGCTATGGAAAACGGCTCGCTTGATCTCTGGGACGCTGCCGAGCTACAAGCCGGCGGTAGTGGCGCCCTGATATCACAGACGACAAAACACTCCGGTCCCATCAAGACACTTCAGTTCAACCCTCTCAAGCCACAAATCCTAGCCACCGCTGGCGCCAAAGGCGAGATCTACATCTACGATGTCAACGATATTGCCAACCCCTTTCGCCTTGGCAATGCTGCTGCGCGCTCTGATGATATTGAATGCCTCGCATGGAACCGCAAAGTCTCCCACATTCTTGCTACGGGCGGAGCAGGTGGCTTTGTCACAGTGTGGGATCTCAAGACTAAGAAAGCATCTCTCACACTGAACAACAGCCGCAAAGCTGTGAGCGCCATTGCGTGGGACCCAAACAACTCTACGAAGCTGCTCACTGGCACGCCGGACGATAATGCTCCGGTCATTCTACTGTGGGATCTGCGCAACTCGAATGCACCAGAGAGAACGCTTCAGGGTCATGAACAAGGTATTCTGTCGCTCTCCTGGTGTTCACAGGACAGCAGCATTCTGCTCTCATCCGGCAAAGATAACAAGACAATTGTTTGGAACCCTCTCACAGGAGAACGTTATGGAGAGCTTCCTGAAGTCACGAACTGGACTTTCCAGACCCGCTTCCATCCCCAGAATCCCAATCTGTCGGCAACTGCCAGCTTTGATGGCAAAATTACAATTCAAACCTTGCAGAATACGAACCCCGACGCTTCAAAAACTGCCATCGACAACAACTTGGATGGCGCCGACTTTTTCAGTGCTGCTCAAACGCAACCCCAGGGTGCATCGTGGTCACTAAGCAAGGCGCCCAAGTGGTTTGAGCGTCCTATCGGTGCTTCATTCGGATTTGGTGGCAAGATTGTCATTTTTAAGCCCACGTCAGGCCAGGAGAGATCCTCCAAAGTCGTTATATCCCAGTTCTCTGCCGACTCTGACTTCTCGTCGGCGACTGAGAAATTTCAAGAAGCCCTTGCCTCTGGCGACCTGTCGATCATCTGTGAAGAGCGAATGAAACAATCCAAAACCGATGAAGAGAAGGCTGATTGGAAGGTGATGCAAACCTTGATTGGCGAAAATCCCCGTGGCAAAATTGTTGAGCATCTCGGTCTCAAGGGGAAGGGTACCGAAGAGCCAGCGTCTGAGGAAACTAAAGCGGAAGGCGAGGAAGCTGCCGGGGAAAACAAGAAGCTATCCTCCCTTTTTGATGGTGCTGAGGGAGATGGTGATGATGACGACTTTCTGGCTGGCGTTACCGCGACGAAAGGGGCCAAAACTGATAACCCATTCCATCTGTTTGCTGACAGCGATACGACGGTTGAGAAGGACATCACAAAGGCACTTATGTTAGGTGACTTCGCTAAAGCCACCGAAATCTGCCTGAAAGAGGACCGTATCGCTGATGCTTTCCTCATCGCCAACTGTGGTGGTCAGGAGCTGGTTGACAAAGTTCAGGCTGCTTATCTCGCTCGCAAGACTGGATCGCCCAGCTACATTCGTCTTCTCGGATCCGTCATTGAGAAGAACCTTTGGGACGTTGTCTATAACGCCGACCTTCAGAGCTGGAAAGAGACAATGGCCATCATCTGCACTTTCTCGGATCCCACTGAATTCTCTGACCTCTGCGAAGCTCTTGGCGATCGCATCCACGAAAGCGGTGAGCGCAAGGACGCCTCTTTCTGCTACCTGGTTGGCTCCAGGCTCGAGAAGGTCGTCTCTATCTGGACCGCAGAGCTAGAGGAGGCCGAGCAGGCCAGTACCAAAGACCCATCACAAGACTCAACCTTCTCTGTTCACGCCAGAACGTTGCAGAGCTTTATTGAAAAGGTCACTGTCTTCCGCCAAGTCAGCAAGTTCGTTGACAACGAAACGAATGAGACAGCAGGGTGGAAGCTCGCTGCTTTGTATGACAAATACACTGAATACGCTGATATTCTCGCTGGTCATGGCCAGCTTGACGCTGCTCAACGCTACCTTGATCTTCTGCCTAGCACATATCCTGCTGCTGAGGGTGCTCGTAGTCGGGTTAAGCAGGCAACACAGAAGTCGTCCACCAAGACTGGTGGTAAGATAGCCACGAGAACATCGAGTGCCGTAGCCCAGACACAGTCTCCTTACGGGTACCCGACTCCTCAGCCGCAACCTCTGGGGACCGCCGCTGCTCCGAATCTGTATAGCAACATCAACTCTATTCCTACTCCCCAGCAGTTCCAACCTTTGCAACCACCACAGCTGCAACAACTGCAACAGCCATCGTACGGAGGCAATCCTTACCAGCCATCGGGCATGTACCAGCCACATGGTCAAAGTTATACGTCTCCGGCGCCGCCGCCGATTTCTGGACCCCCTCGCAGCGGCACTCCGGCTCTATCGACAATGCACAGTGCGCCTAAAGACAGCTGGAATGACGTCCCTATCGTGACCAAGGCAGCACCCTCCAGACGTTCTACTCCAAGCGTACATCCTCCAGTTGGTCCGTACGGTGCTCAAGCCGGCCAAGCACCACCTGGGCCTCCCACCTACGGCGCGCCTCCTAAAGCGAGCCCCCCTCCTCCTCCACCTAAAGGGTCTGCCCCTCCTCGTGTCACCTCGCCTCTAGCTGGACCTCCCCAGACATTCCAGGAACCCCCGCGTCCGTCGTCTGCAGCTAACCAGTATGCTCCCCCACCTCCGCAAGTTGGTGCCAGTCCGCAGGTGACAAATCTCGTTGCACGAACTGCTTCGCCCTACAATGCTCCTCCTGCCGGTGCTCCTCCTTCGAACAGATACGCCCCGGCGCCTGCTGCACAGCAAACTGGCCCTGCCCCTCCTGCGGGAGGCTTTATGTCGCCGCCACCTGCTGGTAGCAGCGCTCCTCCAGCGAACCCGTATAGTCAATTTGCGCAGCCGCCTGTAGCTTCGCCTGCCGGAAACCCATATGCTCCAACCAACAACTACGGCGCGCCGCACGGCGCTGGAGTGCCACACTCTGCCACAGGCCCTCCCACTGGACCACCACCCATGGGCCGACCCGGTCCTCCCCTGGGCGGTGCTACACCCACGCCTCCTCCCCCCCGGGCCGCCGCGACACCTCCGCCCAAGGCTAAGCATCCGCCAGGTGACAGGACTCACATCCCCGCCAGTGCTCAGCGTCTCGTTGAGATCCTGACTGAGGATGTGCAGCGTGTTGCAGCAAAGGCGCCCCCTACGTTTGCGCCTCAAGTCAAGGATACTCAGAAACGCCTTAGCCTGCTTTTCGACCATCTCAACAATGAAGAACTTGTGTCGCCTTACAGCGTTTCTAAACTATCGAGCGTTGCCGAGGCTCTCAAGTCGAAAGATTATGCAGCGGCAGCCAAATTGCAGGCTGAGCTTCAGCGCGAGAGGGTGGAAGAATGTGGCCAGTGGATGGTAAGTTGTAGTCCTCCAGGCACATGATCTAAACTTGGCTAACCTTCGATATTAGGTTGGGTTGAAGCGTCTCATCAACATGAGCAAAGCAACGCCGTGAACATTCGATGCAACGACGTAGAAGAACATTGATGAGTTGCATGTGGGCGATGATTTAAAATGGCTGTGGATGGATGTTTGCCGCGTTGTGGTTTAGATGAAGTAGTAGTAATATCAGCCCTGTTGCAATATCATTTACCATCCTGTGAAATCTTTATCTCCAATTTGAACAGAAATAGCTTCTTTCGAATCACGCGAGAATCGACAACATGAGGGCTTTGAGACTTAATGTAATTTGTAGGTACTATGTAATACTGGTAGTGTGTCAGGGCCCACCTGACTTTTTGGAAGCTGTCAATTCCACCACCCCAACGAAGAACAACTAATTATCAACTGCCAAACCAACGCCCTGCCTCCGCCGCTTTTCGGCACCTCCTGCAAGGAATTCGAAATCAAAGCAATAGAAGAAGGATTCCCCGCCCCTAACACCACACATAAGTCATGACGGAGGGCGTATCGTCATCCAGCGACGCTGCCGCCCAGCGAGCTGCAGACCAGGCCCGACTACGCAAGGAGCGCCGCGAGGCCAAGATCAAGGCTGGCGGCTCTTCGCGCCTCAACAAGATTGCCGGCATCGATGGCCGCGTAGTAGGAGGTACCAATCCAACTCCCCTACGCGCCCCACGTATATATGTAACTGACCACGTTCCTGCCAGACAATGACCAGGCCGCTCCAGAGCCCCCCGCGGACACGACACCGAAACCCACCGGCGACCCAGACGAGGTGGATATTTCCGAGCACTACTACTCTCCGGCGGCCGCGCGCCTCGAGGCCCAGCAGCGTGCCGCCGCCGCCACCCGCGCCGCC